CATGGGTCACTCGCCCCAAGTCCCGAGGCCGCTCCGTCGCTCGCCGCCTCTTCCTCAACAACCGCCCGCGGCCACAACCTCCCCCCAACCCCCATCACCACCACGACGCTCACCCCCCTTCTCCCCGTGGTGTCCTCCTCCTCCTCCTCCTCGAATATCTGCTACTCCTTGCCGGCCGGTCGCAACTGTCCCTATCGAAGCATGGATTCGCAGTAACCCGCCCGAGCCTCAGCAAACCACCTCCGTTTCTCTCGCTCTCTCTCTCTCCCCGCGTTCCTCGACCTCTGTCCGGTCTCAACGCAACGACCGACAAGACAAGACACATCCTTAGACAAACGCCGACGCCGACGCCGACAGACACCATGTCCGCCCTACTCTCGTACCTCGTCAAGTTCCTCGTGGGCTACTTCGCCCTCACCGTCTTCTTCTACGCCCTCTCGCTCGCCGTGCCCCGCGCCGGCTTCGTCGCCCGCGTCCTCGCCGCCTACATCTCCCTCGTCGCCTGCGCCCTCTTGGGCGCCGCCGCCTCGGCCGCCCTCACCCTCGCCGGCCACCAGCAGATCTCGCAATGGGTCACCGCCCGCTCCTTCAAGTACCTCATGTACCTGACCACGGGCGTCGTCTTCGAGGTTGACGACCCCCGCGACGTCCTCGGCACCACCCGCCCCGCCGTCTTCATCGGAAACCACCAGACGGAGCTCGACGTCCTCATGCTCGGCGCCATGTTCCCCAAGTACTGCAGCGTCACCGCGAAGTCGGACCTCAAGCACATGCCCTTCCTCGGCTGGTTCATGCGCCTCTCCGGCAGCATCTTCATCGACCGCAAGAACTCAAAGGACGCCCGCGAGGCCATGCAGGGCGCCGCCCAGGAGATTCGCGCCAAGCGCCAGAGCGTCTACATGTTCCCCGAGGGCACCCGCAGCTACACAAAGGAGCCCGCCCTGCTGCCCTTCAAGAAGGGTGCATTCCACCTTGCCGTCCAGGCCGGCGTCCCCATCGTCCCCTGCGTCGTCGCCAACTATAGCCACGTCCTGTACCTCAAGAGCCTCATCTTCAACTCTGGCCGCATCCCCATCAAAGGTACGTCGCCGGCACCTCCATTTCTCCTCTCAATTCTCTTGACATGACACGCCTGGCATACTGACATTGGCTTCCCAGTCCTCGATCCCATCCCTACCAAGGACCTCACCTCGGCCGACGTCGACGAACTCACCCGCTCCACCCGCGAGCTCATGCTCAAGGAGCTCGTCGTCCTCTCCGCCAAGGCCAAGGGCCAGCCCATCCCCGTGCCCTCAGCCAACAACTCGACCCCCAAGGCCGTCAGCTCCGGCGTCGACACCAAGGCATGAGCCGCCAGTCTTGTGGTCGAGTGATGACCCAACATCTCATTACCCAGACGAAAGTCAAGACGACGACGACAAATTGCACAAACTCGAATAAGACGCGACCACGACCCTGTTGTCTCGTCTTGCGGGGCCGAAAGTGCACAGTATAGAGAAGCACGCCAAGAATGGCGTGCGTGGGAGTCTATAGAGGAGTAACCCTGACGGAGATGGTAGAGATGGGTCGAGACCCGGACGTGATCAACGCGATTGATACCCCCATAGATGATGATGATGGACGGGGCGCTGTTTAGAGTCGCAGTGTCCTCGTGTTTGCGAATTGTCTGCCGCTTGTACACTGACTGCGTTGCATTGCCTGCCTGACTGTTTTGGCTGCCTGCCTGCTTGCGTCTTGCTGCTTTGATTTGCTCTACAGGATAGCGAGAATCTACACATAAACAGTTCCACGACTCTAGGCAGGTGAAATGTTCACCACCTTCATTGCATCGCCGATTGCCATTGTGTCATTCGTCTTCTATAACAGACGCCGCGCGCCTCGCCAATGCATTTTGGAACGTACACTTTAACGTACAGCATGTACTCCATATATCCACATAACAATATAACTCCGTGCAGATGCCCACCGCCTCGGCCAAAGACAAAACCAGGCCGCTCACTCGCTCAGTGCCTGGAGCGCCTGGTTCAGCGTCACGACCCTGAGGCTGCGCCCGCGCTTGAGCCCCTGCCCGGCCGCCGGCTGGTTCGTCACCGTCGGGCTGTGGGCGTCGTCCCACTTGCGGAACACGCGCTTGAGGTCGCGCGGGATGCCCTCGAGCACGACCGTCGACACAGGCACGAAGGGGCGGTCCTCCATGCCGGCCGCCAGGATGGCGTACTCTTGCGCAAAGTCGAGCGCGTTGCGGAACGATGTGTACTGCGAGTTGGCCCGGGCGCCGACCACAATGTACATCTCAAAGAAGGCGTCGAGGACGTAGATGCTAAACGGCGAGAGGTCCGCCTGTCCAAACGGACTGATCTCGAAGACCTAGAAGTTCTCATTAGCAGGGTTTCGTTGGGCCGAGTGTTCGTCTTGTCTCACCTGCTGCCGCGAGTCTGCATCCGAGCAGAATAGTCTGCTGCAGTACTTGTCGTAGCTCGGCTTCAGTCTCCAGTGGTCAGCCGAGTGCGGCTTCGAGCCTTCGCCGTCAAATATGGCCCAGAACGCCGCCGGTTCGCTGCTGTCCTCGTACTCCAAAAGCTCGCCGGTGAGGGCCAGGTCCATGCCGACCAGGCGGGCGCAGCTCACCTCGGCCACGTCGCTGCCCTTGCCCTTCCATACGTAGCACTTGCCGGCCTGCGTGATGAGATACACGAAGCCGGCGCACAGGCTCGCCGGTGTGAAGTCGACCTCGTCGAAGGCAACCTGTCCGAGATAACGCCGACCGCAGAGCATGCTGGGCGCCAGCGAATCGTACTTGTTGCTGGATCCCCTTCGTACGATGATGACACCTCCTAGGGCCTGGATGAATTCTGAAGTCTCCTTGCCCTGGCGGAGCTTGACCACCTTTCCGCCCAAAGACCTGGCTTCGCGTTGTACGAAAAGCAAGGCGTCCTCGGCTGTTGCCTCGGGCACTTCGTCACCGACCCAGAAGTACACTTCGAATAGCTTCCTGCCCGCGGCGTCGGTAAAGTTGTGTGCGCAGACATACATCTCTCGCTCGAACAATACGCGCTCGTTCTGGGCCGACACGGGGAGCTTCTTTCCGTCTCCAAAGATCTGGAACATCTGAAAGCCATGGCTGGTGATCTTAGCACCCCCAGACGGGCGGTTCATGAGGACTTCCGCAGGATCGACCTTGACATTGGCTTTTGGCCTACCAGGGCCAAAGAAATCAGTGAGTAATGTCGACACCTCACTGGCTTGCTTGGTGGGAGACCTTGCGGGCGAGGCTAACGAATTTGGAGACCTGAGGCCATCACCGAGGCCCGACAGGGGTCGTACCGCGCCCCTGGACTTAGGTCGCGGCGAGGCGGGCTCTGCTCGCGATCTATCAAAAGACTGCTTTGAGGCCGGAGGAGGAGAGGTCACCGAAGCACCAAATCGCGGCGATCGAGGCGCATCCATCATGGACGGCAAGGAGTCGCGGTCACTCCTAGTGGGTGAGGGTGAAGGTGAAGCCTGGGGCCGTTCCGAAAACTTGATAGGAGATCGGGACCCGGTGCGCTGATGGCTGAGCTTTGCGGGCTCTTTTGGTTCTGGCTTGACATCGTTCGAAGCCGCGCTGCCCATGAATATGGACATGCGATTCATATTCAGCTTCCGTGGGGATGACGGCTGAGGTGCTTCTTCTGGCACTGGGTCCGCCACCCTAGAAACGGGGGCTTTGTTCTCATCCGCAGGTTTCGCTTCCGGCTTCAGCGGCGCTGGCTTGGCTCGCACAGCTGCTTTGGCAGCAACCTGTTGCTGGATGGACAAGGGCGCTGGCTTTTTCGGGGCAGACTCCGGCTCGCTGTGGACAGGGCTCTGCTTATTGAATGAAGTCTGCTCAGGCTCTTTGGGTTTGGTCGGTTCCGTTTCTGCACACTTTATGGGTTCAGCCGGCTTAGGAGCGGATGCACCTGACGCCGCGGACGATGCGGTCGGGGCTTTCCTCCTAGGGCCTCGAGCACGGTTCTTCGTCATATGCGTTAGCTGGGGTCCTGGCTCACTCGGTTCCGTGCCGTTTCCAGGAGCAGTGCTCTTTTGGGACCCAGGCTCGCCGGACCCTTGGCCTCCATTCGTCCCTGTCGGCGGAGGTCCTCGGGCCAGCATGCCTGCCAGAGCAGGGTTGAAGCGATCCGCCAGCTTGCTAGCCCCGCCAGCTCGGCCCTGTTGCAGCCTTGATGGCGCACTTGTCTCCTTTTGCAGCGCGGGCAGGGCTCGCGTCTCTGTCAAGGAAGGCTTGGAAACCTCAGTAGAGACACGACGGGGCTTATCGGGAGCCGGGCTTTTCGTAGGAGGGGGAGCCGTATTTGACGACTTGGGTGAAAAAGTAGACTGACCGCTGGGTATCCGTTTAGGACCAGGGGTAGGCTTCGGGCTATCGAGCTTCTTAGGCTCCCTAGAGGGCGCAGTGTCCGACGTGGGTTGCTTGGCTCCGGTCATGGAGCGGCCCAGCTCCGCACGCTTGGCCAACCCCTCCGGCAGTGGCTTTTCTCCAGGGGTGGGCGCGGTCCTGGTAATGCCCTTGCCCTCGGCCTGTGCCTTCTTGAACCCCTCGCGCTTCTGCAAGATTGCCTCTTTAAACTCGTCTTTCCGCTCGCTCTTCTTGGGCCCATCTGTCTGGTTCAGGCCCGCCTTGCCCCGCAGAATGTTATCCTTGAGTACGTCGGGGGCAACATAGTTTTGTGTTTTGGTTCGGCGAAGGTTGCCAAAGACGTTTTTGAACTCTGCCTCGTCGCCCTTTGGAGCCTCTTGCGGCAGCGTCCGCTGCTTCAAGGATGCCCGGAAATCTTTCTTGGGTGGCGTCTCGGGCTTGGGCTTCGTTGGATGTGGACTGACAACAGAAGGCCGCTTCTCGGAAGCTGGTGTCGGGGGTTGCTCGTCGGCGGGCGCAGCCCTGACTGCCTGCTTGCGCTCTTCCTTCTGAGGTTCGATTTTGGGTTCCGCCGGTTCCAGCTTTGGTATGTTCTCAGTGACGCTCGGTTTCGACATGTGGCCAAACGCCGGTCGATTGGCATGAGGAGGCGGAGAGTATATGCCACCGAGGCCAGTCGTGTTAGGCTTTGCGACTTCGCCGACGGGTGACTGTCGCATAAGTCCACCAATGCTGACCTGATGCTTGTGCGAGGGTGAAGCGGGCCGGCCCGTGTCGGTATTGGGGGTGGATCGTCCCGTCTTGGACTTGTTGAGATCGGCCATCCAAGACGGCTGAGACTGGTTCGGCTTGGGCGCCAACTTGGGGGTTTCTGGTCGGTTCAGAGCACTTTCCAGCCAGCTCGACTTGGTTGGGCTCCAGCGCCTGGGGTCCATGGTCTTGGAAGGGCTGGTGGGGACCGCGCCGTCGTCGTCGTGCTTCGTGGTCCGGGTGGTGTCAACGGACAAGTCGTGGCTCGGTTTGGATGCCGATTCCGTTGCCGGTTCTCTCTCGCCGTGTTGAGAAGTCGGCCGGCTCGAGCCTGGAGTAGTCGAGCCGCCGCGGATGGCGCTTTGCGGACGCGAGCCCACCTGCGAAGTGCCTCTGTCCAGAGCGCTTCGGTTGGCGACAGAGTCGGCGCGTTTCAGGCCCGGAGGGCTGGTAACGCTCCATCTCTTGACGCTGTCGCTTCGCTTCATCATGGCGCTCTGGACGAAACCGCCCATGCCCTTTGTTGGCGAGGCGGATCGCAGTGGAGATGTACGCCCTGAGGGAGAGACAATTGTGTGCTCGGTGATGGGCTTCTCTTCGATCGGTTCATCAGGGCGGGGAGGGTTCAAGGCAACAGGTGAGCCTAGCCTTCCACTGGCGTCTGAGCGAGAAGGCGGACGGTCCTTGGGCTTCTCTGCCGACATGCCCGGCAGTTGAGCCTTGACGGAGGTCATGTCCAGGCGGTCCTCATCCTCGACTTGGTTGCGTCTGTAGGCGGCCGAGCTGAGGCCTCTGTCGGCCGTCTGTCGGAACCAGGCGGGGTCTTTGGAACCTAGTGCCTGTGCTATCTGGTCCTTGGAAAAGGTCTGCTCGGTGGCCGAGGCGGGTTCCTGGGCCGTCTCGGCACCAAGCGACCTTTGGGTCGCATTCTGGGCCGCGACCATGCTAAGCGGCCTGCTGCCAGGGCCGCCACGGGAAGCGGGCCGTCTCTGCCAAGAAAGCGTTCCTGACCTGGCCGGAGGTGTCGTCGAGGGGGAGGCACGGATGGATTTCGCGTCTGACGAGAGGGAATCGGCGGGTGCCTCGTTTTCTTTGGTTGGCGAGGTCGACGTGACCATGGAGCTGGACCTGTCGCTGGCGTCGGGCTCGACCGACCGCTCGCGTGGGGACTCCTCGCGCGCAGTGTAGGGAGACTCGAGGCGTAGCGATTCCGAAGGGTGGATGCTCCGACGGTTCGGTCGCGGGGACGGGGTGTTGACGGGCGATGACTTTTGCGGCGAGATGGACCTGGCGCGTTCTGCGTGTTCCGACCTGTCAGCACCCGTCCTTGGACGAAAAGACGCCGCCGCGGTTGGAGGCTCCAATTCGCGCGTGACTGGCTGCGTTTCATGGACACCAGGCTGCCCATTGGCGGCTGCCGGGTGAACGCAACAGCAGCGAAGCAGCTGTTCCGGCAGCGAGGGCCCAAGGAGATGAACAAGGCCCGTTGCCGAGCGCACAGGTACAGGCACAGGGACAGGTACGGGCACGGGGCAAGGCCGTCCTTTCGGCAGCAGGGGGGCAGCAAAACTGACCTTCTCTCCGGGCCTGACGCTCCCGCTTGGCGGCGAGGAACACTTCCAGCTCGCGGGCGCGCACCTCGTCGTCCTCAATCTGCTGCCCGCGCAGGCGCTCGACCTGCTCGAGGAACTGCGAGACCTCGTCCGACATATTGTGTGCGTCTCTCTCTGCCGATGGAATATTAAGGGGGCGTTTTCTTGCGATTAACAGGACATGACAGGTCGACGCAGCAACGCGTGCAACGCCGTTTGGAGGGGGGGCCAAGGGGGGGTTTCTCGGGGACGTGCGCCAAACTTTTTTTTCGGTGATGCGATCAACGCACTGGAGGGGGGGAGGGAGGAGATGTAGTCTCGTGTGTTGACTTGCAGGTTTGGTTTTTGGAGTCGCTGGGGGTAGGAGGGACTGGGGCGAGGGAGGGGTGACGCAGCAGCAGCAGCTCGGCGCAGCCCAGCCAAGCCAAGCATCCCGTCTCAACAGGCCTAGCAGACCCCCCCAGAGCCCGCCCGTCAGCAGCTGAGCTCAGTGGAGGTCCCCGCTGAAACGGCCCAGCGGGGTGCTGTCCGGGCTCCAACTCCCATGGGCCCGACGGCCGGTAGCCCGACGTGGCCCGTGTTAGCGCGCATCGAGCCTCATCGACCCCCTGTCCCTGTCTTTGGTGCCTGTAGCAGCACGTCTCTACGTTCGGTCTTCATGGCTTGGAATGTTGCGCTTCCGGGGCGGCCTGTCCATGTCGTTTCATTTGCTTGCGTCCGCGGCCGTGGGCTCGCGCGCGTGCATGATTTCTATCTGAAGCTGGCCAACAGGCAGCTGACCATCGCAAAGCGTTATGGCGACGCGAGCGACTCGAATGCCCCTCTCAAAAACGTGCCGACACGAGCTGACGGACGGACGGTGGTGGGGGAGGGGCCGCTCGCCTCGCAATCGTTTTGTTTACTTTTCGCTTGTGCATCGCGTCACCCAGACGATTGAAGCCGCGCATCCACCCGCCCACCTGCTCCTGCTAGTCCCTCACAAGGGCCCGCGAACATGCGCGTCGACGATGACCGATGCGCCGTCCCCATTGGCTTGTTGGTAGAAGCGATAGAGTTTGTGGCTGTCATTCAATCGAGTGTTTGATCGCTTTTCGCTGCCTGAGCTCGGTATTCGCCGTCGTCGTTGTTGTCGTGGTCGTCGTTGTTGCTGTAGCTGTCGCAAGATGGTGATGGAGTTTCTCCGGTTGCAGACCTCGGATTTGACGCCTCAGATGCTGTCCGTCACGTCCATCCTGCCTCTTCAGTACAGGAACAGCCGCTTCTTCGCGTCTGCCACGACCCACGCCAGGCCCTCCTGCAGGTTCTTGCCCGTCATGGCACTGCATCGCAGGACGTGCCACTGGTGCGTCCGAATCTCGTCCAGACGCAGCGCCTAGTACCTTTTCGTCAGTCAAGCTCATCTCGACCTCCGGGTACGCTTCTGGTGCCTTACCGTGCGTATCTCTTGCTCGTCCATGCACCCGTCAACGTCCGTCTTGTTCGCAAAGATCAACAAGCTTGCACCCGCAAGACGCTGCTCGCCCGCCTCAGTTAGCATCCACAGGGCATCTCCAGCATCTTCAACAGCGCACACACCTCTTCCAGCAAGAGACCATGCAGCTCGTCCCTGCAGTCGCTGATGCGCAGCCGGTCTGTCGCATCGACGACCCATATCAAGGCGTCCGTCTTCTCAAAGTAATTGCGCCAGTACGACCGCAGCGTCTTCTGGCCGCCCACATCCCCTGTTAAGCATCAGCACTGGCACCGTGGCCGCATTCATGGTACCTTCTGCATACAAATGTTGAGCTTGTATCTGCCTGGCCGTTAGCAACGTCTCTCGGGCCTCGCGGATTCTTCCGCACGGCTGTCTCACCCCTCGTAGTCGATCGTCTTGATGATGAAGCCCAGCGTCGGGCTCACCGTGTTGACGTCTTCCCCCATAATCTTCTTGACGATGGTCGTCTTGCCCGCATTGTCCAACCCCCTGCGGTCCAGTCAGCTCCTCGTACCTCACCCGGATGAGATGGTCCAAGGGGCGCCACGGACAGCATCAGGATCCGCATCTCCTTATCCTTGAGCCGGGCCTTTCGTAGGATCGACAGCATCTCGTCGGTCTGTCACAGTCTTCCACTCCACAGTACCCGAGAGAACGGTTGCCGATTGCTTTACGCCGAGAATCGGCGCTGCCAACGATGCAGCTGGGTCGCGTGTTTGCGGAGAGCAGGTTCTCGCATCTCTGAGGTGGTCTGGATTGATGCCTGCGAATTGCTGGCCCAATTGCGCTAGCTGGTGCTCCACCTTGCTCCGTGCTCACTGCTCAGTGCTCACCTTCACACACACGCGGCCCACGAGGAGTCGTGTCGGACGAACAAAGTTCAATGAACAATGGAATTACCAGTACCGACATTTTCGCAGTCCGCCAAAGCATAGCTGTGGTGAATTCGCGTGGTGCATGATTCATCTCCATGGCATTTTTTTCTACTCTACATTTTGCAAATGGTTCCCTGTCGACAAGCTTCCGCAAACTATCGCGCCCATGCCAACAAACGGATCAACACCCCTTTAGCAAACCTGTCACAAGCTCGACATGTCGTATATGCTGTTAAGCGACATCAAAATCAACATCCATCGCCCTCACAAGTCCGTTCTCTCAAGAATGTTGCATGCCACGTGCCCACCAAAGGCCCCATCCCTCAACGACAATGCCTGCCAGACGTGATCCTTCGGCCAACTGAGACGGGGATGTAGACTCGCCTAGGGCTGCGGCAGCAAGTATTCTCCAGGACGTCGATCGCAAACCTCGAGGCTCTTCTGAGCCTCAAATTCGTACAATACGACGTCGATCCACTTGCTCTCTGGACCTCGATCAGTCCGAACAAAACGGCGAAGATGAGCTGCTTCGGTGAAGCCGTATTTACTCAGCATCGCGTCACGCCACTTGAGACCTGCATCCTCTCTACCCTCGCAGAGAACTTCAATGTACAGTCGAGTGTACTGGCGCACGTTGGAAGTGTGCGAGGTGTCGTAAATGTGCCCACTTTCTGCACACTTCCATTCGTAGTCAACGAAGCTGCGGCGAAAGCAGATGCAGCTGAGGAGCTTGTCAAGAAGCGCTGACCCATATAGCTGACGTCGATGCTTAGGGTGCACCACAATCCGTGCCTGTCCGGAGAAGCGCATTCCAGGACATGGGGCGTTAAGGAGTCCAACCCGAAAGGCTTCGCTGATGAATCCGAAGCCTACCACCGGCGGGGTTCTCACTGGCTGAGACTTTTTGAACTCGAGGTATTCCTGATACGCTTTTCCCGAGCTCTTTGGCCATTTCGCCGGGTCCAACAACTCATCTTCGGCGGGGACCGCGACGATAAAGGGCCGCTTGTGATGCTGGCAGTATGTAAACACCTTGTTGATGTCCGCAGCAGACACCTGCTTGGAGTCGAGAACATGAAGTGAGCCTGATTGAGTCTCGAGATTGATAATGTCGGCGATCTGCTGGAAATCTGCGGGACAGGCCGGTCGCACGACACAATGTGCGTTGGGCCACTGATGATCTTCCGCCGCCGCGTCGGAAGCAACTCTCGTGTCGGCCTGGACCTGGGCGATTGAGTCTCGGACCTGCATTCCAAGCTTCTGGCGACTCGCGAGCTCACGAGTGATCTGCAATTCGGACGTCATGTTGCATCGTCGCCAGCCGATGTCACGAGCGTCCCGGCAAGCGCCTTCAATGTAGCATTGCAGGGTCTCGGGATACTCCGGAGGAGCAATCATGTTCCCAGTGATTGTGTCAATATCGAAACGGCGATATTCGAGGCCGTTGGAGTCTTTGGGCAGGGTGACTGGCTCAGGCAGCTCGAGGCTATCAAGCCATGTGTGAGAGATGCTCCCTTCTTTGCCCTTACCCGACAAGAGAGTGGTGTTGAACGTGGCCCGATGGTCTTTGCGCGACACGGGCCTTCGGATTTCCGGCAACTTTTCGACGAGTTTGACAGACTGACTGTTGATGTTGGTGGAAGGGTCCAAGTCGCTGACGCTCCAGCTGTCCGCGCTCCGTTTCTCCTTCTGAAGAAATTCATCCTGTGGGATGGTCTTCTGGATGAATTCCAGTGTGATAGGAACCGGTTCTTGTGCATTCTCTTTCTTCGGAGAGATTGCCACGGTCTTCTGAGGCAGAGTAATGTCCTGAACTTTGAGTGCCGCTCGTTTCTGTGCATAGAAGTCTCGCAGGTCTGCCGCCTTCTGTTTCTCCTCCTCCTCGAGCTGTTGTCTGGCGAGCTCGTAATCCAGAGGCTTCCCCCACTTGTTGTTCGGGTCGTCGGAATGGATGACGAAACCAGTGTCATGGCCTGCAAAAGCGACAGGTGTCTCCAATTTGGTCGTCATGACCTTGGCGCTGGTGTTGCTGTGGTGGGTTGGCACAGACGAATGTTTGCCAGAGCTGTTGCTCTTGTGCTCCTCTTGCAAAGGAGGGGTCGACAGGAGAGTAGTGCCGACATTGCTCGGCCCGCCCGGATGGCTTTCATGACGCGTAGGGCCTCGACCACCTGCTGTGGCAACGCCTGGGGGAACTGTCGGCGCAGGATTGTGATCATTGAAAAGCCAGCCTCTCATGGAGTTGCAAGCTTTGGCAAGGTTATCATTTGGATTGTGACGGCTGAGGCGGGATGAAGCCATGATGGCACACGAAGGTCGCCGGACGCGACAACGACGGAGATCGGTGAATGGCTTGTGTCTGGGTTTGGGGGCCGCTTCGGCAGGCACTGCGTGTTTGTATGCCACGCAGAAGCAGGGAGGTTGCAAGAAGCAGCCTGTAAAGAGATGACAGAGGTAGGGAAGGGCGGGAGAAGAACGAATGGAGAGCTTGACAAGGCTCCGTCGGAGGGCGTGTTATGTGTAGGGGGGAAGTTTGGTGCAGAGGCAAGAGGGAACAGAGGCGAAAGGAGAAGAAGGAGAAGGAACAGGTGCGGCGGGCAGTCGGCTGACTGACCTCACAGACGGGACGAAAGATTTGGGCGGTGCGAGTGCGCGCGGCTGCTGGCAGCTGGTGCAGGAACGCAGCAGTGGCAGCCTCAGGCCCCCCCGTCCAGCGCTCGCTGTCCACCCTAGCCGTCGCCTGGAACACGTGCCGTGGGTGGGCGGGCAGAGTCGCCGGGCATGGCCAGATGGCGGAGAAAGCTCACCCACAGGGAGCTGCGAGATGTTGGTCCCCATATGCATAGCAACGGCGAACGATCGATGATGCCTGGGTTTCCCCGAGACACCAACATCGTGAGGAGACGTTAGGTCTGGAAGTTTGGTGCGAGGAACCTTGCCGTTTATTTGCATTGCTGTGCGTAACGCGCAAGCTACCCTCGTCGGTGCGGATGGATATGGACTTTACTCGCCTCTTGACACCAACGCAGTTCGCGGCGGACAGTCCAGCGTGTCCAAAACTGTTGCAGTGGTCGAACACTCCCCGTCAACACCCTATGCATCTGATTAGCCAGCGATCTTTGGGCGGCCTCAGAAAGGCATGAAATACATCTTCGTACTGATATGTGCATGCGAATGGCTTTGGTGGTGTACCTGCAAAAGCCGCCTTGTATGGGACTTGTGCAGCAAAATGCCAGTACGCTTGAGGTTTAGGATGCCACCAAGGGGCATGTGGTGCCAGAACTTGAGTCTCTCACTTGTCACGCGATAGAGCAATGATCGCGTCGATCTATGGCCATACTAATCAGTGCACATCGCTGTCACGTTTCTGCACTTCCTCGTCGCAGTTTCTATCGTCGTGCCACGCAGCTGAGGCTTGATGGAAAGTGGCGGGCATCACAGACAACAGGACGCTTCTCGCAAATCAGTGTTGACACGAGAGGGTCCGCACGTATGACTTAAAAACATCCGGGAAGGGTCATCCGTGGCTTCTCAATGCCTTCTCGCAACACATAATTCCCAGCCTGACAAAGACCTGAAACCGCAAGTAGCACCGGGTAGGCTTTGCCTGATCTGCCCACGGAGACATCACCAGACCAGGCGTATTTCGGCTGCACTCTCCCAGCGTAAGCAAAAAGACGGGGCGTCAACAGGCAGAGCACAATGACTTGCCAATCGCCTAGTCAATTCGACAACGCAGCACTTATATGTTGTTCCTTCAGCTGCCGCCGTTGGTGCGTGCACCGATAGAGTCGGGCCTTTCGCAGATTGGGACGCAAACACCACCGTAGCCCATGCTGCTCCTAGCACAAGAAGACATCCAGAGCACTTCCATTATCCTTCTCCACATCTCGGGCAAACAACTGGCGCGGCTCCATCAATCAATTCGGCTCATGGCGACGTCTTTGAGATCGCCAAGGTGGCCATACTAATATATATAGAAATAGGCCTACGAAAGAATACACAGGGTCTCCCCCCGCCCCAGAAGCAACAAGCTGCTGGCGTGGTGTAAAATGCGGCCGCGTGGCCTAATGGTTAAGGCGCTAGATTTCGGTTATCTTGCACAACCGTGCTCTCTAGAGATTCCAGGTTCGACTCCTGGCGTGGTCGTTATTCGACGTGCAAGAATTTTTTTGCCTGGCTCGGCCAGTCATGCAAGTGACTCAGCTGTGCACAGTGTCCTTTTTTGGACTTTTTATTCTCAGACAGTAGTAATGGCTGCGATTGCCTCTCATGACCATTTTTTTGAGTCTGCGTGCAGGGAATGCAGGGGGTTGCCATGTTCACTGGAAAGGCAAGTTTTGGGGCCGTGCCCCGCGTTCTCGCCGCAATGTCTCGATACGTCGACCCCAACTCGCTAACGCTGCAGGCCCTGGCCCTGGCGGTGCCGTCCTCTGCACATCGCGTCCAGCCACAGCTGCGGGCCAGGCACACCGAACCCACCCACCAATGGATGAGCCGACATCGGTAGCCGCTTATCATCGTCGTTGTTCGGCTCATCATGGCACTTCCTCTCTGTCACTGCTCACCGCCCGCGCCGAAATTCCCACCCGTCGGTCCCTGGAGGCTGGAGCCGAATCCTGAGGCGCGTCACCTCGCGACACTTCCCTCCTAGGCATCCCCGCGGTTCTGGCTCCCACGGCGCACTCAAAGCGCCTCGACAGCGTCCTCGACCGTGCCCCGCGATGTCGTCCTCGCTTCCCGGCAGTCGCGATCTGCCCATCTCGCAGTATGACCTGGGCACATACATGGGCCGCGTGCGGCACTCGATCGGCATAACGGATCCTAGGTGCGTTGGACCTTGGCGACGGGAGGGAGTCCTGTTGTGGCCGTTGCCACCACTGCAACCCCGTTCGCGCGTTCGGCGTCGTGCTACAACGTCTGAAGAAAGAATGCTGACGGTCGATTGGTTACAGTACGCTTCTCGCCGGCACCTCTGGACTCGAGCGTGCCAAGAAGCTCGTCACGGATTACAAGACGGGAAAGCTGCAGCACATGACGCCGGAGCTATGGCAGGCGAAAAAGATTGTCGACTCGACGCTGCATCCCGGTATGAATGGGCCGTCGCAAACCCTATACCTCGACGCAATGCTAACCACGAACGACCCTTAGACACCGGCGAGCCTGTATTCCTGCCCTTCCGAATGTCGTCCTTCGTCATCACGAACCTGGTCGTTACCCTGGGCATGCTCCAGCCCGGCCTGGGCACAGCGGGGACCATCGGCTGGCAGTGGGCTAACCAGTCCGTCAACGTGGCCATCAACAGCGCCAACGCCAATAAGTCGTCACCCATGACCACCGCTATGCTTGCCAAGTCCTACGCGATCGCCGTCACTGCGTCTTGCTCCGTGGCCCTGGGCTTGAGCAGGCTGGTGCCGCGGCTGCGCGTCTCGGACGGCACAAGGAACGTCTTGAAGCGCCTCGTCCCCTTTGCGGCCGTGGCATCGGCCGGTGCGCTCAACGCCTACCTCATGCGGCGCGGAGAGATCGAGACCGGCATCGACGTCCGCCCGGTCCTGTCAGATGCGGAGAAGAAGAAGCTGGAAGAGGAGGGCAAGTCGGAGCGCGACGTGCCGTCTCTGGGTCGGAGCCAAAAGGCAGCCAAGCTTGCCGTGTACGAGACGGCTGCCAGCCGCGTCTTCAACAGCAGCCCCGTCATGATCATCCCGCCCATGATCCTCTACTACATTCAGCAGAAGGCTGCCTGGTACAAGAACCTGATGGAGAAGGAATGGGTCAAGGCGAGGCCCCGGGTGGCCACGACGATTCCCATCGGGCTGAACTTGGGCCTGATCGCTGCCACGTCTTTTGCAGTCCTGCCCCTGGCTTTGGCCGTCTTCCCGCAGCAGCAGCAAATCTCGGCAGATAGCCTCGAGGAGGAGTTCCGTGGCAAGGGTGGTTCTGGCGGCAAGGTCTGGTTCAACCGCGGTCTGTGAGAGATTGGCGCATTTGCCACTGCAAGCGGCGTCTTTCCATCATCATGCGGCAGAGAGAGACGCCTGGCGTACAAGGCAGCATCATGGAGCATATCTAAAAGAGCATAGAGAGCGTGGTACGGGGCGAGCACAGATGGAGCTGCAGACGCAACAATTATTTCGGTTGGAGAGTGGACAGGCGTCCCGTTGTCCATAATTGCGCCTTTCTGCGCCGTTCAAGCGCATGGAGATGGGCGACGCAGATAAAACAAGTTACATAGATTATTCCATGCAACATCTGCTGAATTTGGCACACAGGCATGGTGCAAGTTTGGTGGAGTGCAGCTTGTTTGCCCAATTGAGTCGAGAGAGGGGAACAGTTGCGGAGTACACACCATGCGGGCTTACTCCAGCTCGCTCGCGAGAGATTGAATGAAGCACTCGTAGGAATTACATTTTGCATATCGTGTCTGCTCTTGCGGCGTTGCGCGCCAACGGTTCAAGTGGCTATATGAGGTTGTGGCTTCGGAGTCGCCACCGCAGACAAGATCGGCGGGCCTGGATGGTTCTGCTTACGGGCCCGGTGCTGAAGATGGTTCACGGGCTTGCCGGAGGCTGAACGCTCAGGAACCACGCCACCCACCACAGACGAGGACTCGATGGGGTCCGCGGGGGAGGGAACGAAATGGAATCGATCGTGAACGGAGACGAGTGAGACCGGTTTGGCAGCTGCCAATGGTCTTTCTGCCCATTGAATACCGCTGTATATTACTTTCAGTTTACCCCAAACTGTCCCTTTCATTTCAATGCGTCCATAACTAACATCTAACCCCAATTGCTTGTCGCTGGCTGCAGCCCCGTCGGACAGTCGCGCGCCGGCGCGGAATCAGCGCCCCTGCAAAAGTCCAGACCCTTCTGATGCTGCATGTACCCGAGCCAGAACCCGTAACCGGCCCCGGGATCCTTTTCCGGGTGAGTCCCGGACACCGTGCCGGCTATGTAAGAGCCGCAGCGTTGCTTGATGATGGGCAGCATGGGCTGGACGAGGCCTATGGTCACCGGCTCCTGGTTGGTGTTATTCCATCGACAAAGGAAGGCGACGGTGGAGCCGCTGATGCTGTAGATGGATTTGCCGGCGAACCGCGGGCGGGACTTGAGCCGCTCCAAGAGGGCCTTTAGGGCGTCGTCGGTGTCTTTTCGGTTGAGCTTGTTGTTGCAGCTGCAGTGCGAGTACGGCCAGTAGGGGTCGGTGTAGGCGTAGCGCTTGTCGAGATCGGGTTGCGAGGCCGTCAAGTTGCTGTCGGCAGTTGCAGGTGTTGGGATGGTCGCCGCTCTTGATATGGCAGCGAGAGCGACGATCAAGGTAGAGACACGCATGGCTTTGAGGATGTCAAATATTCTCGCAATGGCAATGTTGTATTTCTCAACACGCAAGTGTAGGCAATAGGTAGTATTTAATGATTGAGCTCATCCTTTGCCTATATTTATATTCTCCGAGCACTCCCAGGCAACGAGGAACCTGCGACACGGAACTTGTGTCGCACTCTGTAAATAGAATCCAGGACTAAGCAGCAACAGCAGCAGCAGCAGCAGCAGCAGATAACGACTTTGCATTGCCAAAACATTGCAATATCCCATTACCTGCAGGATCGCAAGCTCGAGCCAGGCCTAGGAGGAGGCACAGGAGGCATATGCGGATTGGGTGGTGGCGGCGGCGGCATGAAACCGCCATTCCACCTCGCAGTGCCCAGAGAACGAGGGCCAGCTGAGGGCTGAAGGCGACTGTAAAATGGACCTCGAGCAGCCAACGGACCTTTTCCCCCCTGTCAACAGGAGACTATCAGAGGCTTCCAACCATCTCAGGCCCCAGCGGTTCGCCACACGTGACGGCTCGTAAGGGAAAACGCGGCAGCACTCGACTGGCAATTGCCGACTTGTTGGCGCCATTCCAACCACAGCGACGGGCAATGGGCAATGAGCAATGGGGCGCTGGTGCCAGTGGCTCGGCATGGACATGACCCGGCTACCTCTCTAGCGGGGAAACGCCAACACGATGCGCCCGACACACAGTGAGCATGGTGCACGACATGACCCGACTCCACGAGCGACCAGAGACGTGCGTGCGTACACCCCAGATCTCTGGGCAGGAGGGGGATTCAGCGCCATGTGGTGTGCATCAGAGCATCCTGCAACACGTGCTCTGGCAGGGGCGCTCCTTGGATCGCAATTCCGTCCAGGAGACGGCCGGGGCGACGCTTGGGCTGGGCTGTTGCTCTCGGATCGAGTGCTACGGGTTTGGCGGCTGACACGGAGCGCGAGGAGAGCGTTGCCCCGTGCATTCGACACGTTTCTGCCGACAGGGCGGACCAACGCGGGTGGTCGAGTCGACGCCAGGCGTGACGGGCGCTCCATTCTTTGCTGGAGTATCAACGTCACACTGGGTCCTCTTGGTGGCCGCACATGGCGGCAGGTATGGGTACTTGTTCATCATGTGTGCAGACAGTCACTTGCAGGCCCGTCGACGGAATCACACTCCCGCCTGGACTGGAAGCGCAGGATTGTGCGGTGCTCGTACACAAGTTACGCGGGTCAATTCTTTGACACGCAGCAATGCCTTGCCCTTTGACCGTGTTCCATAATAACACCTCTGGGCAGCATCGCCATCAAACACGTGTGGGGTTGAAACCTGCGTGGTCGTAGCTGGACTGGTCCGTGGCCTCATGCCGCGACCCGGGTTGCCCAAAGTCGTTACAGTGTCCGCCAGAGGCCCCCGGCGGATCGCGGATGACCCCTCCAGCACTGCCGCCAGCGACTGGACCAGCCGCGGGGCCGCAGCACAGCCGACACGCGCAGCGCAGCGCAGCGCAGGGCACCGGTCAGGTCAGCCAGTCCAGTCAGTCAGTACCGGTACATGGAACTTGCTTCCATCCCATCATGGCACGCCGGCACGCACGACGAGGTCATGTCCGACACCTCATGCGCCAAACTCGGCAGCCCCGCGGCTCGACTCCGCCGCCTGCCTCTTCTTCTGCTCGCCGTGCAGTGCTGTGTGCTGTGCCAGCGCCCTGGTGCCTGCGGGGCCATGGCCGATTGCCTTTTGGCCCGCTGACGTGACGGCGCCGTGGGCACGAGAAGCAAGCCGCCGACGAGACGAGCGATGCGTGCGAGACACGTCCTCCAAGTTTGCCAGCCAGGCCCCAATCACGCCGCCCCTCGGTGTGAGCCCGTGAGGTGCGTGGGCTCCTCGCCTCCCCATCCATCCATCCCTCCATCCACCCGCGGATGGTTCCGTCACGCGGAGAAGGGAGTGGTGTGCCTGTGTGGTGGTTTTCCCCCCAGCATGCCGGGGTTGGCTGGCCGGCTGGCTGTCGGTGGAACGCTGAGGTGAGCGTTCCATGATCTCGGTGAGGTCGGGTGGGTGGGTGTTGCCCTGGGCTGGCCCGCCCCAGCGAAATCGAGTGCTGAGCCCGCTGCCCTGGGCTGCTGATGAGGCACCGCACCCGACCCCCGCCCGCCAGGCGCGGCGCCCACGGATCGCATCACTGGTCACTGGACGCTGGGCAGCCCGACTGTGGGGGACGCTCTGACGCGCGAGACTGACTGGCTGAGGCGAGGTGCGGGAGGCGAAACCGTCCCGGCAGCACCGTGTGGCCGCCCGCGTGTCAGCACGGCCGTTTGCCTCAGGCGCCTCCCCCCCGGCAATCAGCTCACGCCAGACAGACCCTGCGGCGGCACCCTGGGCCAAGCAAGACATGGCGACCCCGAAATGAGGAAACCCTTGCCGTGACGGTGACGATGTTCCAAATTGGCCCCGGCTCGTAATTCAGGCGCACTGCTGCTGTCAAGACGAAACCTTTGGCAGGAAAACCCGTTCCCCTTCACAGACAGCCTTTGGCACGTAGGTAGAGTTTAGGCAGAACGCGCTGGCGCTGAAGGGGGTGGCGGGCGCGGGTGCGCGTGGCTCGCTCGTGCCACGGCACCGTGGAATCGACGGCCAGCGTCGCTCGGGGCTGCCCGCACTGTAAAGCACTGTACGGCGCTGGGTCCCGTTGGGACGAGGAGCCCGTCACATCCACTGGCTCTGCGTGCTGGCTGGCCGGCCCTCTGCCCGGGCTGGGGCAGTTGCATCGCTCGGCACCCCCCCTTCTGCGCCGGCGGGCCAACCAAGCTGCGCCTGCTGCAATCCACCACTAAACCAAACCGAACCAAACCAAACCACCGCCGCCGCCGCCGCCTCCTCCACGAGCGGCCTGGCCCAGACCAGACCAGACCAGCACAGCAGAGCAGCCCAGTGCAGACAGACCACCCATGCTCTTCTCCAGCGGTCGTAGGGCCCTTCGTGCACACTGTCAGTAGGCGAATCTTGGCAGTGCGCAGTGACTGGCCTGCACCGACCCATCGGCTGGCAATCGACCTGACTGGGCCACCGCCCGCTGTCTGCCCTCCGCCAGCTGCCCGCCGAAGCCTGGCGTGCGTGCGCTACGCAGTAAGGTTGTGCCATCCGGTGGCTCACATTCTCAGCGGCGGCCCTCTATTTTCCTCGCAACCACCGCTCTCGCCTCCTCATCCTCGTCCCCTTCTCGCCCAGCATCATCCCCTCGAGAAGGCATTCATCTTGCTTGCCTTGACCGGCGGCCGCCACCGCTGTTTCCATTTGACGACGACCACGAGGCCCGCCTCGTCGGAGCACTCTCGCGTTCTGCACGCCCTCGACCCCCGCCGACTGCACCTCGCGGCCAAGGGGGAAACCGCGCAGCGAGCAGCATGTCGACGCCCACGACGGCCGTCGCTACGCTCCCTCGCTACCACTCGCATACGCATACACACTACCATCACTCCGCGTATCCGCACCAGCCTCACGCTGCCAACCCGCCAGTCGTCCACGGGCCCAACTATCGCGGCCCGGTCACCGCTGCCGCGTCCAGTTCGCTTCTGCCGCCCGCGGCACCCTCGACCCCGTCACGACTAGTTACAACCCTCTACCCGCCTATCGCTGCGGGCTCTGCCGCGGCGGATGGCGTAGCCACGTCCCAATCCTCAGTGCCCCGTCCCCCTCCCCACGACCACCACCGCGGCCAACCCGGCCATAACCACCATCATCACCACACGGACGTCGTCGACGACCAGAACCCGCCACCAGTGCCTCGCCACGGCGAGCCCTACACGGCATCTGCCATGGCGGGCGACCAGCCGTCGAGAAAACGCCGCCGCTCCCGCGAGCCCGACTGGAACAGTTTCTACCGCAACGGCCTGCCCTCGGAGATTATCGTCATTGACGACACGCCCGAGCCCGAGGCCAATACCGGCCGTAAAATCACGAATGGCACCACCGCCGCTGCGACCACCACAACCACCGTCCCCGCTGCCGCCGTCCGAGACGCCATTCCCGCCCAGCCCCAGCCGGCGGCCAAGAAGAGGAGAAAGGACGACCGGCCGGACGCCAGCCGACCCTCCGGCTATCACGTCCAATATGTCGGGTCACACGCAAGCACACCGCTGCAAAACAACACGCCCATCGGCTCCACCATATCCAGCGACCGCACCAACTCGGCGCTGCACACCACGGCACCGACGTCGCTCTCCTCGAATAGTCAATACGACGATGCACAGGCGCCGCTGAAACGCAAGCGGAATACCCGGCAGGCTGCCAACGAGGCCAAGCGGAGAGACGTCGATGGACTTGGTGATCCGTTCTTCACCTACAAGCCACCCGCCTATCCGCCCAAGAAGGCCTCTGAAGTCCATGTCCGGGTCGTTCACGATGTGAGTATTTCCTTCATTTACTCTTCAATGCACATCCTCCCGTCCTCTCGCCACCACACGATGGAATTCGCAGTGCTAACGATGTTTCTCCAGCGGCATCACGACAAGAACCACAAAGTCGACGACGACGATGGCCACTACATTGTCGTCCCTGACGCTGAGCTGACGGAGAAGTGTAAGTTCCGATCGCTTGCCCATCTTGCTGCTTGGTACTAATGGCGTTGTAGACCAAATTACCCGTCTTCTTGGGCAGGGCACCTTTGGCAAGGTTGTCCAAGCCCGTGAGCGGCGACGGAACAAGTCTGTCGCCGTCAAGATCATTCGATCGGTTCAAAAATACCGTGATGCCTCCCGTATTGAACTCCGTGTCCTGGCCACCCTGAAGGCAAACGATGAGGACAACCGCAATCGCTGCATTCACCTTCGGGACTGCTTCGATTATCGCGGACACATTTGCATCGTCATGGACCTGCTGGGCCAGAGCGTCTTCGACTTTCTCAAGGGCAACGGGTTTGTGCCGTTTCCAAACAGCCAGATCCAAAGCTTTGCTCGTCAGCTCTTCACGAGCGTTGCTTGTAAGTCCTCGCGTCATTGTTCCTCCGTTGCACGTACTGACTTGCCTAGTCTTGCACGATCTGAATCTGATCCATACCGATCTCAAACCCGAAAATATCTTGCTGTGTGACGCCGGCTATCAGACGTTCACCTATAACCGCAAGATACCCTCATCGTCTACAACCATCAACCGCCAGGCCACGCAGCGCCGAGTGCTCCTGGATACGGAAATCAGACTCATCGACTTTGGATCGGCCACCTTCCAAGACGAATACCATAGCTCGGTTGTGTCCACGCGCCATTACCGCGCCCCCGAGATCATTCTTGGGCTGGGCTGGTCGTATCCCTGCGACATCTGGAGCATCGGCTGCATCCTGGTTGAGTTCTTCACCGGAGACGCTCTATTCCAAACGCACGACAACCTGGAGCATCTCGCTATGATGGAGGCCGTTGTCGGCCGCAGGATTGACTCTCATCTGGTGCAGGCAGTCAACAAGATGTCGACCCGAAGTGGCGGGAACCCCGCGTCCAAGTATGCATCGGAATCACCATCGCCCACCGTCAATGATACTGACAACCTTTCAAGGTACTTCAAGCGGCTCAAGCTTGACTATCCGACGCCAGACACCACTCGTGGTTCTCGGAGGTTTGTCAAAGCTATGAAACAGCTACATGTACGTGCATCCCCTTCGACCCATGGCCGCGACGAGACCAGATGCTAACCAACGCAGGACATCATCCCTTCGAACACGCCGTTCCTTAAAAATTTCCTTGACTTGTTGGGCAAGATTTTCGTTTACGACCCTGCTCACCGCATCACCGCCAAAGAGGCTCTCAACCATCCGTGGTTTAAGGAGATGGCCCATCCCGACGACGGAACCGAGGCGGCTAAGATCAGGCTGGAGAGGAAACGCGCCGCCGAGCATGAGCACCTGCGACACCCCCAGTATGTTGGCTGAGGGAGCCCTCGAAGGCAGCATTTTCCTTCATTTCTTCACATAACGACCACGCGCATGACCATGGAGTTGGGAAGTCTATATATGGCAGATGCACAGCACCGGCGAAGTTTTACAGTTTTGCTGGAAGATCGACTCTGTCGGCAAAAAGGGCGACTGTACTTAGTGTATTAGTTGCAGTATCTTTGTTTCCATCTTGCTGGCTGTTGCCCTCGGGCAGTCATCAACCTTGGAAGTGAACTGCTTCAGTAGGGACCCGGAAACGACCCTGGGACGGAGGACGGGCCGCTTTCTGGGAGACGGCGTACGTGGACAAGGAGGTATGGTTGTTCAAAGCCAACCTAATATATACCAATGTCTGTCCACTCGATGAGGACGCGTCATGTCTGGTTTCTACGTCGACGGCGGTAGCGGAGGCACGCCGACTATACCGAAGAGGTGCCCTTGCGCGACGACCGTGACTGGCTGACCTGCAGATGCTACGACCAGAGGCAGCGGCTCGACACCCGAAAGCCATTGACAAACACGGTGGGAAACAGATTTGGCTTGTCAAGTGCTGACACAGCTTTTGTTTGCCCGTGGTTGACCGTTTAGGCTTCTTTGTGGTCGCAAGGGAGGGGAGTTTGGTTCGGGATACGGGCTTTGTCCTGACGAGGATCAGGTGCTCCATTCTCCTGGAGGCCATGTGCGAAGGGAGTTCGCTCTTCTCATACAAAATAAAACAGAGGCGAGCAGCATGAGAGGCGCCTTCGATCCTCATTTACCAGCATTCGCTCGCCGTGCTTCTCGATTCGGAACAAGACGAGCCAACAATAGTCCCAACGTCGACTCGGTACGGTACGGATAGCGTTTCTGCAAGACGAAGCTCGGCGAGCTTGTCAAAAGATGGCCAGAAGAAGACGTAGCAAGGGAGACACGAGACGCAGGAGCAAGTTCGTCATTGCTGACGTCGACAGTCGGCTCGGCGACGTCTCCGACAGGCGCCTCGATCAGCTCACGCGTGTGCTCTTCCATGACGACACCCTGCAAAGCCGGAAATGGGCCGCGGACCAAGAATTCCTGGTGAAGCGTCTCGGCGGCCGGCTGCTGCGGCCCAGGGGCCTGATTCCGAGGCTGACGATCCGCATGGCCAGACACCATGTCCCGTTCACGCCCCCTCGGGCAAACCTCTGCAGAGTGCATCGACCGCTTGACCCGCGCGTGGTGCGCAAGCTCATGGCGATGGTTGAGGAGGAGTGTACCGCGCGGGTGGACGGGCTCCGCAGGCATAGAGCGCATCGCGAGTGCGAGCCGTTGGTGGACCGCTGGCTTGGAAGGATGGACGCGATGACGAGGCTGTGGCTGGACGGATGTACCCTCGACGAGCTGCTCGACAGGGACTTTTCGCCACGGATGGGACGCAGGAGTGAGAATGGGAGATGCGAAGCCTGCATGCTTGCCGTGGTGGGGGGCTCTGCGCAGATGATATTGGATCTGACGGCCAGCGTGACGGCTCGTCGGTGGTACATGGCTGATCGGAGGCCTGATCGCCCTGCTCCGCCGCTGCTGCGCGTCCTCGAGTCGTGGAGGAGGCTCTACCCGGCGGAGACGCAACAGGTCGTCGAGGAGGAGAGCGAGAGGCTGGCCGAGCGCATCTATCAGCTGCGGACGGGGTTGAGGGCAGAGAAGAAGAAGGGAAGAGTGACGGAGAGTAAACTGATGCTGCTGCGGGCGGCGGGCCTGGGGAACCATATCCAAGAACCGGTTGGCGATGGGGTTGTTGCGTATCATCCGCGGCGAGCAGGGCCGAGGGTGTCGAGGCACGCGGCGGGGAGCGGTCATCGATCGAACAGGCGGGAGGACTTGCGAGATACGCCGGAGGGTGAATACCGCCCTGCTGGTGAGCCCACGTCTCGAAACGCCAAGACCAGGGGTGAGGCAAGTTGCAAGACGTCGTCGAAGACCGGAGCGCCACGCGGGCATGGCGAGGAGGCGCGCCGGAGTGAGGCGCGGATGCCAACGGCGACAGCGGCAACGACCCAGGGGCCCGCCAAGAAGAAGCAGTCCTGCCCTGACAACGGAGACGCGGCCTTTGAAGGTGAGGAGGAATACATGGACGACGGCCAGGAAGGAGTCCACCAGGCGTACCGTGACGAGCGAGACGTGAACGCGACGCAGATGCATGAGCCATCCCGCTCTCGACCCAAAGACAACATGGCAGGCAGAGCAGAGGAGCACCAGGGCCGCAAGTCTACCGCAAAGGCGGCGGGCGTTGGAACATACGCCTCGGTCGCAAAGGATGCATCGACGCCAAAGAAGACGCGCACATCCGGGCAAGGGGCTCAGGAGACTAACGTGCCTCAGCAACGACGAGGGGCGAAGGAAGAAGTCGGCCATATGCCGCAAGGGCCAGCGGCAAAGGCTAGCATGCGAGACCAGCGATCAGCGACGCAATATCCAAACACGGGATCGAGGCGCGCGTTCGGACTCGCGCGCCTGTTTGGTCCACGCCAGGTCGACGACGCGCCGAAGCCCGCTGCTGGCTCTGGTTTCGAATCCGCAAACACATACGGGCAGAGACACGGGGCCAACCCTGCGGGAAGCTTCAAGGGGGCACAACAACAACAGCCGCGGGTCGTTTTGGAACAAGCGCGGGACACGGCCGAACGTCACGGCAATGGTATGATGAGACCGTCGCGGCGGCAGAGGAGGCGCAAGCGCACCAAGAACCGCGGGTTGCGCTTCTCTGATACCGTTGCGGAGGTGGATGACTACTCGCGATATCCCGGAACTGCCCGGATGGATCCCCTCGAGAGAGAAGAAGAAGAAGAAGGCGCGGTGTCGGCAGGGGCTCACGGCGCGAACTACCAGGACAGAGGCTGCGTATCCGACTCGCGCTATGGCGGCACAGGTGGTGAGTATGGCGTCGACATGCGCAACTACGTGGACGCGGACACGGAAACATACCAGCACGGAAACGTCACGTATGACACACCTGTCTTCGACCCGCACTGGACGTCTGGACTACGCAACGGCGGCGGAGGCGGCGCCTACGTGCACCCCATGGTCGAGAGCGAGCCGCCTCCCGACCCCGAGCGGTATTACACTACGAGGAATGGCCGAGAAGAGGACGGGACGGGCGGTTTTGCCGACAGTGACGACGAAGCGTGGTCGGTGACTGGCACGACGACGGACTCGTGGTGGGAGGAGGAGGGGGAGGGCGTGGGCGAGAGGGGCAAACGGCACAGCAGTCGTGATCTAGACGACGGCTACGTGCGCGTTGATAAACGGGAGGGGGTGCTTAGGAGACTTGGCTTGACAGTCTGATCGTAAAGGGGATCTGATCGTGGGGAGCGCGTACTCCTCCTGGACGTGGCCAGCTGGGACAAGATGACAAAACGCGTCGTGCGGTGGGCATGCTGTGGCCAAGGGGGACAATGAGGAAGCCATCACTACATACGTAGATGCACCATAGGGCCGTGGCCGCTGTCCTTTATAGATACACCCACCGGTGTCTTCACCCCCTATCACATGGACTCGATTGAGAGAATGCAGCGATACGTAGCTGCACGTCAAGCCGTGGGTATCCTGTGCTGCCCGTCTATACACGGCCCGCCCCTTATTTGAAAACAAGGCAAGCTCGACACCTATGGAGTGGGTATTCGTCTATGCGTACATGAACCATCTCTCCGTCAAATCAGTCCATCAGTCCGCCAGCTTCTCCATGAGCATCTGCACCGCTGGCACGTAGCAAGCCGCCTCCTGGAAGTCGCCGAGGCGGACCCTCATGAGGTCAAACGCAAGCAGCACACCATGCTCATGTGGACCGTCCTGAGCCTGGCCCTCGCCCTGGCCCTCGGCGCGCCGCAGGCTGTCGGCTTTCGTGTACCGCTGCGAAAAGTGCGTCAGGAGGGTGCGGCGGGCCTGCATCTCGCGGGCGACGCCCAGGGCCTCGCCCATGGTGGAGTGCTTCTTTGCGCGCGCGTGGTCCTGCTTGTCGTCGCCAAAGGTGCACTCGTGGACGAGGAGGTGCGCGCCACGGCAGGCCTGGGCGAAGGCGCTCGAGGGCCGGCAGTCGCCCGAGTAGGCGATGCGCAGGCCCGACGTGAGCTCGAGCTCGGTGCCGTAGGAGCGCCAACAGTGCGGCACGGGGACGCGCTTGATGGACGCGAGGCCAAAGTTTTCGTCGCCGAGGTCTTCGCGCGTCGTCATGTCGCGGTCGCGGTCCTTGGGCCAGGGGCAGCTGGGGAAGCGAAGCCGGTGGAAACCAATGTCCTCGACCTGCGACAGCTCCTCCAGCATGGTCCTGTAGCGACCGATACACGAGATGGCGAGCGTGGCGTTGCTGTTGTCCTTGAGCGTCTGCTCGTACCACGCCTTGATGAGGGAGGCAGCACCCATGTGGTGATCGGCGTGGACGTGGCTGATGACGATGCACCGCAGGTTGCGGAGCACGTCGACGGCCTGCTCGGGGTCAAAGGCGCGGCGTATTTGTCCGAGCGTGCCCTCGCCGCAGTCGAGCAGGTAGTTGCCGATGCCAGGGACAACAATGAGTGTCCCGGACACGTTGCGGTGCTTGCTGGGGACCGACGAGCCGGTGCCCAGCGGTATTATCTCCGCGTCTCTGTTTGGTATGTCCTTTTCCGTCTCCTCAATCCTGGCCAACAGCTTCGGGTCTGACGCCTCCGCCCTGGACTGCTCAGCCAGTGCCAGTACGGTCTCGTCCACAGACTCCGAGGCACCGACCAGGTCCGGGAACGGGGCCATGGCCTGGTCGTCAAAGACCAAGCGGGGCATCAACTGCAGTTTCGTGCCCGCACGGCCAAGTTCAATGGAAGAATCGGGCCCCGGCGCCGGATGTTGAACAGTATTGTCGAACTTGGCCAGGGGAAATCTTTTGGAGTCGATCCGCCTCAGCTTGACCTGAATCTCGGCCGCGCCTGGATGCGTCACCATGTTGGGGCATGTATCTTCAGCGCAAAAGACGTGCTTAATCTGAGAGTTCTTCTTGATGAAGGACTGAATGGCAGGATCGTCTGCCATGCCGGAGCCGAGGAGCCAATACACGACGGCAACGTGTTCCATAATCTCCGGGGTACTCCATTCAGGGCGTTCCATGAAGGCATCCAAGAAGTCGTGCGAGGGAATGTCTGCGACAACAATGCCCTTGCCGGGTTGCGGCTCCCCGAGGACCATGTCCGGGGTGACAGTCATGCCGTCCTTGCCCTGGACACTTTGCCCGGCCGTCAGGAGCTTAAAGTCCTGCGGCTTGACGCCAAGCTCCTTGGCCGCCGGGGCGTTGAACTTGCCCCGCCGATCGTGGCACTTGACGATGTAGGACATGGACGTCTCGCCGTACGTGGTGCGAGGGAGGGGAAAGTGGTTGATGGCCAGAACGTCGTCGCCGGCCTCACGGTCTCCTGACCTTTCGTTCGGATCGGGAAAGACCCAGACAGTCTCGTCTTGGTCTTGAGGCTCTGCGCCGGCCGTGGAGTCCGACTTCTTGAACGGCTTCAGGGTGCCTTGCTCGACGACGACGGCGAGATCTTCGGGCTTGAGGTCGCGGATCTTGCGCCGCACAAGAACAGATCTGTTGTTGAGGCTACCGCTGAACATGATTCTCTCAACAATCATGCCGGACACCTCAGGGTCGGAGATGGTTGCGCGCGGCTTGTACGTCCCATTCGCGTCAGCATTGTCGGCCGGGATGCCGTCGACGGGCTCGAGGCTGCTGTGGCGACGCTTGGGCGGGCTGCTGGACCGCGCCCTCCGTACCGGAAGCTTCCACACTCTTATCGCGTCGTCGCTCCAGTCGGGCTCCGTGTTAGTCGCGTCCGCCGCTCTGGGGTCTGCTCTGTGCTCGTGCGGCCGCACGCTGATGGGTTGCCGAAAGATGACGGGACGGCAGGCGGCGAGGATATGGCAGAGGTTGTCGCCGCCGTGGACGCCGATGCCCGAGTGCTCCGTCTGCTTGAGGAGCTTCTGGCCCTTTTGCTTGCGCTTGACGTTCTCCTGGGCGGTGTAGTCGCGGGCCGAGTCGACGGCGCCGCCGACGCTGAGAAGGTAGCCTATGAGGCCGCCCATCTGGTCCCAGCAGACGGGTCCGCTGAGGAAGACGTGCTCGGTGCCGCCCATGTGGATCTTGCGGCTGCCGAAGGCGCGCTGTGTGCCCTCGGCGACGCGGCCGAAGATGTAGGAGCGCTTGTCATGGTGCATGTAGATGCAAGAGCCGGGGGTGTCGGCCGAGGGGACGGTGGCGAGCTCGACGGTGGTGGCCATTGTGGATGCGTCGTGGCCGAGAAAGGAGCGGGTGGCGTGGGTGTGAGTTGCTCTCTTATCGTTATTGTGAACGGAGATGAAGGGCGCGTTCGAGGCGCAAAGTCGCAGAGACGGCCGGCGGGCCAGAGAATGTGGTGCACGGCGCGAAGCGAGTGTAGGTAGATAGAAGGGACGAAGATGCAGGTCAAGGAGTCGAGAGGAGATTCTGAGGCTGCACGTGCCCCATTGTTCCATCAGCTTGCAACGAGATTTGCTGACGGGGCTATAAAGGGATTGCAAAGGGGGGCATGGGGAGCTCGAGGACGGTGTTGTCGAAGATGCCCCGCGATCTTTTTTTCTTGGTGGTGGTGGTGGCTGTCGCCGAGTGACTGGTTGACAGACAGGGATTCATGATTACATAATATTCCAGTCTGGGATTTGGCTGCCCGCACCATTCATTTACACTGTTTGACTGTTTCCCTCCTCGCACTCACACATGGCTTTGCCGCATGTGTCACAGGACGATTCACCGATGCACATCACAGGCCGATGAATCGACCCGGCTTGGCGGCGCGGATGGGCCTCTTTGCCTGGACGGCAGGTGACGCCGAGCCAAACAGCCTGACCCATTCCCAGTCGGCGTCGAGGTCGACGCGGCGTGACACGGACAGGCCCGACGCGGGCTTCTTGGCCAGGTAGCGCACGAGGGTCGCACCGGGCAGGGAGGCAACGCCGCCGAGGAGGAGGAAGACGGACGGGGCGCGCGGCATGGTGTCGGTTGCGGGATGGTTCTGTGCGGGCAAGGCTTGTGGCTGTCTGTCTGACTTTGCGTTTATGAGCAGATGGCCGCTCCGGACTTTTGAGCTGGAGCAGCGAGGTGCCTCTCTCGTTTTATATAGTTCTCCTCTGAGCAGGACTCGCGTTCGCAGCCCTCGCGGCGCTGCGTACCCCCGAACCCGAACGCCCTGCCAAACCCCCAGATTCCGGCTCACACTCGCGGATTATGGAACGCGAGTACACAGAGCAAAACTCTAAAGACAGGCGACGACGGGAGGAGGAACCAGGGGAGCGTCTCCGAGGTGAGACGGAGCAGCGCCGGTGCAATCGGAGCCGTTCCCGCGGCACCACCCGGCACAAAAGCTACCTTTATGCACGCTGAACATGCCGGGGAGAAGAATAACGTGTGGCTCTCTCGGGCCGTCTTACATACATGCTGGCGGTCTCGATGTAGATGTCGTTCCCGGTCATGGAGTAAGATAAAGTGATGATAAAGTCACAACGTCCGACATGCGGACCCAAGACAAACAATAGACCAGCCAATTGGCACCCGCGTGCGTTGCACGACAGGCAAGCCTCCTTCGGCTCTTTATCGACGACGCCCTCCCTCCCGCGGGCAGCTTATCAAGAAAACAGCAACTGCTGCTGCTGCTGCTGTCGTGCTCGCGTGCTTGGTAATGCATCATGAATCGATGAGGGGCCGACCGACCGCGGCTCCAGGAGATCGATCCCTGGTGGGCTGCCCGGGCGAATGGCTGGCCACCCCACCGGGTGTTCCCGCTCTGACGACATGGAACTGGAAGCCCCATTGCCCTCGGTCTCGCAACGCCTCTGCGCGCCTCATTTGCCCAACCCGTCGCCGCCGCACCGTTGTAGGACGACTTCACACACACGGGCACCCGAACCACAGCAAAACGGGCAATATAAAAGAGATCGATCAATGGCAGCAGCGCGGGTGTTGCTGCACGATAATAGCCTCGCCCATCCTCGCGCACTGCTTCGCGCCGTCCTCCTCGCCGGTTCTCCCTCTTCATTATCTTCATCATATCCATCTTCATCAGCCCGTCATCTCAGCACCGCCTCACGCGCAGCCGCACAGTCACTTACACCGTCAACATCACGACCACCAGCGTCAACAACACGGTCCCCGCCAGCGCGCCAGCTCCGCCCCTTCACCATGTCCCAGCCCATCAACCGCAACCCGCACCCGGACTTCAAGGCCGTCGAGGCCGCGCGCCCGCCCTGGGACGACGCCGAGCGCTTCCACTTCACGCGCACCGTCGACCCGGAGTGGCGCTTCGGCGACGGCGCGAACCGCCTGCACGGCCAAGGCGACGACAGCGGCAAGACGGAGGCGAAGCAGCAGCAGCAGCAGCAGCAGCAGCAGCAGCAGCAGCAGCAAGAAGAGAAAAAGCACGTCGCCATCGACCCCTACGCCGAGGGCCGCGCCCCAGGCAACAACTACAAGCTGCTCATCTCGGCCATCACGCCCCGCCCCATCGCCTTCCTCAGCACCCTCGGCGCCGACGGCCGTACGGGCGCCAACCTCGCGCCCTTTTCCTACTTCAACATGCTGAGCCACGACCCGCCGCTCTTCGTGGTGGGCTTCGACCGCGGCAACGGCACCTCCCCGCCCAAGGACTCGCTCGCCAACGTGCTCGCCACGCGCGAGGCCGTCATCAACATCATCGGCGAGGACTTCCTCGAGGCCGCCAACGCGTGCAGCATCGACGCCCCCTACGGCGCGTCCGAGTGGGACGTGTCGGGGCTGACGCCCCTGCGGGATTGTCAGACGGTGAGGCCCGCGCGTGTGGCCGAGGCGGTGGTGTCGATTGAGGTCAAGGTGGATCATGTGCGCGACTATGATCGCAAGGGGAGTCCGGGGCAGAAGGGCTGCACGATTGTCGTGTTTGAGGGGACGAGGATGTGGGTGCGTGAGGATGCCCTCAACGAGCAGCAGAACCTCGTCGACCCGGCGGTATGTCTCCCCTCCTTCCCCCTTTTCTCCGAAAGCCACAGGAGAGCGAGAGAGAGCGAGGCGGAAAGAGGACAAAATCACTAACAACCTGCAGGTCCTGCGCCCCGTGAGCCGGCTCGGCGGCATCTCCTACGGCAGGCTCACCCAGGCCGTCGAGATTCCCCGGCCCTCGTTCGAAAAGGACCTGGGCGGCCGCGAGGGGCTGGCCAAGCTCCAAGGCCTCAAGAATTAGCCAGCAGCACGTGGGTGTGGATGTGGATGTGGATGTGGATGTGGCGCCGCAAATCAAGCATGCTCCGATGTAGACGAGCGAGTCATCTGCCAAAGAGTACGCCCAACGGCACCAAGGCCGTGGCGTCTCGTAGATTGCTGTCATTCATGCATAGTCAGTCATTAGATGGGAAATACAAACACCTCCAAGTATAATCCCGTCCCTCCTCTTCCCTTCAAACGCGCCACGGCATGCCCGTGCCGCCCTAAAAGTAAAAGCTCTGTCCAGGCTTGGAGACGATAAATTCGCAGCCCAAGCGCGCCTCCTGCTCATGTTCGCGCAGTTGCCTCAATATCGTTTCCCCAACGTCGGGCCCGTCCGTCAGCCGCTCCTTGACGTGGATGATGACAACCTTGAGCCCCTCTAGCGGCCGGCGAGGAGGCACTCCGGCACCATTGTCAAGCTCCTCAGCTTCACGCAGCGACAGCTCGTCCGTAGGCGTTGCGAGGTGTGGTGTGTCAGGTGAGGCTGCTTCGAACGCCCTCACCGCCGGAGTAACCGGGGCCGGCTTGACCGACTTGGGAGACACGGGTTCCTCAGCTGGGGTAGAGGTGGAAGAAAGCGACGAGGTCACCCGTCCGGGGTTGGGGCGGCCACCGGGCTCGTCGCTGATGCTGGCCATGCGCTTGCGCTTGCGCGACTCGAGAGACTGCAGCCTGCGGGCCATTTCTGTTTCGGCGGCCAAGACGGCGAGCTCCTCTATGACAAAGACGGGTTTGAGGTGCCCGTACAGGCGATCGTTGCTCTGGGAGTCGTCATAGCTGCACTCGATGAAAATGGCCGCCATGGTGCCGGCGGCGACCTTGGGCGCGGCTTCCTGCCAAATGCCGAGGTTGCGCGGGTTGAGGGAGATGCTGTCGGGCTCGACATCGCCAAAGATGAGCACCTCGCGGCGGTGGTCGGCGTCCTGGATGAAGTAGGCGCTCGAGTCGTAGACGCAGTATCGCTCCTGCACGTCGGGCGACGCCTGGGGGGAGGCCCCGCCGAGACCAAAGGCTGCCTGGCCGAGCAGCGTCTGGCTCCGGGTCAGGGGTTGCGACGAAGGCGCAGAGGGCGGGTAGTACGACTGCGCGTGGTGATTGAACGCGTAGAGCGGGTGGCCGTCCCGGCGCGACGCCTGGCTAGATGCATCGTGGCTGCCGAAGCGAGGGGAGGCGCTCGAGGCGGAGGAACCACGGTGGCTGTGTCTCTCGATGCAATGACCGTGACTGACACTCCATGTCTTGACCAGAAGCCCGTCGCAGACTTCCAGATAGCCCTTGGCTTCTCCGTCACCAAGGGCCGGGCTGCCCCCCTCGACGAGTCGCAGGTACGTCAGGAGGCCGGCGCCATTGTTCTCATCACTGAGGTTGGGCCATATGACGTTGTTGAAGATGTGCGTCTTGAAGGCATGGATCGTACTGGGCAGTCCGGCAATCTTTTTAGGACGGGTGCCCGGCAGGCCGGCCGTGTTGATGACGAAGCCGGCGATGTGGTCGAGGTGCGGGTGCGTGAAGAGGTACGTGTCGACGAGGGCGCGGGTGATGTGGGCGGCATTGGCCTCGGGCGAGGTGAATGGCAGGGAGAGGCCGGCAAAGGGGCCCGAGGTGAGCGTGTGCGGGAAGCTGGTGGGTGGCGACGAGGTGAGGGCGTCGCGGAGCAGGCGGGTGATGGCGGAGAGGTGGACGCCGGCATCGACGGCGACGAGAGAGCTCTTGCTCCAGTTGTGCGAGGCGGCGCGCACGAGGAACGCAGTTGTGTTAGATTCCTGGGGGCCGCCGCCGGAGCCCTGGGAGAGAGTGGTCAGTCATGCACTGGGAGGAAGAACGTGAAGGTTGGTGTATCGTGTGGTCCTGGTGAAGATAGAGTCGCGCGACGTCGCCGTCGCCGTCGCGCAACCCCAATGTCACCAGGCCGGCGCAATGTCACCGAACGCATGGGCGTGTGCCAGTGTGGTCCCGAACGCGTGGACAAGGGTCGCGAGCTGCTGTGCAACGGAATGGGCAGCGTCGCGCGCGATGCGCTGCGCGTCCCAAGACCCACGACCATCCACCATTGCATGATGGGCGGCGTCGATGGTATCGTCGCAACAGCGCGGGAGGTCCACAACAGTGTGGCGGAGAGACGGGACAAGGACTTACCAGCACAATGACGTGCAGGGCAGGACTCGGCTCCTCCCCCATCGCCGGTCGCGTGGTGTTGTCGCCTCGTCGTCGGCGTCGGCGGCGTCGTTGCTGCAGAGGCGAGTTTCGGCTCGGCTGTCGCTATGTTCAGGTGGATCGCCGGCGAGGTGTCGTCACTGGCTTGGTGTCGTCTCGTCAAAGAAGCCCGGGGTCGCCGTCGCAGAAAAGGTCGCCGAGTCAAGCGGAAGACGGGTCGCGTATAAACCAGCGACAGTCGCCTGTGCGCAGATTTGTTAGATCTTGTTTTTTTTTTTCTTTGCCTGTCGCGCTGCGCCGGTTCGCGGGGAGGCTGTCTGCGCTGACGATCAGCAAGTTGGCGAGTGAGAGTGACGACAAACAAGCTCAGATGCAGTGCAGGGTCGCAGCCGGTTTGGGTAGCGGGCGTCGGCGGGTAATAAGGGCGGCGCGGACGAATGTGGTAAGCAGCTCTCCCTCACCTTCTCAGCTCACTGCGAACGGAGAAAACAGGGCGAAAAATAGTAGAGTTAGTTGGCGGGAAAAGCGCCAGGCCAACCGAGTTGAGGTTTTGTGCGAGAGGCGTTGAGCCGTTGCGCCCGCACGTGACGGGAATAAGGTACGTTGTCGTAATTTTGTAGTCAGCTGCGATCAAACTGCGTTCCAGTTGCGATGGACGCGGTGCCTGTTGATGCGCCTTGCTGCCTTGTCGTGGCTTGTCGGCATGTTCCTTGGCTGATAAGAGCGCGATGCCAGCTGGGAAGCGAGGGTCCGTCCGCCTGGATCGCGAGGGGGCAGCTGGGACTGTTGCTGGAGCTGGAGCTGAAGCTGGGGCCGGAGTCGGGGCTTGTCAGCGCGAGGTTCCAGGTTGAGCTTGAGATTGATGATGCGATTGACGAGATGGGGATGGGGATGGCGATGGCGGACAAGGAAGGTGCTGTGGGTGCTTGCTTGCTTGCTTGCGAGCTCCTGCCTGCTGGCTTGCTCAGTCGCCAACCAAAGACACAGTACAGTACTGTACCAACAAGCAACCAAGGTAAGAAAAACAAATCTCCGTGAAACGGCCCACGGTAATCATCAGCGGCGCTTACTTGTATGGACCTGCTTTCTCGTCTCGCTCTTCCCCTTCGTCCATGCATTCATCCGCGCCGTGCGCCTCCTCGTATCGCCCTTGTGACTTGACAATCAACGTGGCCAAGAGCCCAACAGCACTCCCCAGTTCCAGTCCAGCCTCCCTCTCGGCCGTTTTATCATAAAAAAACGCCCTCATGGTCATCAGAACCGCGTCTCGGGATAACGCCGACCAACTCCATCAACTCGCCTGACGCCTGTCCCCAGTCGCCAGTCACCAGTCGCCCCAGCTGAAGGAGCTCCCTCCCCACGCTGCAGCTCCTCCTGCTCCCACTCCTCCTTCGGCGTTGCCGTGCTCGCCTGCATGGACGGGGCTTGCTGGCGCATGCGGCATGACGCCGCGCGCTGCCCAGTGATGATGCAGTGGCCAGGGATCCATCAGCGCCCGCGACCCCGTTTTCTGCCCCTCCGATCCATCGTCCCTGCATGAGCCCCACGGGACGCACCACCTGTGCTGTCCCAAGCTCTCTCTCTCGCTCTGCCGTCTGTGCGACGCCCCGTGAGCTTGGGAATGGCTGGGCATGCTGGGATGCTGGGGTCGCAGCGGGGACGGTCGCAGCCAGCGTCGGCTCGTCCGGGGCGGGCGCCACCAACCCCTGCTAGCTCCGCCTGTCAGATATCCATTCGTTTTTCTTCACCGTCGTCCTCGTTCCTATCACGGGCGAGCCTGGCATTGGTGGACGGGCATGACTGGCTCGCCTTCCCCGCGGTTACTCTGCGGAAACAGTCGCACGGCATGTGTCGATCATGAGGGGAGGGGATGGGTGATGCATTGAGGGGAGCTGGCCGGGAGGTCAAGACAGCTAAAGATATGTATGTACATGCGTGACCTTTTCCCGGTCTGGGTTGCAACAAACCATTGCAACCAGCCCTCGGTGCATCCATCCACCTATCCTTCATCCTCCGCGCGTCTGAAACCGACGCTGCAGATGCCACGCCATCCGGGGACGGCCCCATCGTGTCCTCCGGCGGGGATGAACCATTGTCGACCTCGTCCTGTGCAACGCCGACACGACAGCTGCTCTGCTCGAGGACAGCTCCAGAACAGCTTCTCCTGTACGAGCGACGTCAAAGAGCCTAGCCGTCTTGGGCCAGCGCATGCAGCCTCATGCAGGCAGTCGCAGCCGTTGCCAAAGTCAAACCCGCCTTGACCGAAGGTGACCCTCAGTCGCCGTGGAGCAGGATACAGAACGCCAGCGCCGTTGCGCCTAACCTGTTTCTTGCAAGCCATGATGCAAGGCGTGCCCGGTCCTCAAGCCAAGTCAAGGGGCCCCAGCCAAAGGGCAAGCCACGCATATCGCCGAAAACACCAATCGGAGAGAGCTGTCGTCCGTGGTGGACGTCTCCCTTGCGAATGAACGCACACGCTCCAAATTCCATGGGTATCTCTCAGCGCCTCGCTATGCAAACCGCCAAATCCGTAAACTCCGTTGCCCAAACCAGCACGATGGTGCGTGCCGTCAAGCTGATGCGTGCGCAAAATGCCAGGAAACGCCATTGTGTCTCCCGCGCAGCGGAAGTCAGAAAACCGGCCGATCGAATGGCCGTGAGGCCGAGACTATAACACAAATGCAAAACGCCTGCACTGTCGTGCTGTGAGAATGCTATCCAGGGAGCAACGCAAAAACACCAGGGAGCTATACAAGAACAAACCGGTGGGCAGGCTGGAAACATCGTGCCCTTTTAGCACAATTCCAGCGTCGCATGCCAAAGCAGCACGCCAATGTAGCATTCCGCACGAAGTAGAAGGACGAAAAATAGCTGGAGAAGTCAAAGAAGCATTCCGAAAGGACTTCCCGGCTCGTAAACCGAGCGGCTCGAAAACAAAGCGCCTGCAAAGCGTCGGGAGTCTTGCCACGACATCCCCTCGGGAGCAGACAATACCTAGGAGGCCAAGTAAGGTGAGGGACGTGTATCTGGGCGTGTTGGTACCCGGTTCAAGGTGTAAATATCGGAGCCATGAGTTTCAGCAGGGCATTCATGGTCAAGTGTGACGAAGCTGGCTCGGCCTTGCTGCAAACGGTTCGGATCACTGTGGCCATTCAAATGTTTCGACGAGGCTGTCCACGTCGAGATCGGCCGCAGACCCCTCAAACAAGCTGTCCAGGGTCTTCATGCCATGCATATCCGGGAATTCCGCAATGCCCTCGGAAACGTTGTCAGGCTGGTTATTTGAAGAAGTATTCGGCGCGTTCGGCTCGTTAGTTGCCACGATGGCAGCCCCGGTTGTTTGCTGGGTGACTTGTGCAGCAACTGGCGCCACGGATTCGGCGGCTTGGGCAGACAGAACGTTCGCTTGCTGCTGACCCATCAGGTTGGGAGCTGTCAGGTCTATCTCGGAGCGGCGCCGCTTTGGGCTGGGAGAAGTTTCGGTCATATCGTCTTCGTGTCGCTTCCGCTTCAGCGACGGCTGGTCCAAGTGCTGCATCTTAGCCGGGCGGCGGTCGTCGCTGACACACCCAGGCTCCATGTGTTCTTCGTCACGCTTCCGCTTCGAGCCCCCTTGGAGCGATGGCTGCTGCGGAGTGACCCCTTGCGTGGCGGCAGACTTGCGGCGATGCCGCTCCTGAGCCTTGGCTAATAATGCCTGCTGGGCAGTGAGACCTCTAGCCACGATGCTGCCTCGTACAACCGGCGAGCTCAAGGATGTCTGCATCACCGCTGGGGCGGCGATGCCGGCGAGCGGACTGCTGAGAGGGTTGAAGTATTGTTCTATGGGCGACGCTGGGGCTGGCGTCTTCTCCTTCCAGGAGTCCGGGTTGAGAAGGTCGAAGCGAGGGACATCTTTTGTCGCTTCATCAGCAACAAAGTCCGACATGTCGACATCATCTGTGGCTTTGTTCTTTCCCGGTCTCTCCATCGTGTTGGAAGTTGTGCCAGGGATATTGATCTTCAAGTTTGTGGCGTTTCTCGACGTTGTCGGCTTCGATGGTGTCTCAAATACGTTTCTAGTCCGAGCGACCTTAGTCGCCTTGCTGATTGGGGGCGGCATTTCCTGGTCGGTGACCGGGGAGCTATTCGATTCTGTCGTCGTTACATCCTCGGCGGCAGGCGACCATCCGATGCTCATGTTGTCTCCCGAAGTAGTGTCACCGTCGTCGTCCACGATGATGTCTTCTTGTGTTTGCTGAGATTGGGCAAGCTTGGCCGTGGCTCTGCAGTTTTTCGAAACTCGGGCATACAAACTCAGGTCGCCGACGTGGACGTCGATTGTCTTTTGGCGGTCCGTCGCCTTGTCCTGGTTTCGACTGGCCCGCGCTTTCTGTCGTGCAGTGGTCTGGTTGTCGAGATGGTACTTGATAAGCGCATAGGAAAGCGACTTCTGGTGCTCCCTGGGTTGTGTAACGGCACCGTGCTGGTTGTACTCCTCCTCGTGGTCCTGGAACCATTTGATGTAGCACTCTTCGACGATGTCCCTGTCCGTCTCGCGGTTGATAGCCATGGCATTGACTGTTTCCTTGGGCAGCTGGCGAGCGTCAGGGAAGAGACGGCATGTCGTGTAAAACTCCATTGGATCAAAAATCTGCTCAAAGCACCAGAGGTGCAACAAACCAGCAACTTTGAAAGGGTCCTTAGTTCCGTCTGAGGTCAAGTTTGGGAACTCATCGAGGGCTACACGAAGCCAGCCGGAGGAAATGCTTCGTGCGTTGATCGGGCACGACGCCCAGCGGCATCTCTTATCATCCGGATCCATGCGTCCGGCACACTGCGAAGGCGCTTGCTGGACCCACATGATGCAACGTCGGCTGTCGACATATTGACGGAGCTCTTCTGAGGTGAAAGCACGGCCCGCGGTAAGCTGGCAATTTGGGGTGTACGTGAAGAGGCGTCGGTTTTCTGCAAGGAGGGGACCGAAGGGAGGATTTGGATATATTGGAGCCGTATAAACCCGTGAGGGACTGCTATTTGGGTCCTTGTTCTTTTTAGCGTTCCGGCTGTTGTCGACTTTGATGTCGTGGCTCGCATTCGCTTTGCCAAATGTGGTGGGAAGCGCGGTGCCAAGGCCACAACCAGCCACAACAAGAGGCCCCTGTGGGCAGTATGTACCATCTTGACCGATGACGCCCGTCTGGGCAGCGGGCTGTTGGCTTTGAGGCGGAACCAAAGCATGAAGCGGCTGGGGCCACTGAGTGTTCGATCCCAAGCCGGCTGAGGCCGTAATGGTCTGTGAGGAAACGGCCTGTGAAACTACGGCCGGAATATTCTGGCGAGCTGGTGTCGTGTTGCGAGGGGTAGCGGCCTTCTTTGCCGTCTGAACCTGGGTGGATGTGGCCCCTTGAGCTGCGCGAGATTTAATCCGAGGGTCGAGGGGGATTTTGGACTGATTCGACTTTTTCGACTGATTGGACTGTGCCGAAGTATTTTGTGCGACTTCCGTCTTGTTCTGTGCCGCGGGCTCGGCCAAGTCGAGAAGAAGGCCGGGACTCTCGATCTCGCCTGTTATCTTGGGGTAGGCATCAAATTGCTCGGCGGTGCAGGGAACAGCTACGAGCTCGGCGGGAAAGTCTTCGCCCGCCGTTGGGTTTCCGTACGCAGGAACTGGCAAGGCTGCCACCTCGACGGGAGGATATGAAGGTGTTGGATTCCCCTCGTGGTCGACGTTTGGTGCTCCGTAGGGAAGGAAGACCGGGAAGTTGGGAGAGCTGCGAAGGCCGATCTGCGGGTAATGGTTGTGCACCTGAAGCGGCTGCTGACGCAATGTCGAATTACTTTTGGCTTGAGCTGAGCTGGGTGGCTTTCCTGTCAATCGACTGGATGCGTTGCCCGAGAGAGATCCTGAACGCGGATTGGCGAGGTTGCGTTGGTTTCTGCCAACACCGAACGCGTTACTGGCATTCGACGAGCCAAGGGAGCTCTGGCCGTGAATATTGCCTCCAACGTTTGACTTTCCGAGCAAGGGCTGGCGCCCAGAGAGATATTCGCCGCCCACAGGTTGCGGCATGTTTGCTTGGTAGGGCAGTGAGGGGAGCGGTGAAATATGATGTGCGTGGTGAAGCGGAGGGTGAGGGTGGTGAGAAGGGAAGCCAAGAAAGTCCGAGTGAACAAACGCAGGAAATGAAGTGGGAGAGGACTGAACGGCCGGTTGCTGGGCTCCCCATTGTCCCGCCCAGTGAATAGGCTGCTGAACAGGTAGCTGGCCCAGAGGCAGTTGAACGCAGGGCCCGTCGCTTGGGTGAACAGCACCAGCTCCTGCAATTGACAGTACTGGCTCGGCCTGCTGCAGAGGGTAACTAGGCAGCGGGCGAAAAGCATTGTTCCAGCCCATATCCCCTGGCGTGTAGGGGAGATTGGCTGGAGGGAATCCATCGACATCAATATCGAAACCGAACGTGCCGCCCGACACAAGCCCCGGGGCTGAGCCACCGTTCTGAGAACCACAATACCAGGATGCGCTGCTCTGAAATCCGTCATCTTGTGGAATGACATTCCGAGAGCCTGTTTCCTGGCCCGCAGTGTTGCAGAGACTGTCATGCGGAGGGATCAAGTCTTCAGCACCATGATATCCAAACCCTGACCCAGGGATTTCGCCGGTCGGCAACACGCCAGGCATGGAGAAATCGCCCGGAACATCGTCTGGAACCGCAAAAGGCTGTAGTCCTGCCATACTCGGATCTTTGTATTCTTGTTGCTCATTGAAATGGACTGTTGTGTCTTTGTTGTTGATGCTGTTGCCCTCTTGCGCAAAAAGCCCATCCATGCCCTGAAACAGGGATCCCATGTCGCCAACCAGAGAATCACTCTGAAAGGCCTTCATATCAACGAACCCGCCCTGGCCACGAAAATCTTGCATCGGGGCCTCCATGCTGTCCATGCCAGCCGCGACTCGCATGCTGATCGTGGAACGCTGTGCCTCCTGAACCGACGACCGGCTGAACCAGGGAGCTCTGCTCGACAGGCGAAAGCCGTCTCAGCTTGGGCCGTGGATACTTTGGATCCAAAGACTGTAGTGAAGTAGTACAAATGAAAGCGACGAATGCGGCGAGTTGGCAACTGCCAGAGCTGTCAACGGCGTGGACGGAAGTACATGAACCAATTGGATTTGAACGGGGAAACAAGCACATTTATTGTTGCGAGATCTTCCGACTGCCTTTTCATCGTAGAAGCATGGCTTTGTATTGCCCTGTACTAAGCGCCGTTCATGAAAACGAGCCAAGTTGCAAGGAACTGGGGTCGCGACGTGGACATGGACAGACAAAGGAAACTCGGCGTTCCGCGCTTGGCCTTCCGTAAGAGCCCGCATTTTGAAGGAAGAATTCACGTAGCCACTTGACTCGAATGTCGTCTGAGGCGCAGATTCACTGGTCTTGATCGTCGAGACAGGTTCTGCATTGTGGTCAGCGTTTGGCCGAGCCAATGCATTGCGACTGGGTCGGGAGTGTAGTTGCAGGTTGACCAGGAGAGCTCACGCAAGTTCTTTCGACATTCTGGTTCAGAACAGGTCTGTGTTTGCTTGTCTCATCATATAGGGGCCAGTGAAGTGTAGGGAAGGATAGATGCGTTGATGCGCGACTCACCATGTTGGAGACTGATCGCGTTTCCGAGCCCGCGGACCAATAATTGGACCCAATCACGGACACATTTTCGACATTATTAGACGGCATCTACACTTGTAGATGTGAATGCCGCTGATACCGAGTACAAGAGCGAGGCGGGAGCCGCGTCGCGATGTTGTGCAGATGGCGATGGACAATGAGGTGAGAGGTTCCCGCAATTTCGGAGTCCGGAACCGTTAGCCCGATGGGCCTGTCCTGGCCCGCACTTGCCTTTTTACTTTGCCGCCACACCGTTTAAGGTACCCTACAGCCATGCGCTCAATCCAAAATCCAAAATAGTATTGCCCCGAAAGCAGAATCACGCCTCAATAAAGGTAAGGGGCGCTGGCGCCAACGACCAAATGCAGAGTCTGGTCGAATCCGCGTGGTAGGCGCCTCGTACGAGGGGTAGCGTTGGGAACCAGCGTCGTTGTTGAGCGGGCCGGGACGGTCAGTCCACTTCAACTACAGGCTGGGTATAGTGAGGCGGCGACAATGTCTGTCTCGAGCTTTCGCTCAGGTCGTCAGGAGAGTGACAACAACAGACCAGTTCCACGAAGCGACTTGCGCTCTCTGGACACTAATTTGACATGAAATCACACCCCAGAAATTCTAATGTCGACACCGTCGCCAGGACAGGACTTGTGCTGCCCAACGTTCCAGCAAAAGTAGCCATGTACTTCGTACTCGCAGCCTCCAGAAGCCCCTCATGTTACAATGCTTCCCCCCGCAGCTTGCGCAGGGTCTGGGGCAATCCTCGCCAGCGATGACTTGCCGAATGTGGCCCACCATCCTGGTAGCGGTGGCGGCACGGGATTGCGAGGATCGGCGCTGTGACGCAGAGGGTTCCAAGGACGGTCGTGACAGGAGACGTGCTTGATATGGACATGCAAGGCGAGGCGCCTGCCTGATCTTGCGAAAAAAGGAAACCAGAGTCGCCACGCGTTGGCGCAGCCTCGCCGAAACCAAACCCGTCGTCGACGAACGGCTGGCCCCTCTTTCTTGATGGACGAGGGCCGGCTTGTTCTGTCGTCATGGTGGATGGCTGTCTATTTTGGACGCATCCGCTGCGCCAGCCAGCTCGCCAGCCCAACGAGGGCAAGGCGTCCCCATAATTGCGGCCAGGGGCCATGTCGGCGCATCTCGTGTTGGTCGCGCCGGCCGGATTCGCGCGCGGGCACACCTCTTCGCAGCGGAGGCCAACTCAATGGATTGGGGCCATTGGGCGTTGACTGTTGCCCATGGAGCCACGGCAACCGCATCGTCACTGAAAGCGTCCGCCCACCGCGCTGGACTGCGGGCTGCCCCAAGCCACACCATCCACTAGTCGAGGTCCGCAGCACCAGGCAAGCTCGTAGCCCTGGAGTGAGCGAGCCCAGCCCACCCCCTCCACCTGTCCGTCCCCTGGCGGTCTGGCAGCCGGACGGTCCAGTGGGTGGTGGTTCGTCGGTGCGCTGCCGCTGCTGAACGCCCGAGCGCCACACCCCCCCGGCTTGGCCCCGTCCAATCCCATAAACTGGCAGCAGCCGCCAAGCGGGAGCCCCTCGTCTGTCCGTCCCGGCTGGTCCTGTCTTGGCCCCGAGGTGTCGCTGTTGCCCGCACTTTCCGCTGCTGGTTGACAGGCCTTTGCTACCTACGTCACGAGACTTTTTGCCGCTAACCACCACCGTTACCACCAAGCACGTCCACTACCACAACCACAACCACCACCATCACGACGCACTTCTTGGAGGAGGCGCGAGACATGGCCAGCTCGCGCACCGCTGCCATCAGACATCCCATTTGAATATAGCACCTTTCGCGCTTCTACATACTTTTCACATACGTACTTGCATCCCGAGGCACGCGCGCAGTCCGAGCCGAGCGCCCGCTGCCTCGTCCATCATGGCCGACTACGACAACCCTGAGTTGCAGGCCAAGCTCGACGAGCTCGAGCGCGAGCTAGAGGTACGCAGAACCCGCTCCATCTGGCGGTGCCAATGGCGCCGAGCTGACATTGTGCTCGATAGGAGGGAGACATCACGGAGAAAGGGTAAGATTGGCGCCGCCGCCGCTCCGCCCCCGTGCCCCTCGCGGCACCATAACGCGCGCAGCCCTGACACCCTCACAGCTACCAGAAACGCCGCACGATCTTGCTGTCGCAGTACCTCGGCCAGCAGGGCGACCCTCCCGTCCCGGGCCCGCGGTCCGGGCTGCGGATACACGCTCCGGACGACGACGCTCGATATGTCTCTAGTGATGGCCATCGCGCAGCTGCCTACGCTGCCATCGGTGGGCACGACTCCGACCCGACCAGCCCCAGCTCCTCCAGCTACCGTCCTACTTCGTCCTTTGGCGCGCAGGGCGGTGCGAGCCATGCGCCGCAGGACTCCCATCCCGCAGGACTCCTGCGCCCCGGCGGTCCCATTGCTGAGCGGCCGATCATGGCCGGCCGCGATTCTCTCTTCCTAGCCCCAGGTAGCGACGGGCCGACGAGGAGCGGCACCATGGTTTCGGGAGACTATGCCTTCAACCCCGACCAGCAGGGCGCCTACACCGATAACCAGCAACAAACTCCCCAGCAGCAGTACTATGACAGCAGAACAGGGACGCTCAGGGACTCGCAGGGCTATTTCTCCGACTTTGCTGGCCAGCAGCATTACGACCAGCACCAGTCGGGAGAGTACGGCGCACAGCACAGATATTCCTCAAGCGACGCCTTTTCTCCCACCGCCGCCATGGCGCCGCCGATGCTTACCGCCAACGACCTCCCTCCGCCCGAGGTGCTCGAATATCAGCTGCCGCTCGAGCCGAGAGAGGTACCGTTTGCCATCTTTGACCCGCACGATAACAACACGCCCATGTCAGGGTTCGACAATATGGCTGCCGTCCTGCGACATCGAGCACGGAAGACGGCCAAGGTGCCGGCGTACTGGGTGCTCGACAGCAAGGGAAAAGAGATTGCGTCCATCACCTGGGACAAGCTGGCATCGCGCGCGGAGAAAGTGGCCCAGGTCATTCGCGACAAGAGCTCACTCTACCGCGGCGATCGGGTAGCGCTTGTCTACCGCGACAGCGAGGTCATTGACTTTGCTATTGCCTTGATGGGCTGCTTCATTGCCGGCGTAGTTGCTGTCCCGATCAACGACCTGCAAGACTACCAACGGCTCAACTATATTTTGACGTCGACGCAGGCTCACCTCGCGCTCACCACCGACAACAACCTCAAGGCGTTTCAGAGGGACATCACAGCCCAGAAGCTAACTTGGCCCAAGGGGGTCGAGTGGTGGAAGACGAATGAGTTCGGGAGCTACCATCCCAAACGAAAGGAAGACGTTCCCCCTCTCACTGTGCCCGACCTAGCGTACATTGAGTTCTCGCGAGCTCCTACCGGGGACCTGCGCGGAGTCGTGCTGAGCCACCGTACAATCATGCACCAGATGGCCTGTCTGAGTGCCATTGTGTCGACAGTGCCACGCAACGGACCGGGCGATACGTTCAACCCGTCTCTGCGTGACAAGAACGGTAGGCTCATCGGTGGCGGTGCTGGGAGCGAGATTCTGCTGTCGTATCTGGACCCGAGGCAAGGAATCGGAATGATTCTGAGCGTTCTGCTCACAGTTTACGGCGGGCACACGACTGTCTGGTTCGACAACAAAGCCGTTGATGTCCCCGGTCTCTACGCGCATCTAATCACCAAGTACAAGGCTACAGTCATGGTCGCGGACTACCCGGGTCTCAAGCGAGCGGCGTACAACTATCAGCAAGATCCGATGACAACGCGAAATTTCAAGAAGGGGATGGAACCAAATTTCCAAGCCGTGAAGCTGTGCTTGATTGATACCCTTACCGTCGACGGGGAGTTTCACGAGGTGCTGGCCGACAGATGGCTGAGACCGTTGCGAAACCCTAGAGCGCGAGACGTGGTTGCCCCCATGCTATGTCTCCCCGAGCACGGCGGTATGCTCGTGAGCGTGCGCGACTGGCTGGGAGGAGAGGAGCGCATGGGTGTCTCGCTCAAGCTCGACCGAGCGCCCGAGGCTGACTCGGAGGAGGACCAGGATGATAAGGATAAGGACAAACCTGCGCCTTCTAACGGATTCGGCAGCTTGCTCGGCGGGGGCACGACGAAGGCCACAGAGCAGAGCGCCAACGACGAATTGTACGAGGTCCTCCTCGACAGGGAGGCGCTCAAGACGAATGAGGTGGTCGTCACCGCGTACGGCGACGAGGTGCAGAAGAAGGCTGCCAACAACCCTGACATGGTCCGTGTCGGCGCCTTCGGCTATCCGATCCCCGACGCAACTCTCTCCGTGGTTGACCCCGAGACGGGTCTCCTGGCGTCGCCGCGGTCGGTTGGCGAGATCTGGGTCGATTCACCCTCCCTTTCGGGTGGGTTCTGGGCCCAACCCAAAAACACGGAGCTCATCTTCCACGCGCGGCCGTACAAGTTCGAGCCTGGCGAGCCGACGCCGACACCGGTCGAGCCCGAGTTTCTGCGTACCGGCCTGCTCGGTACCGTGATAGAGGGCAAGATCTTTGTGCTTGGCCTCTACGAGGACCGCATCCGACAGAAGGTGGAATGGGTGGAACACGGCCACGAGATCGCCGAGTACCGGTACTTCTTCGTGCAACACATGGTTGTCAGCATTGTCAAGAACGTCTCCAAGATTTACGACTGCTCTGCGTTTGACGTCTTTGTCAACGACGAGCACCTCCCCGTGGTGGTTGTGGAATCGGCGGCCGCATCCACGGCGCCTCTCACGTCAGGTGGCCCTCCACGGCAGCCGGACACTGCGCTCCTGGATTCCTTGGCAGACCGCTGCATGGAGGTGCTGATGCAGGAGCATCACCTGCGTCTCTACTGCGTCATGATCACGGCGCCGAACTCGCTTCCCCGAGTCATCAAGAACGGGCGACGCGAGATTGGCAACATGCTCTGCCGCCGAGAGTTTGACCTCGGCAACCTGCCATGCGTGCACGTCAAGTTTGGTGTCGAGCACGCGGTGCTTAACCTACCCATCGGCATCGACCCCATCGGTGGCATCTGGTCGCAAATTGCGACGGAGTCAAGAGCGGACATCCTCGCGGACTCTGACAAGCAGTATTCGGGTATCGACCGGAGAGAAGTCGTCATTGATGACCGCACGTCCACTCCCCTCAACAACTTTGCCTGTATCACGGACCTCATCCAATGGCGCGTTGCGCGACAGCCCGAAGAGCTGTCTTACTGCACCATCGACGGCCGCGGTCGCGAGGGCAAGGGCATCACCTGGCGCAAGTTCGACACTAGGGTCGCGGCTGTCGCCATGTACCTCAAGAATAAGGTCAAGGTGCGGCCTGGGGACCACATGATCCTCATGTACACGCACTCTGAGGAGTTTGTCTTTGCGGTGCATGCCTGCATCAACCTGGGGGCGGTCGTGATTCCTATGGCGCCTCTCGACCAGAACCGGCTCAACGAGGATGTCCCGGCGTTCCTGCACATTGTCTCGGACTACAAGGTCAAAGCCGTGCTTGTGAACCAAGAAGTGGACCATCTGATTAAACTCAAGCCCGTCTCGAGCCATATCAAGCAATCGGCACAGATTCTCAAAATTGCCATCCCCAACGTCTACAACACGACCAAGCCGCCCAAGCAAAACAATGGGCTCCGAGACTTGGGTCTGACGATAGACCCTGCATGGATCCGGCCGGGATATCCCGTCATTGTCTGGACGTATTGGACGCCCGACCAGCGGAGAATCGCTGTGCAGCTGGGGCATGACACCATCATGGGCATGTGCAAGGTGCAGAAGGAGACCTGCCAGATGACGAGCTCACGGCCGGTCCTAGGGTGCGTTCGTAGCACTACCGGCCTGGGCTTCATCCACACATGCCTGATGGGCATCTACATCGGGACGCCGACTTATCTGCTCTCACCCGTCGAGTTTGCCCAGAACCCCATGTCGCTGTTTGTGACTCTGTCTCGGTACAAGATCAAGGACACCTACGCGACCCCACAGATGCTGGACCATGCGATGGCGGCGATGCACGCTAAGGGCTTCACTCTCCACGAGCTCAAGAACATGATGATCACGGCAGACGGAAGGCCACGCGTGGACGTGTTCCAAAAGGTCCGTCTTCACTTTGCCGCTGTGGGACTGGACAGGACTGCCATCAACACTGTGTACTCCCACGTGCTTAACCCGATGGTGGCGTCTCGGTCGTACATGTGCATCGAGCCCATCGAGCTGTGGCTCGATACCAAGGCGCTTCGTCGCGGTCTTGTGGTTCCCGTGGACCCGGACTCGGAGCCCAAGGCACTATTGGTGCAGGACTCGGGAATGGTGCCCGTGTCGACACAGATTGCCATTATTAACCCAGAGAGCCGCAGCCACTGTTACGACGGCGAGTTTGGCGAAATCTGGGTCGACTCGGAGGCTTGCGTCAAGTCTTTCTACGGTTCCAAGGACGCCTTTGATGCCGAGCGGTTCGACGGACGAACGGTTGACGGAGACCCCAACGTCGCATACGTTCGGACAGGCGACCTCGGATTTTTGCACAACGTCAGCCGGCCTATTGGACCGGGAGGAGCCCTGGTGGACATGCAGGTGCTGTTTGTGCTGGGCAGCATTGGCGAGACATTTGAGATTAATGGTCTTTCGCACTTCCCCATGGATATTGAATTGTCGGTCGAGCGATGCCATCGCAACATTGTGCCCGGAGGCTGGTGAGTATATGAATCCCCAAACTGAGTCGTGCGTGTCTGACCCATTGGTAGTGCCGTCTTCCAGGCTGGTGGTCTGGTGGTGGTGTTGGTTGAAGTCAGCCGCAAGCCGTACCTTGCTTCAATCGTCCCGGTCATCGTCAATGCCATCCTGAACGAGCACCAGATAATCGTCGATATTGTCGCTTTCGTCAACAAGGGGGACTTCCCTCGGTCAAGACTAGGCGAGAAGCAGAGAGGCAAGATCCTTGCAGGCTGGGTGACGCGGAAGCTGCGCACCTTGGCGCAGTTTGCCATCCGGGACCTGGACCCGGCCGCTATGGGCGAGACTGGAGGCGCCGGCGCAGAGGGCGGAGGTGACCCGAACAGGATCTCGACAGGCAGCATACGCTCCGGGGCACCCGCTGCTGGAGCATCCAGCCTGAGGAACGTCGAGCACGCACCGCAAATCTTGGAGCAGGAGGAGTTTGAGCAGCAGATGGACCACATTGCCAACATGACGCCTGTGCAGACGCACGATAGCATCGGGGAAGAGCATATGCCTACGCCCACGGCTTATCCGCAGAGCCATGCTGCGGGCGGAGAGCCGTATCATGCGCGGTCGACGAGCGGGGACGACGGATACTTTGGTGGCCACCAATATGGCGGTGATGAGCAAGGAGAAGCTCCACCACCTGTCGGCCCGAAACCGGCGAGGCCACCTTCGGAGGGTCACGCGCCTCCCAAGATCCGGCTGCCTGGGGTAGACGGCCGTGAGGGCTTTGACTTGTGGAGTGGCGACGACAAAGGCGACGAGGAGGACTGGACGACGAATGCCATTATGCACATGAACCTCGCCGGGGATATGAACCCGCGGCAGGGTCAGGGGCACTGAGCGCGTCGACCGGCCGGCGATTATACCACGGGAACGAGGACAGCTGGCGCGGAGACAGCGGGTGTGGGAGTTTGGGTATCAGCGGGCTCGTGAGCACGCAAGCCTGTTGTTGTTTGATTGACGACAGCAAACGCTCTGTCACGAGTAGCAGCAGTACATGGTTCAGTTTAGAAAAGTATGAACAGAGTAATATTGAAGCTCGGCTGTGGCCGCACATGCGGACCTCTATCGCCGAAGTGTCCCCCGAATGTGAACCGAAACGCCAAGCTGTTTCCCAAGTCTGTGTATCTAATGCGTAAGGTTACAATGTCCCTATATCACTTGCTCTTGAAGATCATTTTCTAGCCCCGACACAGCTAGGCTTTCTCGAAGCTCTGAGATGTGTGGTCTATCGTCAGCTCCGGTCACCGCCGGTCACTGTGTGGCGTCGAGTCGAGCTCGAAGCGCTCATCGGCGGGAGCCTCGACTGGGGCCGGGTTATCCGGCATCTCCTGCGGCTGCTGCGGCGGGGGGCTCTGCGCGTGCGAGTAGGGCGGCACGGGGGTGGTCTTTTCGGGCGAGTACGGGTGGTCGTGGTAGCTTCCCGGGGTGGCGCCAGCGGCGGTGCCGTGCTTGTTGTCGCCGAGCTCAGCTGGGGAGGCGTCGCGGGCGGCGGCGCGGCGGCGGCGGCGCCAGAGGAAGAAGGCGAGGAGGGAGCCGGCGATGACGGCGAGGGCGACGCCGACACCGATGCCGGCGGCTGCGCCCGAGGAAAGGCCTGATGAGGAGGATGAGGAGCCGGAGCCGGAGCCGGGGTCGGAAGTTGAGGAGGAGCCGGGGTGGGAGGAGATGGTTCTTGTGGTGCCGCCGGAGGTGATGGTTGAGACGGGGACCTGGAGGGATGTGTTAGTTGAGTGAGTCTTTCTTTGATATGAGATATAAGACTGTTCCCCCAGGAATCAAGACGACTCAGGGGGAAGTCAAGAGTTGAACGTACGTCGGAGAAGACGGTGCTGTAGGCGCCGTCGTTGACCGCCTTTGCGCTGGTCATGAGCCAGTGCTGGGCGGGCTGGTAGACCTTTGTGTCGATGTTTGAGCTGAGGAAGACGGCGGAGCCCGGGTGGACGTCGAGGTGGTAGCCGGTGCCGTTGTGGACGTTGACGAAGCGGTACGTGTTGTTGCCCCAGTTGGCCACGTCCCACTTCTGCACGTCGCTGCCGTCCGGGGCGAGCATGCAGGGGCGCGTCTTGTCCGAGTCGGTCTCGGCCTCGACGCGGCAGACGCCGAGCTGCCGGTTGATGGCCGTCTTGGAGGCGCGGATCTGGTAGCGCCCGGGCTTGTCGTCGACGGGTTGCTAACGCAGTGCAGCGTGTCAGTCCCCCCATGCTGGACGCGTATACTATTTCCTTTGTCGTCCTCCCTCTCAGCGGACCCAGATACGCAAGAGGCATGGGAAATTGTCGAATCCTCGCCCAAACTCTGGCCATGTGATGAGGGAGAAGGGGGAGAGGGGCAGGCAAGAGACTTACAAACTGAAAGTACTGGTTCTTGTCGGCGGCGAACACGTAAAAGACGCCCTTGCCGTCAATCTGCAGCATGCCGCCAAAATTCTTCTTGTCGTAGTCGTCGACCCGGCCCTCGGTGAGGTGGTACCACGCGTTCGGGTCGAGGTTGCTGGCGGGCTTGAGGTCGGACATGGTGGGCGGACGACTTGGGGCCCGTTGGCCACTCGCGATGTTAGCGAAGCTGGTGTTGCTGCCAGGTCCCGGCTGTAACGACTCGCGATGGACCACCACGGCAGGCAAAGACGGGTATACTGTATAAGACGAGAAGAAGAAACAAGGACAACAGGAAGGAGAAGGAGGAGGAGAAAGAGAAAACAAGGATGCGAAAGGGAAAAGAGGAACGGCAATGAGATTGACTGGGACTGGAGCCGCCCGGGGGCGGTTAGAGGGAACATTGGGGCTCATCAAGATGTGTGAGCGAGCACACACAGGACTGGAGTACTAGCCACATGGCTAGCTCGGTGTAGCAGGCGGCTCGACGATCGCGGGACCGGGGGCGGGCTGGCTCAGCCTGTGCTAGCGGGCAGCCCGTCAAGCCCGTGAAGAACGGTCCATCATCCCACGTTGGCGCGCGACGGACGATGGATCCTCACGTAAGCTTAAGAAACGAGTCTTTGCATGGGGGGAGGGGGGAGTCCGACGCAGCCAGCCAGCCAGCCAGCCAGCACGACTGCCGTGGGTGGGCTCGACGATCCCTCGCGTTGCGATGTGTGTGTGTGGTCTGCAGAGGGAACGAGGGCATCCCGGCGAGCGGGCCTTGTTAGGTATGGCATGGCATGGCATGGCATGGCAGGTTGTCGAAGCTTGTTTTTTTCCTCGGGACGGGACCGGGAGGAGGCACCACGATTGACGAAGCTTGGCGTTGATGATGGGCGCATCGCCGTTGATTCATTACGAGGGACCGGTGCTAGTAATGTCTTGTGGACTGCTGGCTAGATCGAGAAGAGCAGGAGTCAAGACGTGAGGCAGGTGAGAAAACTAACAACCTGACATACATACTACACAGCGCCAGCCACTGGGACCGTCGGGAGCCGCACGGGCTGGCATGGCAGGCTTGTGCGTGCGGCTCCCCAGAACGTGGCGTCAGCCCTGGAACTGGGACTGGAAACTGGTTGACTGAGTTTCCCGTCCCGTGGCCCTTCCGTGGACGTTTCCTTTCCTTTCCTTCACGTCGTCGCCGCCCCCCCCTGGCATGGCCTGGCGGGTGGAACGCCAACATGTGCCTGAGGCTTTGGGGGCCGCTTTGACTCGCCCATCACTCACTCTCCACCACCGCCGGGCGAGTATCGTCAGGGCCTTGTGGCTGAAGGCTTCACCTGCAGCCCTGTCTGCCTTGTAAGATATGGCCGTGTATGGTACTCGCATGCATGCCTTCGAGATGGCAGATCAACGACGGCCGGTCCGAAAGCCCCCTTGGACGAGGTGCTGTTGGAGGAGTCGGTGGTGGTGGTTGGTGGTGGTTCGACAGACATTTTGATGATGGGGGTTCCGGAGGTCCACTGCGGTGCCAGCCAGCCGCCCGCCCCTGGCCTGGCCTTGTTAGTGGGCGGAGCGGGCGGCAGCCGCTGGGCTTAGCGCCACAAGCGCGCCCAGGATGGGGCCCCTGTCTCTTATACACATCTAGATGTGTATAAGAGACAGCGATGGAGACGCCGGCGCGCTCCCGTCAGGCACCGCCTCCCGTCCCGTCTCCATCCATCGAAACAATTCTGGAGGCCATCCTGCTCCCTCACGCACGGCATGTTTCTCATCATGCCGGCACGTCAGCTCCTCGGCAAGACATGGAGAATTTCCCCTCTTTCCTCCTCGGCACGGGCTTCCTCTGCAGCTTCTGAAGCGCGTCCTGACCACGACAAATCCACCCATGCTGTTCCGTCGCACTGCTTGATGACGCCGGTGGTCAGACTTTAGCGGGCCTCGCATGGCGATCACGTCCAGCGACGGGCTCCCCTTGCCGCTGCCATTGGCCCCCGCCACTCACGAGTCACAACCAAACGCTCTCCGTCCTGCAGGCATGGTGATGCAAAGGCCAAGGAGCAAATGCTGATGGGCTTGGGAGCTGAGCCACCGTTCGAGGCAGATTAACCAAGTGACCAGGCGCTTTATTTCTGCCTATCCTGCTTCTATTCTTCGTTGCTGCCGCGGCGAATCTAAACTCGCCGTGGCTGTTTTATCCAACACACGCAACGTTTACTCGACAAGATGCGTGGCTGCTTACCCATCAGTCAATGACCGCGCAGCCCAAAAGTCTAGGCGCTCGACTGTGCAAACAGAAACTCATTAATCAACAGCCTCAGATCCGGGTCCATGTCCAGCGTGTCCAGCTGGCTCGCGCGCGCCGACGCCGGCACGTCGTCCCTCGAGACGATGGCCTCAATCTTCTCCTTGAGCTCGTACCCGACCTGCGCCTTGTACAAAATGGGAAACAGGAGCTCCATGGGCTTGTTGACGGCGAGCTGCGGGTTGGCACCTAGATGGATCACCGCCGGCGAGCGCGGTGGCACGTCGCGCAGGTCGACATGCACCACGTCGTCGACCACGGACACGCCCGGCTCGGGCCCTTCGCCTGTGTAGGAAGCCTTGACTGGCCAGGCCACCTTGGCGCTGGGCACGCGGACAGACCAGTTGCGGCGAAGGCTCGGGTGGCCGCCCGTGGTTGGGCCGATGGTGATGGTGCCTTCGGCCTGGTTGAAGACGATGGGTGTCCGGATCCAGTCGGGCCACTCGGTCGCCTCTCGCGGGATCGTGATGCCGTCCTCGTCCTCCTCCAGCAGCTCGAACCGGCCATCTGCCCCGACCACAACGACAATCTCGAACCGGTCTGGGTTCTTGCCGCCATTCTCCGGAACCTCGGCCCTGTCGAGAGGCACGATGGCGCCCTGCTTCAACAGAACGGGGCACTTGTCTAGCGTTCTGTTGAACCACAGATGTCGGTCGCCGTCGTAGACCACGCCCGTGAAGTAGTCGACGTATTTGCCCGGCGGCAGCCACGCACGCACCTTGCCCGTCTTGGTGGCCCGGTTCAGCGGCGAAGTAATCGGCGCCACAATCATCTCCGTACCAAAGTAGTACTGGTTCGGAACACTGTATGCCTCGTCGCGCTCGGGATGCTCCCAGTACATGGGCTGCACCAGCGGCTCTCCGTGGTCCTTGTCCGCGGCGCGCGCATTCATCGTGTGGATATACGGTATGAGGCGATGTCGCAGGCGCAGGAAGTTGAACACGGTATCCTGGGGTCCTTGACCTGAGCCCGCCGGCAGCTTCCACGGCTCCTTGCACATCCACTCATTCTTGGTCGAGTGCAGGCGCATGATGGGCGAGAAGACTCCAAACTGCACCCATCGCGCAGTCAGCTCGTCGTCACGCTCGCCTAGCATGTGGCCGCCAATGTCGTGGCTCCACCAACCATAGCCGACATTGCTCGCCGTCGCAGTGAACTCGGGCTGGAATTCCAGTGAAGCCCAAGACACGGTCGTATCGCCCGAGAAGCCAACGGGGTAGCGGTGGCTGCCCGGGCCCGCGTACCTGGAGAAGATGAGCGGGTGCTCGGCGCTGTCATCGCGCTTTCGCTGAGCGAGACGCTCTGCGTTGCGCTGGTAGTGAAAGTGATTGAGCACCCAAAGCGGGTCGACGTCCTTCATGTCCGTGTATCGTCCCTGCTGCCAGTCGATCCACCAGAAGTCGACGCCGTCGTCCTCGATGTGCTTGAGCAGCGGGTCGAAATACGCCGCCAAGAAGTTCTTGTCGGTAATGTCAAACGGGATCGTCTCCTTTGTGGACGGGTCCAGGTTCAGCTTGCGGGCAACTGCCTCATACATGTCTTCGTAGCTGGCCACGCCCTCGGCCGGGTGATCATTCAACGTCACCTTGAGTCCCTGGTTATGGAGCTCCTTGATGAAGGCCTTTGGGTCTGGGAAGAATGCCTTGTTCCAGGTGTACCCCGTCCAGCCGGACTGGCCCGCCTCCTTGACGACGTCGTCGCTCACAAGATGCCAGTCCATGTCGACCACGGCACACGACAGTGGCAGCCGGTGTCGACGAAAGGTGCGGACGAGCTCCAGATACGACTCGGTCGTGTACTCCTTGTACCGTGACCACCAGTTTCCCAGGGCCCAGCGAGGGAGAAGCGGCTGCGGGCCCGAGATTGCGTAAAAGGCCTGCACGGCGGCGCGATAGTCGTGTCCGTAGCAGAAGAGATAGCCGTCGATGCGGCCCTCCACGGGCTCCCGGCGCGGGGCAATGAAGCTGCCGTCTGGCGTGAAGAGCATCGTGCGCGAGTCGTCGACGCTCGCGAAGCCCTTTCGCGAAGCCACGCCGTGACCCATGTCCACGCGTCCATCGACGTGGTCGAGCGTGCGATACGTCCCGCCGAGAGTCTGCTGCTCCTCGCCGAAGCGCCACACGTCGCTCGTGTGCCCGAAGACGCGGGCGAAGAGGCTCCCCGGCGAGAAGCGGTCCGCGACCTTGCTGTAAGTGAGGTGGAACCGCTCGGTGACAATCTCCACCCTGGCATCCGTCTCACGGACGGTGAAGTCGGGCACCGAGGCCGACTGCAGGGCCTCGTCGCGGAGGGCGGCGAAGGCGGAGGGCCGGTCCTCAAAGTGCCCGTCCGGGGCATATTCGTAGCGCACGAGGCCGTCGCGCAGGACGGTGAAGCGGAACTTGTCGTCTTTGCGGCCGCCGACAATGGGCGTCGCGGGGGCGACGGTGTGCGTGCGGGAGCGAGAGCTGGGCGGCTCGCTGGCCACGACGAGGTTGATGTTGTAGAAAGCCATTGCGAGCTGCCTGGGCGCAGTGACTGCAGTCCGAGCCTCGAGACTGCGGACGGCTGCTTCCAAGAATGAGGCGGAGGCGGAGGCGGAGGAGGAGGCAGTTGAAGCGTCAGCCTTTCGCGACCTGGGCCACTCTCATGCCGGATGCAATGTTAAATGCGAATGCAGCACAATTGACGGTGTGCGGCGCGACCCCTCGGGGCCCCGTGACTGCGGTGAGCTCCCCGAGGAGTCGAGGGCGGGGGAGGAAACATCCATACCCGCCGCCACGAGCGTGTCTTGGCCATTTGGTGAGCGCTGAGTGAGTGAGACTGAGGGCGGCATACCAACGTTAGGCAGCCGCGGGGGAGGGTGCATGCCGTTGCGGTGTGTCGGAGTGTCCGCGCCGAATGGCCGCCCAGCCTGACCCTCCAAGTTCGTCTCCCTCCCTCTCCCTCACCCTCGACCTCGGTTTCACGTCTCATCGTCGACGGCGCGCACGATTGCTTACAGCAGCACCAACACTACGAGAAAGAGAGTTGGCCGACCTCGAGAAACGCAGCACATATGTGCTCCGGATGCATCGTGTCCGACGTCGGAGCAGGCCTCGATCGTTCATCAACGTCATGTGTCCAACATAGAGCCCTCTCCCTTGCAAAGAACCGCGTCGACATACCGACATTTCCCATCGGAAGCTGCCCGACTAGCTACGTTGCTAGCTGGCCTGCCGGCGCATGCATGCTTGCTTTTTGTGAGCTGTTGTCACCTCGTGACTCTGTCTACCACTTTGCTTACACCCAGACAAAGATGTTTGACCGCGACCGGCTCGGCAAGCCGTAAGACCCATGCCGAATGCCGTCGACGAATCGGCGGAGAAGCCTCCAGCGAGGTTCTCGACATCTTCCGGATCGCCGCGTCTCAGGGGCATGAGGGCCCTGGTTGGGAGCGCGCCAGATGGCGCTGCAGACCCAACAGCACCAACTGCCAGATGGCGAGCCAAGTGCGATTGTGAACTCGGCCCTTCATCCACTTCAGAAGCAGTGGTGTGAGCATTTCGTCGTGGTGGCGCAAGCCACCCAGCTATTGGTTCCATGTTGATGACCGTATTGTTCCAGAGCAGCCAAACCCACCACCATGCTCTGGCCAAACCTACCACCCTCAACTGGAGGGGGCTGTTGCCATGCACAGATCAGGGAGGTCGAGCCGCCCCAGCCAGGCACAGGTCCTGCCAGAGCCAATTGGTGAAGTGGCTGCGAACTCTATTGCTCGGACAAGCGGAAACCCGCGGAGTCGCGGACATGCGTGGGTGTCATACCCGTCCACGATGCCCACCTCGATCGCTCCACGCTGCGATTCTGTACCTGATGGGCCCATGGCCCATGAAGAGCACCTGTCGGGGCCACTGAAGAAACGTGTGTAAATCCCCGCGGAATACATCTCAAACGGACACTAGCTGTGGAGACAGGTCCCGTTGATATCTTTGGAGACCCTGACCACTCTTCGCAATGAAGTCATGAGCTCCTGGGAAAGCTTTTTGTTCGGCACAACCATCCGAACGTCATGTTCGAAACAAGTCATTCGAACCACATCTTCGGCAATCTGGTTGGCAGACAAGCGAAGCGGTGCCTGAATACTTAAGCGCCTGATGAGCTACCTGTGTTGCATCAAGCGATGCATTGGCGTTCTTTGTAAACACGAAAAACTCCACAACCCCCTGACGACAGCATGCCCTTCGATCGCTACCCGGTCACGCAGCCCGAAGAGGGTACGTACCCATGTAAGGCGCTTCGCAACAACGCCAAGGGAACGTACCTCGACAAAGAGGCGTTGGAGCGGTTCAAGATTCGCGAGATTTGTGAAGGATGGGGCAACTATCGCGATGCTGCCGAGTACGTCGAGCATTATCTCCAATTACACTTCCTGCTTCTGACCGCATCAGGTGGCAAAACTATCGCTCCATGTTCTTTGACGACGCATACATTGCTACCTCATGGAAGCAGGGCAGCATCGACGAGTTTATCCAGGCCTCCAAGGATGGGTTCGCAGAGGGCTCGTCCTTCATGTACATCATGCACCGCATCTGCGGGTCCTCGGTCGAGACCAACACGGACCTCACGCGCGCAGTCTGCAAGATGAAGATCACCATTACGTGCCGATTCACGTTTGACGGCGCGGAGATGGACAACGAGTCCGACTGTCGTTTCTTCTTCCTGCTCGAGAAGCGGCAGGGCCGCTGGGGGGTCTGCTTCTACACCTTGCTTTTCGACAAGGACAAGTTCATCCCTGTCAATCCGGCCAAGACGTTCCACATCCCAGAGGACGAGGTCGACAAGTTTCCTTCCGGGTACCGCTACCTTGCTTGGGCCGAGGTTCGCATTGGGCATCCGCCGAAGCTGAACTTGAATAGTCACAGACCGGAGAGGGACATCTTGTATCGCAAGTGCAAGGACTGGTTGGAAGGTCGAGCTGTCGTGCCGGACTTGACGGGCGAGGACTGGCCTGATTGGAAGCCGTAGTTTGATAGCGACATCAATTGACATCACCTTGAGAAAAAGTCACTCGGGTCAATGGCATAGAGCGTTTGCCACACTCACGTACATTCCTCACTTTGCTCGACCATACTCAGTAACACAGACGGCTATTGCAATTCGAAATAGCGCTCTCCGACCACAACCTTGCCAGTAGACCTATACAAAGCGTGCGCGGTGGACTCGCGCTCGCCTTACTCCTCGTCCTGCGGCTCAACAGCAGGCCTCACGACGCGCTTGAAGCCCTGCTGTCCCGCCTGGTTCTTGGCCGCGGCGATGGTCTGCTGGGCGTTGGGGTCGCTGAAGCCGCAGCCCGTCTTGCCGGCCTGGAACTGCGCACCCACGCCGGAGCAGACACCGCCTTGGTTGTTCTGGTTGGCGCAGCACTTGGAAGCGCAATCGGCGTCGCTAACACATCCACCGGTGATGAATTGGCCACCGGCACCATTGCCCACGTTCTTGGCTCCGGCCGGGTCGCCGATGACGCGGCCGCCGGAAGCGGGAGCCTGCTGGTTGTTCTGGTTCTTCTGCTGATTCTGCGAGCCTTGCTGCGGCTGCTGTGCGGGCTGCCCCGACTGGCCTGACTGCTTCTTGGCGGCTGCAATCGTCTGCTGAGCATTGGGGTCGCTGAAGCCACAGCCCGTCTTGCCCGCCTGGAACTGCGCGCCGACGCCAGAGCAAACACCGCCCTGGTTGTTCTGGTTTGCGCAGCACTTCGACGCGCAATCAGCGTCGCTGACGCACCCGCCAGTTATGAACTGGCCGCCGGCTCCGTTGCCGACGTTCTTGGCTCCCGCCGGGTCTCCGATGGCCAGGGCCGAGGCGGCAACTGCATTGTGTTAGTGAGCGGCTCCCGCTGATCGAGACAGGTATGCGAGACGTACAGGCCAGAACAGCGGTGACGGCGAGGCGGACCATGATGAAGTCTAAAAAGGGTATCTTTCAAGTGCGTAAAATCGGTAAAAGATTGCGGGTTGCGACGCCTGGTCGGCTGAAAAGAGCGAAATGGACGAAGAAAGAGAAAGAAGAAGAAGAAGTCGACAAGACGACGCCGGGTCGTTGAGGCTGAGCTGAGCAAAGTGGCTTGAAGATCGAGTTTGATGGTCGCTGTCTTCGGGATCGTCGCCGTCTTATATACGACTCTCGGGACCACGAGATGTCAAGCCCCCGACAGACCGAGCCATTGCCAGGCTGCGACACGTCGTGCGACGCCGTCGATACCTCAATCGGTAAAAGCTGGTGCCTCTGCGGCGGGAGGTACCGTAGAGAAGGAGCCCAAAAGCATCGATGCGGCTTCGAATAGTCGGTCGTGGTGTACGCCTGCGGTGGTTCTGACGTTTGATCCTCTGCACTAGGGCGCCATGGGCATCCGAAGCCGAGACGGTCGGTTGCGCGGGCTCCTGGAGCCCAGGGGCTTCAGGAGGGGACCTCCGACTCGACATGGGAGCATCATGAGACGGTGCCTGTTTGAGCAGCGGCAGGGCCGGCGCGCGAGTTTGCGCACATCTCGGGGGACGGGCGATTGATCGGCTTCGGACGAAGAACCTGGACGGAAATCTGCTCGTTTGCCACGCGCGCCACGAGGAGATGGAGAAACGAACGGCTATGGCAGAATGTCGTTGTGTGATGATGGCGATGTAAGGCGGGATGGGGGAGGAATTGGTGGTGTTGCTTGGGTGGGTTTTCGGCTGCATGACGCACGCAGGAACGGGCAGTTAGTTGCATGAGCCCGTGCCTGCCTCGAATCTGCAGCGGAGCCGCGCCAACACCAACACTGAAGGCGGGGAAATTAATTGACAATGCCGTCCTGCACGCGACCGCCGCCTACCAACATTAACACGGCCCCTTCCGCATCACCTGTCAAGTGTCAACCGCACCCAGTTGTCTGGTCCGGTGTGGCTGGCGAACGCAACTTTGCCTCATCGGGACAGCTGCCGTGCGCGGCTTGGTTTCGCCCCCGTCGCCAAGTTTCACCTGGTGTCATTCACGGCTTGGGAGGAGCCGCCGCCGCCGCCACCACGGGGAGGCGCTTCCGCCTCGGGAAGTCAATCCACTTGCATTCATTCCCTCGGCTGCCGTCGACGGCCGTGTTGTTGCTCTCGGGTAGGGGTCCCGGTAGGATTGTGCTGCAAGACTGCGATGGCTCACCTGACGCCTAGCGAGGTGCGAGACGATGAGAGGGGCCGTCGCGGGTGGTGCTGGCGAGGCATGGGGGCGTTGAGACACAGCAACGTTTCGTCCCGACTCTCGCAGGGCCGACGCCAGCATAACGCCAATGCAACGAAGCACTTGTGGTATTCTCGGACGCGCCAAGGTCAATGCAGTACCATACAGCTCCTTCGCCGGACCTTGAAAGGCTTTGGGGCCGGATGGAGGCTCAGCCGATGTGCCCATGGCAGACGCCGGTTTGCGAGAACATGCATAGATCAAGGACAAACGAGCAAGCCGTGTGGAAAGGACTCGAGCGTACAAGTTACGGGCGAACGAGATATCCGCGTTCGAGCCTTGGGGCCGTCTTGCTTACGAGTTCCGGTCTGCTGGGACCCACGATGCTTCAAGGTGCACCATCGCCGCCGTCCATACAAAGTCTACCACCTTTCCAAACGCTTTGACTAAGGATCATGCATTGTAGGGAAACCCAAGTCTGACCTGGAATTCCAATTAATACGCGTTGATCGCAGCCAGACACTTTCAAAGGCCCCTGCGAACCTCACCGTCGATCTGCAGTCGTACTACTGAGATGCAACATGAAGAGAGCGGTAGTTTCACTTCACTACCTCGCTCTTCAACGGATACCTGGGAAGGCAGATCGAGGACTCAATCACTGAGGGAGCCTGCGTACCCTCTTCACACCCACTGAACGAAGGGGTTGCGTCAGCTGCTCGGGAGTGTCTGAACACGGGAGCTTGCATGAACATGTTGCTGGCCGACCGCAACGAGCACAGGTGCAGCACCTCAGCCTAGCTGTTACCTGACAAACCAGGCAGCGAGGTGAACACGTTAGGTCGCGCGCGCAGCTGCACGCAGCCCTGGCAGCTGCCTGTGTTTACAGTGCCGCGCACAGCCGGTGCTGCTGCACACTTCTTTGCTCTTGCATACTTCACCTCGCTCTCCACGACCAATCCCCAAAGGCATCCCTTCTGCCAACACTCGCACCCTCACATCCTCTGGCATACGATTGTAACCTCTCCCCTTCGTTTCTTCTGATCCCGTCTGTGGTTTGTTTACCTGGCAGGCAGCTGAGGCTGCCCGCACGGATTTCACCCGTCATGGCTTCCGAGGGAGACGTTCGAGATCTCAAACGCGTCATTGACGATGTTTTTTTGCCTCCCAAGCTCCCAGGTCAAGACTGCGGATCATCCCACGACAACAAGCTTCTCGCCCTTGTCCATTCCGCGCTTGAAGCCTTTACGCCTCTCGCCAGACAAAAGGATCGTGCGACAATTCTCGCAACGGCAGAGGCTGTCAGACGCCTGAAGCAGGCGAGAAACCGCTTCGGTGTACTCGACGAGGCGGCGGTGGCCTGTCTTCTAGAGAAGCTTTCGACTCGTCGTGAGTACAGTTCTGCGGACTCGTGGTATTGTTCTTGTCTACTAACTGGGTCAGATTTCCTACTCCCTCTGCACATCAAGGCCCAGAATGCCGGCCTGCTCATTTGGAAAAAAGACGACGACTTCGTCTTTGAAACGTTCGAGCTCACCCCGCCCAGTGCCACGGTAATCAAGGCGGAGGGTCGCCTCAAACGAACTTTTCCCAGCGAGGGCGTCGTTGTCAATCTGGAAGTTTTCACGTCTCCCCAGTTCCGCTCCGCTGTTGCCTCAACGATCGCAAAAATGAGTTTTGAGACGGCTCCTGGAATGTGCGGCGAGATCTCCACCCCCAACGGCAAAGTTGATGATACTGCTGCCCCGAATCTTGTCACGGAACTCCTAATCTCCTTCCTCCTTGCCAATGGCAAGCCGGCTACCGAACCGACAGTCCGCAAACACACGAGGGAAGAGATCATTCTCAACGAAGGAAACGAGGTGCCGTGGAGACGATCTGCTTTCTGGTTGTTTCTTCGTGTCACACTGCACCTTCAGATGTCCCGATTCGACGGCGGCCAGGACAGCGGCCTCTACAAACGCTTCATGGTCTTTTTCATGGCCCAATTCCTAAGGTCCGCGGTAGACCTTGACATGAATAGCGATCTGCTATTCGCCATGAGTGCGAAAGTGGCTCGCAGGCTTGTCAAGCTGAATATCAGACGCCAAGAATCGTGGATGCCGACGGTCCACAAACACATGTCTGCGGTAACACGCGTCCTGGACGCCCGAATGAAGCACATTCTCGCCGACGACAAACAAACGCTGGGTTTCACGAAGCTATCCGGCCAGGCCGCGGAGGCGGATACTACATTGCACCTCCCAGACCTGGACGCATTCCTGGACCACATGTCGTTGAAGCAGTGCAACTATCAATCCGGTGAATTTTCACCTACTTCGGCGGTTTTGCAGGTCTCCAGCGACCAAATTCCCGACGTTGCTTTTATCGAAGACCACCCGACACATGAGTTCCAAAATCTCTATGCATTCGAGACGTGGGTTGCTGTGTATCTCGACGCTTGGACTCGGGATCACCTCCACGACGATGAAACCTGCGCCAAGTTGAAAAGAACCATTGAAGTGTATCACAAGATCTCGCACATCTGCTACGACGGCTCGCCCGAGGGCAACTCGATGATGATTCTTACGATTCTCGAGCTGTGGATCGCATGTGATAAGTCTGCGGTGGCACAGCACCCACTCCTCGCCAACTACAGCCATGACGTCCCACTTCGGCCCTTTGAGTTGCTCCATTTGCGTTTCAAGGGCGACATGGAAAGACTTTGTCGCGCTGAGAGATACTTGATAGATCGCTCAAGCGCAGCCTACCGATCGACAAAGGCTGTTTCTGCCATATTCACTTATGACCAAGAGACGTCTTTCTCTACTTCGTTTGTGGCCAGCTCTGTCGACCATGGGGAGGTTTTGGCAGCCATCAAGAGTCGAACCGACGAACAACGAACCCGACACCAAGAAGAGTTCAATCGGCTCATGACAAGATTCAACGAGCTCATGGATCTCAGAGCGGTAGTGTCATGTGAGCAAGAGGACATCGTCGACCACCGCGGCCGATCACGGAAGCGACACGCGTCACGATGCCAGCGTTGTCAAACAGAAGATGAGCTCGCCGTCATGGACATCGAGGTTTTCGAAGAGCCGTTGCCTTCCAAAGCTAGCGAAGCGGCCTCAGTTGTTTTCGAACTCCTCTCGCCGCCTGCGTTTGCAGCCTGGAGGGATTCGACGATCATTCTCCTCGAAGACGTACTTGGCCTCCGTCCCCGCCAAAAGGAGAAAATCAAGTTGAAACAAAGACTTCAATGCTGGCCTGGATTGGATGTCCATTTTCGGGAAGCCTCGCCCGAGCAGCGCGTAGTTCTGGCCACGGCATCGAGCCCTACTTCCAGACGCAAACGAATCGCATTATCCTCGACCTTGACGTTCGGCGATACCTTTGTACCGAGCACCATCCGATGGCAGCTGTTCGACAACGCACTCTCGAGTGCCATTGGGAAGCCCATAATGACGGAAGCTGTGTCTCAAATGTGCTCGTTGCCTTTCGAAGAAGAGTTGCGGTTTCTCCAGCCGTTCCTTACTCAACAGCGAGCGCCAAACGACATCATTACGCAGCAAGCTGAACGCCCAGGAAATTTGTCTCCAGCAGAGTTCAGAGCCTTGTGCTCCATGTCCTTCGGCCGGCACATTCAGTGGATGAACGTTTTAGTTCAACTGGCCCTTCCATCCGTCGACTAGAAGAAGACGGAGACGGTCATGTTCTTGATGCACATTGTGGAGCAAACAGGTCCAACGACAGCTGCCGAACCATTGCGCAACGCTCACGGTATCCTTCTCTGTGAAAAATTTGCGTCGAAGATGCTAGACACGATCTTCGCCTGCTTGGGAAGAGTCGCTCAGAACTCAGAAGCATACCGGGCAGTATGGGCATACAACATGATTGCGGCCCGCTTGCTCTCAGCGGGGCCTGAGGCGACTCGCCATCGCTGCCTTGATTTCTTGGCCCAGTCCCGCAGCGTCTGTATAAAGTGGATGCGAATGCACTCGGGAAAGTCGAAAGGGGCTCTGTCAAACGATGAGAGTTCCGAGTGTTTGCAACGTTCGTTGGAGGCCGCACTGGTGTGCCTGTCGACATTCGACGTCGCTCAATGCCACCTGGACCAGATACTCACGGATGCAGCCCAAACTACAATATTCGTCGAATCTTCGATTCGGACAAAGGAAACGATCTCGGAAGCTCACAGCAAAGACATCACCATGAACACTTTGATGTTTCGGTGGACGAGACTCAGCCAGAGGGCGTTTCAGGCTCTGGCAAGAGACAGGAACACGAAAGAGGGCCTGAACACAGCTGTCAGAGAGGCATGGGCGTATTTCTGTCCATCTGAAGATGGATGGGCTCTTCATGGCAGCTGGGTTATAGCGGAAACATCCGCTATACTCGAGGACGAGCCGACGATTGTTCACTTCGATCTTCTCCGTGCTGAGCTTCGAATCAACGGACAGCCCCTTTCTCATCTTCCCGAAGAGTTTGCAGCCCACCCGCAGTTCAAATGCCTATTTGGCACTAGGCAACTCGAGGTCTACCCTCTCGGTTCTCAAGGAATGCAGTACCTCGCTAAAGGCACTTTCAATGATCACGAAGTCTCGCTTGATTTGGAGCCGACGCCGGACGCAGAAGGGGATCTTCTTGTCCGAGCCAGAAGACAAGATGTCACCTATACCCTGGTTCCGAGGAGACTGCTTACAGAAAAGCTGCCTCGAAGCTTCAGCGATCAGTTTGTCCATTGGTACAACGAAAGGGAATGCTCCATCGAACTTCGGCCAAATGACGACCCTTGGGGAATCAAGAAAGGATCCTGGAGACTCCAGAAGCAGGGAGATCTTTGGTTCCTGACCGGTCAAGATGGAAGTCGTCTGGTAGACCCTACAAGTGCAACCGCGACCAGCGTTGCTGAGGTCTTCCAACCCATCGAAACTGCCTCTGGCCTTCACATATTCTATTCCGCGGCTGCGAATGAGATATGCGTGCGCATTCCGCGCTTCAATCTTGACTTCAGTGTCGATTGTGGCACTGCAATTCTTAGCTCTCACCAGTTCCGTGGCATGCAAGTGGACGTGGACCAAAGTCTTCAGACCTTGCTTGGGCTGCAGAATCGGCTCCTCCTCTGTCACGCTGAAGAATCTGACGCACGCATGGTACTTATTCCGGAGGGTGAGGTCAAGTTGAGTCAGTCACGCGACCACGATGATAGGTATCATCATGCTGTCGAAGTCGACTTGTCCACGGCTTGCCGCATACAGTCTTTCCGAGTGGACCGTGTGTTAGGGCGCCTGGTAGGCAACGGAACGCTACGAAGCAAAATCTATCTGGCGCACTTGCATGCTCTGACGTCTTTCTGCATCCCCGATCCCCTCACTGGCCTGACCGGCACGGAACAGGCACTGCGAATTTTGCAGAGCGCCGAGGTTCGTTCCTTCGACTGGCTGTCAGTAGAGAACGTGGAGAGGCTAGGCCGTATTGCCGAAATGACACCCAAACGACGACGGTATCCTCTAGAAGAATCTGCCGTGCAAATTGTGGCATGGCGGGGGGACAGTCTGGGCGAGCTATCCCAGCATCCAGGGCTCTACAAGGCTGTCAAGTCACTGTTTGTTCAGGCGGCAGAGACACAATTTTTCTACCCATCAAATACCGCGAAGATACCTAAACTCGCCATGTGGGATGTAAGGCTCCTAAATCGAGACGAAATTCGCTCATCCACGTTCTACGGTAGCGGCTTTGGCGCGGAGTACCACTCGACCGCTTTCGACGAGGAGTACACCAGCGCTGCCCGGGCGCCGGCGCCGGACAAGGCGCATATGGTCTACCGGGCATGCAGAATTCTTGCCTCGGGAGCCGAGGTAGCTCTGGCGAAGCCAGTCTCTACCTTTACCTCGGACATCAAAAGAATTTTTGGAACGGGAGGTGTTCGTGGTCGCGCGTCAGCCATACCAGAGTCGGAACTCCAGTACGACCTGAGGTGGTTACAAGATCCGCGCGAACTTATGGGCGATCTATTTTGCAGGATCCACGCCACGCTCATCCGTCAAGAGGTGTCTCTCAACAAATTTCACCTGATGCTGTGGATTTCTACCATGATATTCGCCGAAAATTCCAGCGACTCAATGGTGCAGTTGTTGCTGTCGTTCGCGTCCCTTTCCGCCACACGACAGGTTCAGGCTCCAGATGCTTCGCGGTTTCTGCTTCACAAAAGCCCAAAACCACTCAAGGCAGATCTCAAGAACATCGGGAAGGAGGCATACGTTGATTTCACGGCAAGCCCAGAGGCTCAAAGGCCGGACCGCCCTGGCGAGACTCGCAAGGCTGCCAATACTCGCCGACGAAATACCTTCAAGGAGAAGCAGAAAGAAGTTCTTGAAAATTTCGCGGTGTTTATGGCTGATCAGTGGTATGACAACCGTCTCGCGCCTCCGACGTTCTCACTGGATGCTTCTTTCGCGCAATACATTGGCCACGAGGGCGCCGTCGCAGCCACACACCGCTTGTTCAAGACCTGCATAGCGAACGGCCGCTTTCTCAAGTTTGTTGCGGACCTGAAAGAAATCATTAGGCGAGCGGAGCTCCTTGACTGTGCCGAAGTGCCGTCTCCTCGTTTGCTTCCACCGAGCACGCCTGACTTGCAGGAGACTGAGAGATGCGTCAGTATTCTCAGCGCACTCAAGCAGGCTGTGGTGATTCGGTTCTCAAGAACTGAACTTCCATGTCTCTCCCAGAGACTACTCAAGGAAGTTCAGCACCCGGTGAGCCCAAGCCTATCTGGTCTTCGGGCTCTGGTCATGCAGCGGATAGCGTCAACTCAGCTTACATGCTATGTGACCGAGCTGCAACGGAGTATCTCCTCCCTCGGAGACTACACGGAGTCTCACAACCTGGTGTTGCCAGCACTGGGAATTGAGAAGGTTTTGCTGCATCATTTCAAAGACTGCAAGCAGCGCTTCGACTCAGCTATGGATGCTGTGGTCAAGGCCATTGGCAAGAACCAGCGGCTTAGAAACGACCAACATTCGTCTGTGAACATCGTGGCTACTACCCATCACTGGCCGAGAGTGACACTGGCGATCATTTTGGAGCAGATTAACCGCCATAATCGAAGCTCCCTTCCCGGCGACTGGATGCAGCGAATTGTCGACCTCGGGCAAAAGTTGACATGCCTCCAGCAGGCAGGTCGTTTACTTCAAATGTCAAGCCGCGAAACTGCTCTTATTGAAGAACTTCGAAACCAGGTTCGCCGGAATTGGTCACCTGAGAAGCATCCTGATACGCTGCTCCTCGAGATTGAGGGCGGGTTTCGTGTCCGGCATGCGCAAGAAGATATAGCACGTCTCATGAGAACTCCGCCCAAGGGAGAGAACGCAGTCCTTCAGCTCAACATGGGCGAGGGAAAATCATCTGTGATCATTCCCATGATTGTCACCAGGATTGCGAAAGGGCGAACTCTCACCCGAGTGATCGTCGCAAAGCCGCAATCTCGACAAATGCTCGAGATGCTCATGTCTTCACTTGGCGGCTTGGTTTCACGGCGTGTCTATCATATGCCATTCTCGAGAGGTCTGGCTGTGGGAGAGGAAGAGATTCTCACCATTCAACGAATTTTCTCAGAGTGCAGAAAGTCTGGTGGTGTCCTGCTAGTCCAGCCAGAGCACGTCCTATCACTTCAATTGCTGGCTATCGAAATGCTCCTTAGTCCCAGGCTGAAGCTGCGGGCCTCTAGCAGGTCGCGCCGACAGACGGATGGCCAAGCGGTTGCAGAACCGGAGAAAACTGGAGCAGATATTCAGCAGCTGCTGTTGGATATACTGAACTTCTGCAATGCGCACAGCCGAGACATTGTGGATGAGTCCGATGAAAACTTTTCACCGAAGTTTGAGCTCATCTACACTATGGGCAAACAAGAGATCCTTGAATTTGCGCCTGACCGGTGGCTCATTATTCAGGAAGTCCTTTCCCTGGTTGCAAAGCTTGCTCCAAGATTCCAGCAGACAGCACCGGCCTCCGTCGAGATCGATGGCCGCCATGACGACAGAGTGCCACGGGTGCGCTTTTTACTTCAGGATGCCGCCGACAAAATGTGCCTTCTGCTGGCGGAAACAATCTGCCACAATGGTCTCGCGTCCTTCTTCTTTGGACGTCAACCGACGGAAATGAAAAATGCTATCGTTCAGTTCATCACGGAGAAAATTGTTTCGAAGGAAGCTGCTGGCCTGGTGGAGGGCAGTGAGCTATGGGGTCAGTCTACCAGAAGCGCCCTCCTGGTCTTGAGGGGCCTGTTTGCGGGAGGAATATTATCCTTTGCGTTGAGCCAGAAGCGATGGTCCGTGAATTTCGGGTTGGATCGCGACCGTGTGCCCAGCACAGCTCTTGCGGTACCGTACCGGGCAAAGGGCGTCCCCGCGAGATCAGAATTCAGTCATCCGGACTTGCAAATTGTCCTGACTTGCTTGTCCTACTATTATGGTGGGCTAAGCGACAAAGATATTCTTTTGTCGTTCGAGCACCTCACCAAGTCCGACCAGGCTGAGCATGAATATGCCACATGGATCGCTCCGACGTCACTTCCAACAGCCTTTCGAAGCCTGGATGGTGTCAATATCCGCGACAGGGAGCAGTGTTCCCGCACGCTCTTTCCGCAGCTGAGGTACTCAAAAGGAGCAATCGACTACTTCCTCTCCAGGATCGTTTTCCCACGAGAAATGAAAGAGTTCCCACAGAAGCTGTCCGCATCTGGCTGGGATATCGGACGTTCAAAGGCGCATCCGACGACAGCATTTTCAGGCACAAATGACAGCCGGCATCTCCTGCCCCTAGAAATGAATCAGCTTGAAGTTCCCAGCCAAGTGCATACCAATGCCTTGGTCCTGAATCATCTCCTATCGGCGGACAATAAAGTGGTCTTGCTTTCGGAGCTCGGACACACCGGACCCTGTGTCAGCTCCCAACTCCTGAACACCATCGCGGAGATGAAGCCTGAGCCAAGAGTCATCTTGGATATTGGAGCCCAGATTCTGGAGCTCACAAATGAGCAAGTGGCGACCGCATGGCTTGAGCTCCTTTCAGACCGAGATGACATCCGGGCTGCGATCTTCTGCAACGACTTGGACGAGCTAATTGTGGTCGATCGGCTGGGCCGCCGTGAGCCATTGCAAACGTCCTCTTTCGCAAAGCAGATGGATGTCTGCCTTGTCTTTTTAGACGAGGCGCATTGCCGCGGGATCAACCTGGCCCTGCCGGAGTGGTACCAGGCCGCCGTAATCTTGGGTGCAAAGTTGACAAAGGATCGGTTAGCCCAAGCCTGTATGAGAATGAGAAAGCTTGGGGCGGGACAAACGCTCGTGTTCTGCGTCCCTCATGAGGTCGAGACGAGAATCCGATTGCAGAACCCCAATCAGCAGAACTCCAAAATCGACATAATGGCGATACTCGCATGGACAATGTCGGAAACGCTGGAAGACACGAAACAATCGATACCGATTTGGGCAGCCCAGGGACGCCGCTTTGAGCAGCAGCGCATACTGTGGAACGAGGCAAACGCGGAAGGAGGACTCAAAGTGGACCAGGATCTTGCAGAGAAGTTCCTCGAGAGCGAAGCGAAAAGCCTAGAGAGCCGCTACCAACCATTCTACGTCCCACCGCCCAGTATTTCAGAGTTGCCAATCACGAACGGCAGCCTGGAGCGCATCGTCGAGCGATGCCGCGACTTTGGCGCTCAGGATGATCAGAGTGCAGGCCTCGAGGAGCAACAAGAACGAGAGTTGATGCCGGAACTAGAGGAGGAATGTGAGGTGGAGCGGCGAACGACATTTGAGCCTGCTGGGCACAGGCTGCATCAGAATGTCCGCAAGTATATCGAGACAGGCTCGATTCCCAGCAACGAGACAGGTTTCATGTGGGCTTTCCAGAGCCTGGCAGAAACAACCGCAACACAGCACTTCAACGTGCGCAACTTTCCTCGAGGCCTTCGGGTGACCCAGGATTTTGCTTGCACGCTGCAAGGGGATGCGCCTCGCGAGAAGGGCACGGACGCATTCCAGCGAGAAGTACGGTTCATCCTGACCAGCTTCAATAGCCAGAAGCAGGATTCCATCATGGTAATCATCAGTCCGTATGAGGCGGAGAAGTTGATGCCAGAAATCCGTGCATCTCGGCACGTTACTCTGCACCTGTACGCGCCGCGACAAAACGAGAACCACGAGCCGATCGACCTGAATGGGACGGGACTGTATCGGATTTCTTCGGGCCCAACACCAAGAGGCCCAATCTCTCGACGCTTGTTAATCGAGCTCAACCTCTTCGCAGGACAGCTCTATTTTAAGTCCTTCCAAGAGTACATCGATGTTTGCGACTTTCTCAACCTGACTTGGGGAGACCCGGCAGACGCAGATGGGGCTGCCATTGACGGCTTTATTGAGCCTAGAAAGCGGGTGCGTCCGCATTCAGGGCGAACGAACTTCCCGAGCAGTCCAGTGCAGTTCCTGCGGATCCTGATGTCGAAGATCCGGCGAGATGGCAGCAGCATTGACCGTACTCACGTCGGGAAGATGCTGAACGGGGTCTTGCTGACGGAGGACGACTTTGCGCCCCGTCCCAAGCGCAAAGCTGATGCGATGGAGGAGGGCGTGGACGAGGGCACCATGTTCGTCGAGGGGGAGGATGATGGCACGTCTCAGGCGGATGCTTAGGTTCGGGCTCTTGGCTCGGTAGACTGAGGAGTCCAGTGCACTGGAGGACTTGTAGAACAGAATGAATGGATAAAATGTTTGTGTATAACAACTCTATGTGAGCCGCTCGCCGCATTGCGGGCTTGAGTTGAGCTGCAAGATCCAGTGAGACTGCATGACGAACGCCGTGAAGCATCCGCAAGACAACGACGACCCGAAACGTTTCTCTCAACCTGTGAACGGGTGCCACAGCTGAGCCCTGGGTAGCTACAAGGACCCAAGAGCTGGTCGCCTCAGGCAACTGAACGAGCCCGTGAACAGCCATCCGTGACGGTGCCAGGTCGATGCATTTCGCAGCACTCGCTCGGCAAATTGCCGTGAGGTGTAATTTCATCCCTTTCCTGTTCACAAGAACAAGAACTTTTCACTGCTTCCGTTTTCTCCCGCCTTTCTTCTTCCGCCAACTTCATTCCCTTGCAACGGCAGCACCTCTTCACTCTTCCAGCACGCCGCTCGCTAGCCACCACCGACGTACCTACCTACCTGCCTTGCCTTGCCGCTCAAGACAATCAACATGCCGAACGTGAAGCGAATGTACAAGCGACACCTGGCCATCTACAAAGCCTGGCGGGACGTTCTCGGCCCCGCAATGCACCCCCAACGGCGCAAGAAGCTGGAAGACGACGGCGCGATCCTGGAACACGACCCCATCAAGGGGCTAGTCAGAAAGTACGGCAGGGACAAGTTCTTGTCCGACACAGCCATACTACGGGCTAACAAACTCTTTTGCTCCGAAGAAAAGGCGAACGAGTACTTTCAGCAGTTGAAAGCGCGCGCTCTGCCTGCCGTTGCGGCTTATGGACGGGGCACGACGCCCATCAAGAGTGAGTTTGACGCGGCGGCCATACCGTCTGCTGACGTTCGTATCGCGGAGCTACTTCGTGCTTCACGGGAGGCGAGAGAAGAAAGTACGTCTAAAAGAATTTACGCCAATTCCTACTCCTGTTCAACGTGTTGATCGGACTAGCGGTACCTACGGCCCAGACGGCCCCTGCGAACGACGATTCGGTGCTGCAGACAGACACACAGCTAGCCCCGTCGTCCCAGTTCGAGAGCCTGACGCACCTCCCTCAGAGGATACAGCACGGCGTGATGGCATATATGCAGACCCTCCTGGAGGTAGCCTGCTTTCAGTTCGCGCAGCATGCGCTCCCAGACGTCCTGGCACAGCACCGCTGGGACTGCGCGGAGGCAGTCGACCTCGCACGCTGGGTATCGATCCTGAGAGACCGCGACGACTTCCCTCCAATTGCCGTCCCTTCTTATCAGGCGATCAGTCCCCGCGAGCGACACGAAGCTGCCTCGGCGTTGCTGTCCAGCATGGCCAGCCTGCGACACGCGGCGGTCGACCGCCACCGCCTGACAATCAAGGAAGTGGAGCAATACATTGAACAAGCCGCGGCCATTCTGCGGCTTCTCGGCGCGACGTCCTGTCTCGAGAGACTAACGCCCCTGCAGGAGACAGTGAGCATCGCAGTGGACCACTTGGGTGAAGGTCGCAACGCCAGTACCACCACGTTGAACGAGGTGGCCACCTACACTGCCGGCAGAAGAGCCGAGCTGGAAGCACTGGAGCGAGCAACCAGAGACCAAGCGCTTTCCAGAGAAAGAGCCATGTCGGAGAGAGCTGGAGAGGAGATTGAACGCACAATGTACCACCTCATCATGTCCGGGAGACTATAGGGAAGCGATCAGGTTGACAATTTGGGGCAACCATTCCTGTTTGATGTACTTTCGATGGACTGAAAAGTTTGATCTGGAATCTCAGCGGTCACGGCGCACGCGCGTGAGCAATATACACACCAATGATGACTCCCTTGAAAGGAAGGAAGCTACATGGGGATCTTGACAGCCTAAGCAACCCGTCTCGAACCCGAGGTTGAGGCACCCTGGGCACGCGATTGCGAATACAATCCATCACAGTACATGGCAGCATCGCCACATGTTCAGATGTTCCCAATTATTCAGTGCACCCGAGCCTCGTAAACCTGCCTCACACCGCCATCATGAGCCCCATCTCTGGATCAGCTCGTCCCGCTTCATGCTTCGAGAAGCTAGCCCTTGTCCCTCAGCCTCACGCAATCTTTCCTGAGCCTTGGAAACCTCTTGCTGCAGAATGGCGATGGACCCATCAATCTCTGGATCGACAAGTGTGACTTGTCCGAATGGGCTCTCCGCCAGGATGCTGTCCTTGAGCAGCTGCACTGCCAGGCGAGCATCGCGGAGCTGGGACATGGTTGTAGCTTCAAAGCTGTCCTGGGCACCACGTGCAACTTCTGTGCTCTTCTGCGCACGGTCGGCGAGGATTTTGGCCAGCGACGCAGTCCGTTCTTTGGCTTCATCGTCCTCGTCCAACGAAATGGCGAGTTTCGTACAGAGCGCCTCGAGCGGAGTTTCGTCCATAGGAGTCAGCGACCGTCGCCGGCCGTGGGAGCCGGCGGCGTCGTGGCGGATACGGACTGGTGACGGCTGGCGGACAGGAGAGGCGGGCACCCGCGCTGCCTCTTGCGATGATGTTGCGGAAATCTGCGTTGCGATTTCGGCATGGACGGTCGAGCCAACTGCTGCCGTAGCAGCCTGATGTGATTTGCGAGCAGTGACGCGAGAGTGAAGACGGTCGATCCTGTCCAGTAGGTACTCCAAGCACGCATCCATCTGTTACTGGTCAGTAAGCGCGCTTGCTGATGGGATATGCTGCCCACATACGTAGGCAACGGCAGCGGCAGTGCGCCTGAGACTCTGGCCGCTTTGCGCAGTGATGGATGCCAAGGCGGGCTCGAGATGCTGTTGCTCAACAGACATTTGTGCAACTGGCAGGATTTCGGAGTAGAGTGATTCAACTTCCTCTTGCAGGCCCTTCACTTCCTCAGAACTTGCCGGCTTTGTCTTTCCCGAGCGCTCAGCGTTGGCGAGTGTATCCAAATAGACCGCATCCAGCTTTGTGCGGACCGTCTCAACAGTGGCCTTGATTAGCCTGCGAAATGTCAGTCCATCACCGCACACGTGCCGTAGAACGCGGAGCCATACCGCATGCAGCCCTCCCGCATATCGTCGACAGCTTGTGCCTCTTCGGGGTCTGGCCGATCCAGCTCCCAGCCAAGTTTCTGCAGGCTAGAGAGCAGTTTGTCGTCAGATTTAAAGGCGCCGTCCACAGCAGCCTGAAGCTCCGGTTCCGCATCCGTGGCCTGCTGCTCCAGATCTGCGACCCTGTACGCAAGGGTCTGAGATAGCTGCTCTACCTGTTCGCAGGATGAGATCATGTCAGAAGTTCTTCGATTGTCAACAAGGAGTGTTCCATACCTCATGTGCAATCTGCCTGCGTTCGACCTCAGCTTTGCGCCGCCTGCCATGTGCCAAGTCGCGTCTCTTGACGTCGCTTTCAGCCTGCTTCTTGAGAAGCCGCGAGAGTGCATCCTGCTGCTGGCGTAATGTCTGAGTCTGCTTGCTGATGGTGCTCGTCGACCTTTGCAACTCGTCGATGGCTGCTCGCAGCTCTGCCTCGTTGATGGCCTGCACTTCGGCCAGGTCGTACATGGAAGCCAGCCTATCAACTTGGCCGCTCCTGTCGAGTGCCGTATACCTGCCAACGTCAGCGCGCTTCTCGTCGGCTTCTCCTGAGACAGGTGTCACGTGGGATCTCGCGGGCGTCGTTGCACTCACAGAGCAAGTTCATCGGCACTCAAGAGAGTGTCGGAGCCAAGGTGCGTGACGGCCCACTCCGCCAGCGCAGGCCCGTGCTCCGTGTCGGCGAGGGCACGCCTCAGGTCATCCCGGGGCAGCTTAAGCCCTGACGCCCGGCCTGCTTCAAGGAGCAAGGCCTCAGCCGACAGACGACTGCCGGGGCCTCTGCTGCTGGCTGAAGATGCCAGGTCCATTGCCGCCTGCGAGGAAGCGAAGTGGCGTTCCCAAGACAAGGTGCCGGTCACCGTGGGAGCGTCGTACGGGCCGGTCAGCCAGCGGCCTGGGGATGGGCCTCGCGATCTGGAGCTGGGAACGTTTGGCGCGGCGGCGTCGGTTTCCTACGGGCGCACCCGAGGACGGGGCGAGTCTGCAGGGCGTTACTCGGTATTCGTGTCGTCAAGTTCGAGAGGTCGCTTGGGCAGCAACGGCACACTCAAACGCCGGGAACACGGTCATCAACGAGGGCGCGAAAGCGCGTTGTCTGTGTATCGCGAGGCCGTGCTCGGTGGGGTTGGCGGTGGGTGCGGGATGCATGGAGGTCATCAAATTGATAGATCCATGGATGGCTGCACAGCATCTCGTCCAGGTGACACGGGCACCCTGAGGCTGATGATTGATGGAGGGCCGCAGGGGCTTCCTTGCGTTGGCGGGGGCCTCCGTCCACTGTCAATTTCGCGTGGGCGTCCCTGTGCGTCGCCAACAGGCACCCGCTCCGCTGGCTCCGGCGGCTGCAGGCGCTCTTACGCCCCTGAAGCTGCTGCGGGAGTGGCTTCAGGCTGGTGCCGTGGTCCTGAACCATGATCCATCTGTCAACAGGGAAGGAGCGCCACCGCGACAAATCAGGAAGGATGCACCCGAACCCTGCATCCTAATTCGAACAGGTCGTGTCGCTGCCATCTTCAACCTCACTTGCCGTCAGTCTTCAAGATCGCACATCAACGCGGACTCGTCGTGGCCAGTTTAACTCTATTTCTTCTCTTTGGAATACCACCACAGCCCTCGGAACAAGGCGTCGGGAATGAGGCCTCGTTCAACGCTTGCAACACACCGAGTCCGCTCCGAGGCCAATCATGCTGCGAATCCGGTGGCTCCTCGCTTCGCCGGCCCGTTTGGAACCGTCCAACGTGCCGCAGCGTCAAATGCTGTGGAATAGCATACCTCCGTCTTTCTGATGCCTTCTGTGGGCATGGCCCTGGGTAATGAAGTCACCTCGGTGCTCCGGCTCTAGGCATGAATTCTACACAAATACTGGGCCATGCTCACCATCTCCGAGCCGCTCAGGCAGCCGAGCATATCCGCAGGGTCAAAATGTATAAAAGCCCGTGTAGATTGCCCGGACGCCTCCGCGAACCATCCAACGGCCTATCCGAACACGCCTCTACGATATCACAGCCGCCAATCTCACGAATGTTGGTCACGGCGCTTCTATGGCACAATTCTACGGTCAGGGTGATTATGCCTGATGTCTTGCGCAGCATCTGGGAAAGAAACGAAGGGGCCATTCAGACTCACGGTAGCAGGTACCTCTAAGCTGTCCATGGTAAGTGCTATCAAGAGACTAAAGCACGGTCAGCCCGGTTACCGAGGCGTGAACCCCTTACAAAGAAAAGGGTCGTGTGGACATGTCCGCCTTGCAAAAGGGGACGAACAGCGCCCGAACAATGAGACTGAACATATGAATGACGATGTTCCACGCAGTCTGTTCAGGCCCTGTTTCATGTCTAACTCTTATTCACAGCCTCAGCCCTGAACCTGATCACGCAGAGCAGGCGGACCAAAAGCTGCGGTCGGCTGAAGGGGGGCAGCACAGTCAGTCGTACGTACTTCTGCATAAGATTTTGAGTGCGGTTCTACGCACAACTCTTGACCACCATGCCAGCACGCAGGCTGCTCGGAGGATACGGGGTTGTACAGTGAACGGCGCCTCACCCCGACCACTGCCATGGAGTCATCAAGACTTGATATTTCAACGTCAGTCCCCGATGGCTTCTGGCAGATATCTTCAGTCGCTGCGAAGCACACGCACAGTCACTCACTGCTTCGCTCCCTACTTTTCATCTTGATCACACATTCGCTACCAATCACATTCATTTCGTACACAGAAAACAACTACGCCAGAAAGCATGGGGATTTGGCGAGAACGATGGCGCGAAACGGCAAGGTTCGTCGGCACAATCTTCTGGCTCGGAGTCATTTACTTGACTAGCGAGCTCATAGTCTGGGGCTTCAGTCGCCTTCTCGCGCCATCGCATCTTGAGTTTTACGCATCGATTCTGGCCATGCTCTCCGCCTTTGTTGTCATGACAGGGGCTAGCTACCTGTTTGCCGATGTCGATATTGTCTACCAGCAGCATATCATGCCCAAGGTACGTCCTTCGCGACCACAGTGGATGGAACGGTTGAGGGCACTGGGCTAACACTAAGTAGATGGATTTGATCAATGCCAATCTCGGCATCGGCTTCTCAATACCTATCTGTCTGACGAAACACTCCGATATCTTGAGCAGTCACGACATTGTTCGCGTCTTTGGAGCCTTCGGTATGTTTTGCTTCCTCAGCTCAGAGGCCATCGAGCTAACGTGAAATAGTTATCACGAACGTCGCGTCTTGGATTGGTGTCCTCTTGACTTCAGCCTCAATGGTATGGGTGGTCAATGAGCTCACGGACGCTATTGCCCCCGTCTTTGGCCGACGCCGCAGGAGGACAGTCCGTAGAGTCGGGGCTGCGATGCACTTACGAGAACCGTCTCCCGGGGTCTGGATACGAAGACCGCTGCCACCACCAGCACCTTTCATGCAACCACCATCGCCTGGAGCTTGGCTACGAAGCCCGCGATATCCCTCTGCGCAGCCTGAGACTCACCCAACTTCACCTGTGCTATCGACCAGTGGTCCCCGACGTCCAATTGGGAAGTTGTTTAGCGACAACTGTGCCATCATCCTGGCCTTCCTTGGGATGTTGTTAGTGGGTATCCCTGTCGCCGCCGGCACTAAAGATGAGCGATGCTTGGATGCGTTCGTCATCTGGTTTATCTGGGCATTGATGGTGCGGCTTCAGCTGCTGTTCAAGACGTCCTCGGCTTTACGATCGAAACCCAAGGTAAAGAGCGTGCTAGCGACACTAATGAATCCGGTTCTGGGAACTACGCTTCTCTTAATCTGTTACACGAGGTCAAAGGCAGCATTGAAGCACGGCGGCCTCAAAGAAGTGCTCGAGACTCTGAGCAGCGGCACTCCGTTGTACGCTCTGTTGACCTCGCGAATCACGCGAAAACGCTTGCCAAAGTACGCTCGTTGGATCTCACAAGTCACGAATAAACGCTTGCCAAAGAACCGCAAGGACTGGTTTGGCGCTGGCGACTTGGCGCTGTCTCTTCTGGAGTGCGGCCTCTTCACCTGGGGCTTCAAGCTCTACGAATGCCGTCGTCAGCTGTTCAGCACAAAGGGCTTCACCGTCACTGTGGTCTGTGTCGGCGCGGCCGCGGCAAATGTCTTCCTGTCGGTATTTATTGCCCACTCTCTGGCGCTCGCGGCCCCTGAGTCCCTTGCCTTTTCTACAAGGAGCACGACCCTAGCCCTGTCCAAACCCGCAATCACAGCTGTGGGAGGGAACGTGGCCGTCAACGCGATGATCGTCGTCAGCAACGGTATACTTGGACAGCTAATGTTTCCCTTCGTCCTTGACAGGCTAGGAGTTCAGCGGCACCCTCCAAACTCGAACACCCGCGAAATGGCCGTCGAATTGCAACCTGTGTCTCGGTGGTCTGGTAGTACGGAAGGTGAGACCTCGGGCACAGCTGGCGAAGACAACGTCATGACAGTCGCAGCAGGAGTTACTTCGGGTATCAACAGCGCGGCCATGGGCGTGTCATACATGTACGAGACAAATAGTCGGGCTGCGCCGTACACGGCGCTGTCCATGGTTGTGTTCGGTGTCGTAACAGTGGTGCTGACAACAGTTGAGCCTTTCAAGGCAATGGTCACTGGCATCGCGAAGGGATAAACCCTCTCGAGTTGGGAGAGCTTGGAGTTGTGGCGCAACGGCAACATATCACGGCATCGGGGATACACAGGAGCTTTGCATTTAGGGGAGCGACGCGCGTGCATCGACAGCACCTGTCTGCTTGGCTTTGATGGGGCGATACCACAGGGCGGCGCAAGCCGAGGGGCGTTCATGTTGGAGTTGCAAAGGGGGCGGCTGTCTTGCATCTCTGGCAAAAACTAGACATTGGTACAGGACCATAAGTCCACACAAGATTGATTCACCACTGAGCCTATTGCGGCCCTGCGTCGAAATGTGCCTAGTGCAGCTCGTAAATAGGGATATCCTTCGTGATGTGGTCGTTTCCCAGGCCATTGTTGAATTTTTTTTTGGTCCCTCCCGCTGATTCAAAGACACAACTGGAGTCGTTTTGCATCGTTTTGTTGGGCTTCGCAGCTGCTCCTGTCTACTCCAACCTGTGCCGAGGATTAGCAACCATTACATCGGACGGGCTGTGCCAGGTCTCCTCACCTCTCAATCAGGTGCAGACCGCTGGCCGTCTCCACGATACCGCTCATCTCTCCAGGCTTGAGGGCGAATGCGGCATCCTCAAACTCCTTCTGCATGTCGCCGCGGCCAAAGTAGCCGAGGTCGCCGCGCTTGCGAGCCGACGAACAGTCCGATTCGGTGGGTGCGAGATCGCCGAGGGAGATGGCGCCGGACTTGATCTTTTGCTCGTGGCCCTTGATGATCTCCATGGCCTCGTCCTTGGATCGCGTGATTTCGGACTACGCTCGTCAGCTTCAGTCTCGGGCGCGTGTGACGACGGTCCTCGCGTCACGCGCGCAGGGCAAGGCGGGTCACGTTACCTCTCTCCAGCTGCTGGGCCTCCGGCTGTCGCGGTGCTTGACGAGCAGGTGGGCGGCGCGGATCTTGCCTTCAGGCACACCGGGGACGGCGCCAGGACGAGCGCCGGCACTGTGGTTGGCGGCCATGTAGTGCTTGAGCTTCTCAGTGTCGGTGCCCTGCGGAGGCTCCCACCGGGAGACCTTCTCGGCCGAGTTGAAGTAGTAGGGAAGGTTCTTGGAGTTGGAGTGGCGGACCTCCCAGTTGGGGGGAAGACCCGTGTCGGCCTGGACGGTGGCAGTTAGTAAAGGGCGCGGCGCGGGGGAGCTTCGGGGAGGGGTGGCGAGGCTCGAGCTTACCATTGTCGCGATGGGTGTTGGTGTTTTGGGGGTGCTGCGGCGGGAGAGCTCGACGGTTGACGGATTCGTACGATTGCGGCGAGGGTCAGGCCGAACGGGTGAAGATAAGCAAAGCAATGGCGGGCTGCAAGCTCGTCGGGGGTGGAGAGAGGCGAACGGGCTCTTGTCGCACAGGCTGAAGGGGATGGATGGGGGTTTAAGAAAGAGGAGAAGCTCCGGCGCTGGTGGTGGTGAAGCTGCCCTGGCTCTGTCTTGTCTGGGGGGCGCCGCCAGAACTGGAGCTGGGGCAGACTGGCGAGCAATGACGTGCCGTGGACAGCGCAGTGGTTGGCTGGCCCTGCGTTGGCGCGGCGAAGGGGACTGGGTGCGCAGAAGGCGGGGTCGGGAGTGGGTTGGTGGGGTGAAGGGTCAGTTATTAGCGTTAGCGGCCAAGGGGGTGGATGGGGGGGCGCTTGGGGGCTCTGGTCCAGCGGCTGCGCTTGCTTATTAGCCACCTGCGGGTAGCGCACAGCGCCAGCCAGACGGCTGCCACCAGCCCGCCCGCACGCTTTGGGTCTCCAGCGCCTGGGCAGTGGGCTGGCGTTTCTTCGTCAGCGCCGGGGGGGAACTGGTTTTGGGCGTGTGACCTGTCGGGGCCGGAGAGGTGGGCAATCAGCTCGAGGGCCGGCCAGGGGGGGTCATGCGGCGCCCTCGAGGTGCACACGCACGCTGCTGCTGCTGCCCTCGGTTCCGGGAACCAAAAACCACGAGAAGGATTTTGCTTTCCCGGGTCACGGGCGGCAACCCCGAGTGGGTGAACCGGGTGGCCCAGACACCTGAATGGCTGGCTTCGAGAAACATGTCGCCGCCGATCTGGGAGGACGGGGGGGGGCCACAACTGAGGATGTGGGATGGGGGCCACTCGTTGAACCCGTCAGTGGTCACTGTAAACTGCCCACATCGCCAGTGTCATTCCCGAATTCCGGGTTGGCGGCTCGCTTCTGGAGAAACTGAGCGTGGTTTGCGAAGCGGGCAGATACCACAACCCCGTGCTGGCAGTCTGCCAGCACATGGTTGAGACGCACGGTTGAAGCCGAAGATTAGGGCTATTTCGCAGTTGGCCACAGCGCCGTCTTGCGCAGGGTTCGTCTTAGACGGGCATCAAATTCGCATGCATATACTCGCATATTGCCCTTCAGCACACATACTCATGCCTTGGCATCTGGAATCTCTGCATCGCAGCTGTGCGTTGGATCCGGGACAGGCGATCTGAGCTGCTTCGGTGCCGCATGCCCACGCACCTTGCTGACAGCTGTTCACCGAACGCTGTCCACCAACCCGGGCCTACCGTGGCAGGCGTCGCTGCTCGACGTGTGCATTCAGGGCCCTCAGAGCCCAAGGCGACCCCCCCCAGGTGCCCAAGGTCGCCAGTGAACGAGTACTTCGGGCCTCTGCGCCTGTTCAGTCGGTGCCTGAGGTGAGGCGGCTCTGCTCTGTTCCGGCGCCCACCAGCGCTGGCCTGCGCGAGTGAAGGTTGAATCACTGCGTGCTGAACAGGACCCCGTGGCCGGCTGGGCCAGGTCTGTTTGCACTGGCACCGGGCCCAGGGTATAAACGCGTTTCGCAGCGGTCCCTGTTGTGACCTCTCTTTCTTTCCTCTTCCACACGCACTCGCATCACACCCAAACCCGCACGACTGCATCACCACCACCACCACCAACGCATCTCAACGCACGCAAACCTCTTCGCAGCATTCATCGTCCGCATCAGCAGACAATCCGCAAAGTATTTCTTTGCATCCTATTCAGCACGCACGAGGTAGTGCTCGCCGTCGCCTGCTTCATCCCCTCGATCCGCGTCTAACCATGCAGGCAGCAAAACGCAAAGGGCATCTTCAGTGTCTTTGGTGTGACGTCTCGCGTCCCTGCACAAACCCGTCCCCACCATCACCTCGCACCCGCACGCGGCAGCCAAGCCTCCCGCCAGCACCGCGCGAGCACCACCCCTCCATCCGTCCGCTGCATCTGCAAGGTTCCAGCTTCAGCCCCAAAGTGGACTGCCCTCGCTGGCTGCCTGGCAAGTGCCCCACCCACAAGCGCCTTCCCGCCCCTGCCTCCAAGGTTCCGTGGCGGCAAACGCTCTTCACCCGAGATTTTTCCATCCACCAAGTGAGAGTCACATCGGTCTGTCCGCAGCCCGACGTCTCCTTCTCTCCATTATCAACCTCCCGTCGCCACGCACTCGACTTGCCTCCGGCATCGACGACGTCTGTCGCGTAACGCGCGAGACACACACGCCCTGCTTGCATTTTTGTGAGCACGAAAGGTCGACAATAGTCAATACCGCCTCTATAACCGACGCGAACGCAAACGACGAGATGGCGACTCCCCAGTCCACCGGTTCCCAGGACGACGTCGGCGAGGGCAAGAAGCTCGAGCAGATCACGTTCCGCTTCTGCTCCGAGTGTTCCAACATGCTCTACCCCAAGGAGGACGAGGATGCCCACAAGCTCCAGTTCACCTGCCGCACCTGCCAGTACACTGAGGAGGCAGCCTCCACCTGCGTCTTCCGCAACGTTCTCAACAACTCAGCCGGAGAGACCGCGGGTGTGACCCAGGATGTTGGCTCTGATCCGACGGTTAGTCCGGCCCCGTCGCTTTGTCTTTTGTGCAACAATGCCATCGAGTGTGCCTTTTGCGATACTCCTGCCGAAATTGTTGCCTGCTTTGAAATCAAGCCTGCGAAGACCACCGACAGTATTCTTGACCAACCCTTGTTTGGCAAGATCAAAGAAGAGGATTTCGACAGCTTCCAGAAGGTGGCTCGCGCCATGGACAACTCTTCGGACGATTGCGACTCGCTCACCGCATGGGATGGCAGCGACATCGAGGAGGCGACCATCAAGGCGACCCAGACGATACTCCGCAACATCGAGGAGCTTGAGGCGGAGCGTAAGCCCCAGGTCGACTTCAAGCTCCTGCACGAAATCTTTTACGACGAGATGGTCATGGACGTCTAAATCCGATCGCCCGAGCCATCGAACCCGGTCCAACGATGCCCACGTTTTGCTGGAGCGCCAAAAATCGAAATCCGAACGAAAACGAGACTTGGCGAGTGCACAACAGGCATTCTACGTTTCTGCTGTACCATTATTGGGATTTCGGTCCCTTGACCATGGTACCTGATGTTGTCGGCTGGGGGTGTCTAATGTGGTAAAGCATTTTGCTGGTGGCGAGGTGGACTGTGACCTGCTTACTCTGCTTTTTGAGAAGTTCTTCACTCACCCCATGAGAGCTGCTGGCTGACACGGCGTTCAACGTCAACTCTACAGCTTCCACGATCGAACAAGACATGCCCTCGCTGCAATCACGAGGAGGCCGTCTTTTTCCAATCTCAGGAGCGCAGCGCCGAAACTGGCATGGTAAGCCAACCATCTCGATATCGCGGGGCCTCATTTTTAGACTGGGGACTTGGATCTGCATTCTGTTTATTTGGGTCCGACTTTTCATCAAAACATCTCACTAACGTGGCTGCGTCGCAAGAAACTGTTTTATGTTTGCTGCGAATGCGGTCACATTTTCGATTAACGACTTTGACGAATGGATACCCGACGACGGGCGATTGTTTCTGGACATGAGGGCGTGGGGTGGCTTGGGTGACGGAGCGGACGGACTTGGCATCTCTCGATCGCTTTTGCTCTTTTTTCTCTTGTTTTTGGAAGGTGGCGTCAAGGAGCCTGGCAAGGTCATGAAACAGGCGTTTTAATATCGCAACGCAGCCAACCCAGCGTCACTGTCCATCGTGGCCATGAGCCACTAGAGATGGCAGGTTGGGTATGGTGGACTGGCGCAGCATCAAGCTTCGCCCTCCTGCGTTCAAGAATTGCACTTTTTGGTCTTCACGCAGGGCTCGACATCAATGTACGTGACGGTTGTGTTGAAATGTTTATGATTGTATTTGGAGATTGAGCTCTTCGCTCGTCATAACGCCTCGCAGATGCCAAAGTCTTTGTAGTTGTACAGCCTCCCACTCGTACACGGGTATGTTCATTCCGTCAATCCTCAGCTGCATCGCCCCAATCTCCCCAGCACATCCGGTCTCTGCCATCGCCCCCTCTACGCCTGCATGGGCGCCATGGACAAGATCTTGCTCCACTTCTTGCGCTTCAGCTCGGCGCCGACGACACCGTTGATGCGGGAGCCGACAGGGTCGCCGGACTTGTTGAGCAGGACGCAGGCGTTGTCGTCGAAGCGGACGACGGAGCCATCGCGGCGCTGGGTCGGGTAGCGGGTGCGAACAACGACGGCGTGGCGGATGTCGCCGCGCTTGACCTTGGCGGCGGCCGAGATGCCGGCCATGCCGGAGGAGGAGGCACCTCGCTGCTCCTGGACGACGACAACGATGCGGTCACCTGAGTAGTTAGCTTCGAGGTTCGTAGCCGGGTGTTGGAGAGTTGCGGGGGCGTACCGATGCGGGCGTGTCGCTTCTGGCCCACGACCAGGGCGCATTCGACGAGGGCGGCGCCCGAGTTGTCGATGCAGTTGAGCATCGTCTGCATAATCAATTAGCACTAAAGAGGCGGAATAAAATGTCCACACTAGGGCAGGTACCTTTAATTGAATCATCTTGGCTGTGGTGCGGTTGCTTCAATGGCCAGCAACTGTCGAGCATCCCCAATCTCGCGATCGCGAAATGCCGGCTTTCTGGCGTTGAGACTTTTCGACGCACGCTGGCAGGTCACGTGTCTGGTGGGAGCTGGAGCTGGGTTGAGTTACATTCCACCCGACTTCGAATGGCAGCCATTCGGCGACCAATTACAGGCCGGCGCGCCCGCCAAAAGCCCGGCGAGGCTACCGCTGAGAAGTGGAGGATGTGGCCCCTGCATTTGGCGCATTTGGCGCGACTCTGCGCCCCGCTGCGAGGCCACTGACTGGCCGTAGGCTGGTCCCAGTCTGGCCGCAGAAACGGTCGCCCGGCCAGCAGCCAAATTCCAGCTCCCGGGGTGGCTGGAGGCCCGCGCACGCAAGGAAGCTGCAAGCTGCCCGTGGTGAGTGAGGCAGTGGGCTGGTGCGCTCCTGATGCGCAGCTTCCTGCCTCTCGGAGCGCCGGCCCCCCCCCATTACCCTGCACTTCCTTCGCATTTCGAACCAGATGATGATGAATCTCATCCATCTCGACCACTCACTTCATTTCTCCACCACTGGCACCGCTCGGCTGAGGAGGGACGTTTCGCTCCCTTTCACGTCCTCCTCGCTCCTCATTTCTTTTGTGACCGTTCCTCCTTGACCAGCCTGGCACATTTGAATGCGCGAGAAGAAGCCGCCGATGACGTTGATGCGGCCCGTGAGCTGATCGAACCGCCCGCCTCCTTTTGCTCCTGTTCGTGTTCGTGACGCCTGGCGAACCTCACGTCGGGCCACGGCACAGAACAACGCGGGCATTGGACTGTCACCAGGCTCATTTACTTGTCTGGTCGGCGCTGCTGTCGTGCTTCGCACCGGTATTCAGGCCGTGTTTGATCTTCGGGCCGGAAGCTCTCCTTTCCTCAACCACGAGGGCTTGGTCTCGGGCGATCGACCAGCACCATGCCACTGTCCAAGGCCGCGACGGCGGCGAAGAGGCAGCGCCTGACGCTTGCTCAATTGGCCGCGTACGATGATATACTGACCGACGCTCTCGTCGACCATGTGAGTGTGGCCGGCGCTCAACATGACAGCTGTCGGCTGATCGGTGTCGCAGGTTTACTACTGGACGACCGTCCCCAAGAACCGCTCCACGTACCACCCATCGCGAGGCGTGAGCGAAGAAGTCATCGCCAAGATTGTCCAGGACGAAATTGTACTCAACAAGAATCTGGACGCCGCCGAGGAGAAGCTGCTGGCGACGGACGGACTGAGGAGGTTCCTCGGGAGCCTCAAGACGAGCAAGGAAAAGGACGACTTCCGTCGGCACCTGCGGCGGTACCTCCAAATCTACATGCCCGACTGCCCGTTCGAAGTCAGCTCGACCAACCGATACACCCTTGTCACGCACGAGGCAAGCATCACTGCTAGGCGCTATATCAAGCGCAACGAATCCATCAAGTACCTCTCGGGTATCCAGGTCACCATGACACCCGAGGAGGAAAAGGAGATTGCCGTGCGCAAGAAGGACTTTAGCGTTGTTGTCAGCTCCCGGAACAAGTGCACGAGTTTGTTTATGGGCCCTGCTCGGTTTGCCAACCACGATTGCGACGCCAACGCCAAGTTGATGACGACGAGCCACGCCGGCATCGAGATCATTGCCACGAAGCCGATTGAGGTGGGCGAGGAGATCACCGTGACCTATGGCGAGAGCTACTTTGGCGAGGATAATTGTGAATGCCTTTGTCAGACGTGCGAGAGGAACTTGTGTAATGGATGGCAGCCGGAGGATGGGGCCCCGGCGGCCATCAAGCCAAGCGTGGAGGAACCGGAAAAGCCCGTCGTCTACTCACTGCGGCGGCGACGCAGGGACGACAGCATCGGCGGAGCCTCGTCGCGGACGCCGTCTGTGACACCCGTCATTCGCCCACGCGTGTACAAGACACGAACCAAGGGTTCGAGATTCAGCAACGCGCACGAATCATCGCCGTCGGCAGTGTCCCCAATGCTGGATGCCGTCACGCCTTCTGGTCGCAAGCGGACGATCGATGCTATGGCCACGCCTCCAATCACTCCAGCCAAGCGTCTCAAGCATCTTGTGGAGCTGCCACCCGTTGAGCCGGCCGAGTCAAGAGGAAGCTCTGTGAGCGGGAGTACGGCCTCGAACAGCGGCGACGTGTTGGAAACGGATGTGACATCTCCAGAGAAGGAAAGCCCAGAGCCTATCCCAGAGACGCCAAGGAAGAAGCTGGAAGTGGCAGGTCCATGCGCGGATACGGTGCATGGTGACACAGCAGTGTCGGCGAACTTAGGAGCATTCTCTCCGCAGAGCGCGCATGGCCTGCAATCGCCGCCGTCGTCCCAGCACTCTGAAGTAGACACGACGTCCATCATGGCATCAGAGCGGGCCATAGTAGACGTCGCCTCTACGCTTATTGCTCCTCCCACTGACCAAGAGAAGACTGTCGCTCCGCTCGCCGTCAGCATCGAGACAGTCGCCGAGGCAGACATGGTGCAGCCTGCGGCAGACTCCGAGGCGGCAGTGCAGCCAAGGACGAGGAAGTACCAGCGCCGCGTGTTCATAAAGCAAGCTACGCCACCGGCGCGCATGCGGACCCCTGGGGACTACATCCTAACGCCTTTATTGCTGTCCGAACCCGAGATGGCTTGGGTCCAGTGCACCAATTGCACGAATTATTTTATTCAGCAGAACGCGTACTATACCCGGGCTTCATGCCCTCGTTGTGAGCGGCACTCGAAGCTCTACGGGTTCATATGGCCCAAGACGGAGAGGGCGGGACCGTCAGACAAGGAAGAGAGGATCCTGGATCACCGGATGGTTCATCGTTTCCTTGACCACTACGACGAGCGCAGGGCCCGGGGTCGCAAGGTTATGGAACGTGACGAGAGCGAAGACGAAGAGGATGAGGAGGAGGATGAGGCGCCCCGCGGACGGTGCCTAAAGCGAGGCGCGCCGTCGACAGCGAAGCAGGCGGGGATGAAGGAAGACATGAGCGACGGAGCGCTGCGGCGGAGCGGCCGGGCACGGAGAGTAAGCTCCAGGCTGTCTGGCGAGTAGTGCCGCGATATGTCTCCAACGTCCCAGCCTGGGTTACAGGCCTTGTGCGAAGATCCGGCGCACGCCAGTGGAAGTGATAATTTTGTGTAGTCCCGGCATGTACAATATTGCAGCTGCGTCGTACCAGTAGTAGTAGGTAGATGAATACTTGAGTCCCAAACCTAAGAGATGCTGTCACGACGAGGGATGCGTGATAGTCTGGCCACAAACCTCAGACAAGGAGATGGCACGACTGCACAACACGAGCTTATACGTGCTTCCTGCGTATGATAAGGGGTTAGAGTACTGATGTCCTGACTTCTCCCACCGCGAGCCGAGTCCTTCAACCCGCTCTTGCCTGAACTTGGCATGGTCGCCAGTGTTTGTACGTGGCCCCTGGCTGCAGCGTGGAAGCAAGAGTCAAGAATAAATTCAGGCCACGGGCTGCCTTTCGCGGTTGCTTGTGCAATGAATGTCAATGTCTTGTCTCTTGTGCGAGATTTCGTGAATACAGCACCGCGAAGATGATGGTAAGCTTGAATGAGTCATGAGGCGAGACCAGGCCATGGGTTTCACTGCTGACGGAGCGCTTCATGTTCGCGTTCAAACAGTCCACCAACGGGCCAGTACTGTTCTGTGAGAATATCTTTGCACAGCCGCATTATGGAATGTCTCGTGGCTGACTTGATTCAGCGCTGACGGCCCTCTTGGCAGTCGTGCGGTCGCAAGCCCATGGGTCGTCGCACACGCAGAGCGGGCTAACGTGGACGAAGGGCGCGTTGCGAATGAACCACATACAGGTCATTGGCACGCACAACTCGTACCACCTCGAGGTGCCGGAAGCGCTGCGCAGCAGGCAAGAGGGCATGTACAACACCTCGCAGGACCTGCGGTACTCTCACGCGAGCCTCACCAACCAGTTGAAACACCAGCGAGTGCGCAATTTAGAGTACGGCTCATCCAAGTTCCCCGGCGTGACGCGCCGATGAGGCTCAATCTGCTGACCATGTGAATGATGGCTTGCCCAGGCTCGATGTCCTGGCCGACCCGATAGGAGGCAACTACGCCGACCCGCTCATCATGAGGCGTTTTGCTGGTTCGCCGCCGATGAGCCCGACGTACAACGAGTCCGGCATCAAGGTCCTGCACATCCCGGACCTCGACATCTGGACGTCCTGCATAACGCTCGTGTCGTGCCTGCGCATCATCAAGCGCTGGATGGACCACCACCCGGAAGCCGTGCCGCTGACCGTCATGATGGAGCCCAAGACGGCGGAGAGCCTGGGCGAGATGCAGGGCGGCGCCATGGTGATTCACTGGGACAATGTCACGCTGCTGGACGGGCTGGACGACGAGATCCGGCGAGTGTTTGGCCCGGCGCAGCTCATCACGCCCGACGACATACGCCGCGAGGGAGACACGCTCGAGGGCTCGGTGCTCGGACGTGGGTGGCCGGACCTGGAGAGCGCGAGGGGCAGGATCATGTTCCTCATGGACAATGCGCTCCCTGACCCGATTCGCGATGCCTATATCGATGGGAGGCCGAATCTCGAGGGGAGGGTGCTGTTTACGAACGCCCCCATTGGTGATCCCGACTGCGCGTTTCAAAAGGTATGTCCCTTTCCCTCTCGCGACTTTCCACCGTTTGCCGCTTGGCTTTCCACTTTTGCTTGCCCCGTCGTCCTCAGTGCGTTTGGGAGATTGACCGCTTTCTGACGGCAACGATGGGGCCTCCTCACAGCTCAACGACGTGACCACGCTCGAGTACACGAAGCACGTCCGGACTCAGGTGACGCGCGGCTACTGGGTGCGCACGCGCGCCGACGAGCCGCTGAGGACCATCTGGGACGGCTGCTCCATCGAGCGGCGAAAGCTCGCGCTCAGCTCCGGCGCCCAGATCGTGAGCACCGACTTCCCCGCGTACGGCATGAGCGCGCGCTGGGGCTGCGACTACGCCGCCACGCTGCCGGGCCACAGGGCGGTGCGGTGTAACCCCGCGATGCTGCTGCCCGTGTGCCGCGACGATGTGCTCGAGAGGCTACATGTTGAGTCGTAGCGATGCGTTGGGTGAAGGCCCCAGCCGGCCGGAGCATGAGCGTTGTTCGTGGTTCGTTTCAGCGGGCGCTGCGATGATGGTAGGAGCTTCGTTCGTACGCGCGAGTCTTTGTGTCTGAGGCGCTGCTTGTGGGCGGATTGACATTGTGGCTCGAGGGGCTACGTACGCGTGCGTCAGAGGATCAGCTCTGACGAGCCCTGACGTAGTAATTGCCAGCGATGGCAAAATAGACACTTTTTGCGTGGCTGAGGCTTTTGGGATCATTCGCTGGTGGGCGTGCTGTCAGCTTACATGGCTTTGGCTGGAGCTGACACGGCGGCCAAGAGACCATACATTCGTCCTCCTTGATGGAAGTGGCCGAGCACGACCAAGAAAAGTATCCGAGTGACATAACCAAAAAGCACACCCTGCCCGGCTCCTTGGTACAAATCCAATATGCAAGCGCTTATCTCACGGTCGGCGCCGCATAGACCCAAAACCATCTGCCTGCAGAATAATAGTTATATCCCCCTTCTTTGCCCATCATCGCGGCGCATCGCGCCGATGGTCCGTCGCTGGCTGGGCTCGTCCATTACACGCCGGTAGTGAGTGAGTGGCACGTAGGGCTGACTCGTGCATTGTACGCACCCGCCCATTGTCGCGACTTATTCTCAATAGCCAGGCCTCATAAAACTGCCAGGTGCAGCTCGTTTCCTCTAGAAGCGAGGAAAAGGACCCTCAAACCCCCTCACGAGTTTCGTGTTGAGCCCGATGGCGCTGGACAAGATCAATTCGGGCGTCAAGCAAGTCGCGCCGCGGGCGGCGAACCGAGAAGCCTGCGTGGACGGTGGGGGACTGACACAATTGCTGGTGCGTATGCTGCTGCCCTCTTCCTCTCCCTCTTCTCCCCTCGTCGCCATGACAATGAATTGCTTTTTGTCCCTTTTCTGTCCGTTTTGTTACGGGCGGATGGTGACACTGGGCTAACGCGTATGTGCGTGTGTGTGTATACAGGCAGAGCAAAAGGCGGAAAAGGAGAGGGCGGCGGCGAGGAGGAGGAGCCAGGAGGAGGTCTCGGCCAACTATCTTGCGTTTTATGGCTTCAGGCCGCATCCTGCGTTTTTTCTGGAGACGTACTGGATGGAGAGCGGGTGACGGTGATCGCGCTTGGTGTATTTGGGAATCGTCAATGGCAGATGTCTAATCACATACAGGACAGCTCCTTGGTGTATTACATATTGGCGGAGACACTTGACGCAAAACATTGACCGGACGTGGAGCATCGCCTCTTGCTTGGTATGGCACATCGATCTTCAAGTGCAGTCGACTGGTGAATATGCCGAGTGCACCCTCCAACATACAGTGCTTGACATGCCAATGTACGTGTAGTGACAAAGCCGTGCCGTTGGATCAGCGAGCCATTACAGTCTGACTGTACGGAATTACCACTGTCCAGTGCGGAGTAGAACAGACCCCCATCGGGCACTCATCGTGATGTCGGGCGTCGGGGCAGATTCTTCGACCGTACTTGCAGCAGCGACATCTTGGGCATATGGTACGCCCCATCTGCTTAGCCGTGATCTGTCGCATTACACATGTCGTACCAGAGTGTACCAGGATCCTACCAAGCCCGTGAAAGATACAAGAGAGTTTCACAGCAGTGCCAACACCATGTCCTCGCCATGTCAAGGCCAATGCTGGACAGGCTGTCAACAAAAGCCTCCTTCATTCTCGGGATTGACACCGAGCTCCATCATAGAGGAGACGAAAGCTATACTTTTAAGCTCACGCGCTCTTCGCGATCGGCTAGTGGCGACCATAAGTTCGGCAGCGGCGAGCTTTCACAATGTAGTGGTCCCTCTGGTGGACGACTCCAACGCTGCATCATGCCGCCTGAGCATCTTGGGACACGTGCTTGCCGATAACTCCCTAAGCCCGGCAATCCGGGAAGCCTCCAGGCAAGCCCAGAAAATTATCTCGGCAGCTTCGTCAGAGCAACTTATGAGGAAAGACGTGGCGGACCTGGTTCATGCGGTCTTTCAGCGTTCAGAGGCGTCCCGAGATGATTCACTCGACGCCCAGGACCTGCACTGCCTGCGAGTTTTGCATGGCGAAATGGTTCGCTCGGGGTCCACACTGCAGAGTGGTGATCTGCGCGAGCGATTGCAGACGGCCCAGCAAGAGCTTCAAGAGCTGAAAGCAGCCGCGCAAAAGACAATGTCGGACTCAAATGGAGGGGAGCTGGTTCCTCCGAAATGAACTGACTGGCGTGGACTCCCACTTTCTTCATTCACTCCAAAAAGTAACTGACGATGAAGGCTATGGTGCGGCGCAGGTGCTCTATCGGGTCACATTCAGCGACGCACATGCCTCGCAAATGTTTGGCTGCGTCCAGAGCAGCGCATCGAGGAGGAGATATCAGCATGCATACCGACGGCGTTACCCGGGGAATGTCAGCCGGCTCGACCGAATCATTTCCTTGCGGGATGAGATTGCACGGATCTTGGGATTCCAGAACCATGCATCCATGAAAATGGAGGAAAAGATGGCTCGGGGCATTGACGAAGTACACGACGTCCTCGATGCCATTTCGACGCGACTGCTGCCGGTCGCTAAAGCCGAAGACCAGGTGCTGCTGCAACAAAAGAAATCCCAGGAGCCTGAGTCAAGCGCAACACATATTGATGATTGGGATCGGCGATTCTATACCAATAGGTTGAGTGCCAGACGCCGCAAGCTTGATGAAGGAAAGCTGGCCGAGTACTTCGAGATTGGCCACACTTGGCGTTCGATCCTCCGGATGTACGAGCGGCTGTTTGAGCTGCACTTTTGCGAGATCACCGGAAAGGTTGAGACCTGGCACGACAGTGTTCGAGTGTATTCTGTGTGGGATGCCCGTGATGTTGATCGTGAGTTTCTGGGTTACCTCTACGTTGATCTGCATGAGAGGGATGGGAAGTATCGAAACGCGCACACAATGGAGATTGAGCCAGTGAGTCCTGACGACCCAACAACCCTTCAGACCTGGCATTCCGATCTAACAGAGACGAAAGAGCTACATTACTGCCGACGGCTCCCGCAATTGTGCGTCAGTAGCGCTCATATGTAGTTTTCCCGAACCGACACCGACAGAGCCGACCCTCTTGAAACGTCTTCATATGCGAATCATCGTCCACGAGATGGGCCATTGCATCCACAAGCTTGTTTCCAAGACGAAATATGCGCTGTCGCACTCTAGAGATTTCGTGGAGATTCCGAGCCGAGTGATGGAGTACCTGACTTGGCAGCCAGACGTTCTGCACAGCATGGCAAAGCATTACACATGCATAGACAACACTGGAGCTGGAGCCAATGACGGAAAGTTGCCGCCGAGTATGCTGGAAGATCTTCTAAAAAGCACGGGCAGCTTTGGCGCCAGCGCAATGATGGCGACTATTCAGCGAGCCGTCTTCGATCTTCGCATCCACTCCCCGACAAACCACCAGGAACTCCTCGACATGGACACAACTATGCTGTGGAATACGTCAAAGAGGGACATGGGCTGCCAAGGAAGCGATCCCGCAGACTGGGGATGGGAACAAGCCGCTTTCGGTGCCATCTTCAGAAACTACGACGCCGGGTTCTTTGCATACGTTAGGTGAGCCCGCGATGAACCGCTCCATCCATTCCTCACCACTCGACTGACCTGCTCGCGCAGTGCCACCGCATATGCGGCGGATATGCTTGCCACAGTCTTCAAAGGCAATATCCTGGACAAGGACAAGATGCGATTGTTCCGGAAGCAAGTCTTGGAGGTCGGCTCCAGCGTGCCGGAGATCCAGATCGTGGAGGGGTTCCTGGGGAGGAAGCTCGATGTGGGTGCTATTATACGGGAAATTATGGAGAGCTCGTGCGCGAATGCAGAGAGCTGAAGAGGGAATTGCGTGCGAAAGGACGTCGTGTCCAGCTTCAAAGTTGGTGTTGTTACAGTAGATGAATGACGATCGTGGTCCGCGCTTCTTGCAGGCGGGCTGTGCACCATTGACGCGTGGGGGCTGGGCTTCTCCAGGCTGCAGCACGTGCGCGCCAGGGGTATTATGTACTGCCGCACTAAAAGCGGAAAGTGACGTGCTCGCACAGCTGATGACCGGTTTCGGAAACGGGCTCGAGAAGCTCCGGCCGAGTCACACAAGTCGGTTCTCCTCTTTGCAACACCCAGCCTCCTCACTCGCGCCTTCAATTCTCCAGACAACGACGACGAGATGCGCGGCGCGATCCCCATTGCCCTGGCAGGCACCGCCTCTGCGCTGCAGATCCCTCTGCAGCTCCCCCAGCTGCCCAAGAAGCTCCAGTGGAGCTCCGGCGCCGCCCATGTCGACGTCGACTCTCTGCCCCAGATTGAGTCCCAGGCGCTGCAGGACACCATCGAAATTGCGAACCTTAAGAAGCGTGCCGAGCGCCTGTATGACATTGCCAAGCTCTCTGAGTCAGAATACAACCACCCGACCCGCGTCATCGGCAGCCGAGGTAGGTCTTGAGCCGCCGTGTGCGAGACGACTAGCTTCTAACTCGTGTTGTAGGGCACCTCGGAACGCTGGAATACATCAAGTCCGTCCTTGCGACCCTCGGCAGCTATTACAACGTGACTGAGCAGGTGTTTCCCGCTGTCACGGGCACTGTTCGCGAGGCGCGTCTCATCATTGGCAACGATGTGCCTTCCGCGACGGCTTTCTCCTTGAGCCCTCCGACCAAGAACAAGCAGCCCGTTCATGGCGACCTGATCCTCGTCCACGGGAGCGGATGCAAGTCCTCCGACTATCCCCAGAATGTGACCGACAACATCGTCATCGTGCTCCGTGGCGAGTGCAGCTTCGGCACAAAGTCCGAGCTGGCCGGACGAGCTGGCGCTGTCGCCGCTGTCGTGGTCAACAACGAGGAGGGTGATCTGCACGGAACCCTGGGAGAGCCAAATGACCACCATGTTGCCACCTTTGGTCTGTCCAAGGAGCTGGGTGATAAGTACATTAACAAGCTCAAGAAGGGCAAGTCGCTCGACTCGATCGCATACATGGACTCTGATGTCAACACCATCATGACCACCAACATCATCGCACAGACGACCCATGGAGACCCGAACAACTGTGTCGCTGTTGGTGGACACAGCGACGGCGTCGAGGAGGGCCCCGGAATCAACGACGACGGATCAGGCAGCTTGTCCGTCCTCGAGGTCGCCGTTCAGCTCTCCAAGTTCCGAGTCAACAACTGTGTTCGCCTCGCCTGGTGGGCTGGCGAGGAGGAGGGCCTCTTGGGGTCCAACTACTATGTCCAGAGCCTGTCGGAGGAGGAGAACAAGAAGATCCGACTCTTTGGTGACTATGACATGATGGTGAGAAATCCCGCGCAATGCCCTGATAGGACGTGACTTGGCTGACCGGTTCAGGCTTCGCCCAACTTTGCCTACCAGGTCTACAACGCGACCGATGACGAGAGTCCCGCCGGCTCGCAGCTGCTTCGAGATCTCTACATCGATTGGTACACAGAGCAAGGCCTCAACCACACCCTGATCCCCTTTGATGGCCGCTCCGACTACGACGGCTTCATCAGGGCCGGCATTCCCGCTGGCGGTATCGCCACCGGCGCCGAAGGTATCAAGACCGCGGAGGAGGAGGCCATGTTTGGAGGCAAGCAGGGCGATTGGTACGACCCCAACTACCACCAGATCGGTGACGACTTGACCAACCTGAACCACACGGCGTGGGAGGTCAACACGCGACTGATTGCCCACTCGGTCGGTACTTTTGCCGCGTCCTTTAAGGGCTTCCCGGAGAGGACGACCGAGTTCCGCGCCACCAAGGTGAAGCCGACCAAGTATCGCGGCCACAAGTTGATCATGTAAAACATGACCTTGAACGTTGGATAGACGGAGCGACGGAGTATGCATTTGGGAATATGTTTGCTAGATCATGCCACATTGCAATTGGTTTTATTTTTACACATTGATCATCTTCGCCGTCCAGAGGATACCGTTTAGTACCTGCCCCATGAACATCTCATCAACGTAGGCGGCATCAAGGTGACCCAGGGCCGTGTGGAATACCCGTCCTCCTTCGAACTCGTGGCACCAGATGAGTGGATGGTCGTCACCCAGCGTGCCACCTTGGTAGGACGCCTCCTCCACTGACAAGAGTACATGCACATAGGACAACGTTCGAGGGCTTTCCTTGAAGTTGTACCACTCATCGAACCACCTCCGTCGATGTGTATCGTCGTCAAAGCTCTCGAGACCATCACCAAGGCCCCGCAAACCCCGCGCCATGATCGGATGCGTCGCATCCTCAACCTTGATGACACCCATCTGCGGCTCCGGATGTCCAGCAAAGGACGCGCCAACCATGCGCTGGTACCATCCATCTTCGTCCACGATATCCTCCCCATCGGAAGGCATCCCCACGGACGCGGTGTGGACGCCCACGACGCCGCCTCCGCCGCGGACAAATGACTGCAGTGCACCGAGCTGCGACGAGGAGAGGAACGTGCCGGACACGTGCACCAGGACGATGACGCGGTAGCCGGCTAGCGACTCGGGCGTGAACAGGCTGGCGTCTTCGGAGGCGTGCACGGTGAATGGCGTGCTGGAGGTGGTGGACGCGGTGGAGAGGCGGGTGAGGGCGGAGAGGGCGGCGGGGATGGAGGCGTGGCGGTAGCCGGCAGTTTTGCTGAAGAGCAGGACGCGAAAGGGCGGAGCTGCCATTGATGTCGATTCGAGTCACACACGCCCGGCCGGTCGCTGAGCCTGAACCGCGAATTTAGAGTCAAGTCTGTGGAATGGAGGCTCGGAGCGAAATGTTGATGGGGGTCTTGCCTTGCTGACTGACCCTACGGCCGGAGCCTGGGCCGATCCGCTCCCGGACGCCGGGCCGGTGCGGGGCCGGAGACGGGCCTTACCCCATCCGTGAGACTGACGACAATGCAGCAGCCGTTGTATAGTTGCACCAGCATGTCGTGGCATTTTCGCTTCGAGACGGGTTATGGGATCTGAAATGGAAAGTACCTAAAGCTGATCCTCGTTGTGATGAGGTGATCGGGTTGAATGGAAGGGCTTGTCGCAGGGGCCACAACTAGTGTCATCAACTCCATGGAATGGGCCGTGGAGCGGTCGCTATTGAAGGCTGACTGCCAAAGGCCAAAGCCAGCGCAGGTGCTTAAAGGAACGGCGAAAGGTCGTCAGTAACCGTAGACTATTTCGTTCCTCAAAGCAAGTCGGGCAAGGCAAGGCTGGCTGCCTTGCATTCCCCTGTACGCTTTACCCGTCACCAGCATGACGCATGTTGGGCGGCTGTGGCATATAACGGCCAACTCAATATTGGCATCGTTGGGTCGACAAGATCGGTCCGGTGTCGGCATGAGGCATTGTTCTGAGTCAGACTCAGCACATTGCTCAGTCTACTTCGTACACTGATTGAGATGCCCATGTTACAATTTCCCGGCACTGGACAACTAGTGCCGACACGACTTTGCTCAGCGCTCTCCAAAGTCTAAGGAACCTTCACTGATAGTGCCACCTAGCAAAATGCGATGGCATACCGCTGGAGCTCAGGCTCCAGATCTACACTGATCTGTGCGAGTCCTCGCCTGTCCGCATTCACAATATCAACGCTCCCGAAACCTGCATGTTCCTCAAAACCAAGCCTTGTCAATACAGATCATTCGCTGCATCGTTGCTTCTCACCTGCAAAGCCGTCAAGGCCGAGTTCGAACCCATATACCTCGCCCAGACCAGCTTTATCGCGCATCACGACTCACCCGAGAGCTGTTTCTATAATTGCCTGTCGTTCTCCTGGGACTCGTTTCAAGTATGCTTCTTCAAGCAGACGGAAAGCCGACCCTTGAATGACTTTTTCAAGCCGAATGACTTTCAAATGCATCTTGACAGGCATGGCATCAACGAATCCTCCTTCAATAAACGCTACTTTGAGCGCTTTACGGTCACGGAGCCACTAGGATGCTCGCGATTCCCGCCGCACTGGGTAACAGAGCTCGACCTGCTACTTGAACTGCTTTGTTTCTGTCGCGGAAAAGTCGACGAAGTCGAGTTCTGGTACCACCCCATTCGGTGGAGGCCTGTTGAGGCGGCCGTCCCTTGGCACGTCATCGTCAACCGAAACTGCGACTTCACCATCCGCGGACCAACCATGGAGGGCTTCCTTGCTCTGGAGAAGAAGCTGCAAAAGGCCATTCAGATACTTTGGCCAGGATACGGGACCTACGATAGGTTTCCATATGTATGGAAAGACAGGACCGAAATGAGAAGGAGAGCCACTACTGGCATCCCCGAGCCGAGTTTCGTGTTCGTACAAGACGCTCGAAACAGCCGACAAGAGCACACCGCCAACTGTTCTGTTGAGAAACAGGGGAGGTACTGGGTGTATTGTAATTGCGGAGACTGGGATCACTTTGGGCAAGTCATGGACAGGGACGAGTAATGAGTACATTGCACCACAGGTCTCGTAGAGAGAATCCGGCCGGAGGCTGCATAACCATTGGCACTAGGTTATGCGTGGCCTCAGCAGCTGGCAGGATCGCACATGATGTACTAACACTGGGCAATTTTTCTTACGTCTGTATTTCAGCGAGGGTAACAGTCGTTCTTCCACTATCCAATGATCAATGCTCGATGTACCCCATATTTACTCGCAGTTGCATGATCATAAATCCTGCCGATCTTCTACCCAAGCGGTACCCTGGTCCTTTCGCTGCCGATAGTCCGGATGTTTCAGAGTGACGAGGCGGTGTTGCGTATCCCACGGAAAACGGCACGGCGAGGCAGATACATTGCGCCGCGACGCCACACGGAAGACTCCCGAGATGCTGGGGCTGCACGTGTCGATCTCATTGCCGGCCCTTGCAAGAACATGGACCCTGCCTCAGGGTTGTGCATGAAGTGGGCTGTGCTACGGTATCAACCCCTTTCGGGACGTCCCGGCAGTGTAACTTCATGTGAACAGTGGCTGATATACAGAGAAGAGCTCGACCGACAGCGAGGTGTTCGATGACAGTCAATGACTGCAGTTGGAGCTGGCGATTGCGTCAAGATTGCTGGAAACAACGGCGCGCACAACCGGAAAATTTTCCGAGCAGTACTGCTAAGAGAATATAGAACTTGTGTCCGCAGAAGATGCGTTTTCAATGTCTTTACCGGGAAAATTGGCTGGGTGGACAACGGGCTATTTTGTACCTCCGGTAAAGAGAAGAGATCGCATTACACAGATTCCGCCTGTGCAACAAAGTGCAATATCCTGGCAAAGGGTTTCAGGCAGACTAATTCATGTCTGGACCTATGCGTTTATATGTATCCCTATCAAAGAGCTTTTATCTCCGTACAGACTATAGCTCCTCGGTGGTGCTGCCTAGACTCTCGTACAGTGCCCGGAATGCCGACGTATCGTTTGCAAGCAATTCCTGAGGATTGCCAGTCTCAACGATCTGTCCCTTGTCCAAGAGCAGGACACGGTCAAAGTCGAGGATTGTTTGCAGTTTATGTGCAATAGCAATCATTGTCCGACCAGCGAACTCTTCCCGCAAAACGCGTTGCATTACGGTATCCGTGTCTGAGTCGACACTACTCGTTGCCTCATCCATGATGAGGATTTTGCCTTGCTTGAGGATAGCTCTTGCGAGGCAAAACAATTGTCGCTGGCCATGTGATAGCTTATCGTCGTCAAGCAGCTCGTCGAGGCCGCCCCGAGTCTCCAAGAAGTTCCACATATCAACGGAGCGCAGCACCTCCTGAATGCGCTCATCAGTGGCTCCTTCCTGAGGGTCTATGTTCTCACGAACACTTCCGTGGATGAAGAAGGGCTCTTGCGGCAAGGTGATGAGCCGGCGTCGGATCTCCTGTCTTGAGATCGTGCTGACATCCACGCCATCAATGGAGATGGTGCCGGAATCAATCTCCAACATTCGCAAGATTGCAGAGACGAGAGAAGACTTGCCACTAGAAAGCTATCAGTAAATGCTCCATGGTGGGGTTTCATGTGCGATACTGACCTTCCAGTCCGACCACAGATGGCGATCTTCTCCCCAGGCTGGATGGAAAAGGAGATATCTTTCAGCACTGGCTCTGATGAGGTCTCATACGAGGCAGACACGTTGGTGAACGAAATAGCACCATGCTGTGGCCACTCCTCAGGTACTTCCTCTATCTCAGTTGCCACATTCTCATCCTTGACGGTTTTGACAAAGGACCGAATCCTGTTGATTGCGCCTAGCGCCATCTCGACTTGGGTCCACGCAGTGACCAAGGTCTGCAACGTGGACGAAAAGGTGACAATGTTGAAAAGAGCGACGCCGAGGAAGCTAGTGGACCCGTTCTGGATGTTTGTCGCTATTCCTACTAACATGATAGCGACGCCTGCATTGAAGAGGTCCAGTACCAGCGTCAACCATCTCTGGATGCAGTACAGCAGGTAGAATGGTTTCTGGGAGGCGTTCAAGGCGTTATAATTTCTATCCGAGTAGTTCTGAGTCCATCCGTAAGCCCGGATGCAAGCAATGCCGTTGACGGTCTCCAGGAACTGTGAAAAGAGCGGTGCCTTGGCCTCGATATCCAGTAGACGTAGCTGACGCGACGTGCGAAGGTAATAGAATTGGAGGAGAATGAGGAGAGCCAAACAAGCTGGAATAGCTGCAGCGACATATCCCGAGCCAATGAAGACGAAGACGGCAGACACAATGGCGGACATGAACTGGAAGATGAACGAATCAATAGACTGGGGTAGATCGTTGTCGATGAGTTCCAGATCTTGGCTGAATCTATTCTTATGCATTAGCTCCGAGGCAAGGGTATGCTTCTTGGCCTGGCTTCTTACCGGTTGATTGTTGTACCCGCATTTGTTGAGGTGAGAAACGCAGTCGGGGCCCTTGAGAGCGGTCAGTAAATGTTCCGGAAACGCGGGGCATATACGAACCGCATCGTCGTGTTGAGCAAAAGCTCATGAAACTTTCGCGACGTCTTGGGTAGAACTACTAGATTGAAGATGCTGTCATGGCAAGTTAGCCAATGCAAAAAGATGGAAGCTCTGGGCACCGCACCTGTCTGCAAGCGTGCAGCCGATGACCGTCAAGAGACCAAGCCCTGCAAATACGCCCAAGTAATAGCCAAGTCTGTCGTTTGGGTATTCTGCGTTTGCATTTGTCCACCATTGAACCCAAATCGCTTTCGTATGTTAGTAATGATCCATGTCGAAGTCGGGGTTACTTACAGGGAAAGGTTACGCCGAAAACAAACGTCGCGCACGCCAGAAGGTAGATAAACATTGTCCAAGGACCTGCAATCTTGGCGTAGTAGGCGTAAACTTTCAGGTCTCCGGTCATGCGGCTGACTCCTTGGTCCGGGTCGTCGAGTAAGTCGAGCTCCTGAAGCATTTCTTCCGGCAGTTCGGCATCTGCCGGGTCCACTGGTTGTCGGGGAGTGGTGCTCTCTTCTGAGACCTCTTGCACAATTTCATCTTCGGACGACATGCTGTCCTTTGCGCCGTGACGAGTAATCATTCCATTTGAGTCCAGGAACACAACATAATCAGCGAAGCTGAGGTGATGACCTGACGGAGTGTTAGTGTAGTTGATCATCGTTATCAATGAAGTGATACCCTACCAGAGTTCGTAGCCAGGATTACGGTGATCTCGCCCATTCTCTTGAGCAGCCCCTCAGGCCCAAAGACAGCATCGACAATGTGCCTTTCGGTCGTGCGGTCAAGCCCACTCAGGCAATCGTCTAACACTAGCACAGAGTTCCTGGAATAGAGAGCCCGGGCCAAGCTCACCCGCATCTGCTGTCCGCCGCTCAACCTGGCGCCTCTAGTTCCGATTGGGGTCTGATCGCCATCCGCAAGCTCCGCAAAGTCCGCAGATAGTGCGCAAGCAGACACAACAGAAGCGTACCATTCCTGGTCCCAGGGAGACATGCCGACGATGTTACTCTGGATGGAACCCCAAGTTGTCCATGGAGACTGTGAACAGTATGCCGCCTTGGAGAAGCTCGTTACGATGGTACCAGAGAAAACAGGCAGCTCGCCAAGAATGAGCTTGAGGAGAGTAGACTTTCCGCAACCGACGGGGCCCATTATGACGGTCGTCTGGCCTAGCGGCAATTCAAAGTCGAGTTCCTTCAGGATCAACTCATCATCAGAGTACCCAGCAGATCCTTGTTGAACTGTGACGGAGAAATGGTACTTCTCAAGCGCTGGTTTCTCTTTGAGCATCATATCCTTTTCCTCGACCACTTTGCAAATACTCGTCCGGGATGAGGACGAGCTGCTTTCTGGTGTGATTCTATAGTCTTCGGTTTCTTTGGCCTGAAGGTACTCTTGGATTCGACGGAAAGAGTTGATTATAGTCTTGACATGCTCCACGCCATCGATGGCGTACATCATAGGCTGTTGCAGCAGCTCAAAGACACTGAGTGATGCAAAGGCCACTCCTTCTGTTAAGGTGCCATTGTCGTTGTTCCTGGCGAGTAAACTGTACACCAGGAAACCGAAAACTGGGGCCAGAGCAGAGGATGCGAAGTCTAGAGTCATGTCAGCCCAAACCATCTTCTGCTGTGCTCCCAAATCTTACAGGATATGAAGACGAAAATATTGAGGACACGATATCGTCTGGAGGCACGGATTTCCGACAACCGAAGGCCACGTATCTGAGACGAAACGATGTCGGCCAGTCCAGTCATTTTGATGGCTTTCGTGGCACCGAGAGCTTTGGCAGTGGCCGCGAGGCGAACCTCGATCGCCTCGAGCCATGGAATCTGAGCATCTCCCGCGGCTTTGGCGAGTGGAATGCCGGCAATGAGACAGACTTGGGCGGGTTAGAATAGTTAAACTGCACATTAGGTATGCATAACCTACCAACAATCCACACTATCGGGGCAACAATGGCGAGTCCAAGAAGTCTGTATAAGAGATAGAGGGCAACGCCGGTCTCTATGAAACTTGCGTAAAGCTCATGGATAAGCGGCATGCTGGAGGCGATTCTGTCGATGTCGGCGCTCATGAGTGTGATGGCTTCAGCATCTTTCACAGCCGAAGAGTCTATGCGAAGCGTCTTGTCGAAAATCATGGCAATCAGGCTTCCACGAAACATTGTGAGCAGACGATATGTCTTGTGCTGATAGACTGCGTATGATACCTAGATAATTAGGTTAGCAATTACACATCAGGCATCCGATGGGGGTTGTCATTCACCGAGAGACCAATGTACACGATTGCGTAGGCTCCAACCAGACTGTAGCCAACATTCTTTGAGTTGTCATCTGTGGGGTCCGCCGAGAAGTCGAGCACTCGTTCAACCAAAAATGGTTGTGAGAAACTAAAGCCCGTATATGCAAGCCGCGGCAAGACGCCGGCTAGGAAGCTCCATTTGTAGTGGTTTAGATATGTCCAGAAAAGAGCATCCTGGCTTGTTTGGGACTCTGTGGCGATACGTTAGTTCAAGATCGTCTAGTTGTAATGAACATAATAGCTCACTGTTTATCCATGTGATGATCAGTTTGAGAGGGTTTGAGGCAGACAAAAGTTGCGAGTCCAAAGGCGTCAGCACGTTAACGGTCAGAACCGTTCTGAAACCCTTGATGAATACAGTATTCAACCAGACAAAGAGTGACCTGTTTAGAACACCGCTTGCTTCTTCAGGTGAAGCATGTTGCCAGTCAGGGCGCAATAGACGTCGTTTCTCTGTAACTTCAAGGCAAAGCAATAAAACCTTGGTACAGTATCCCGCGAGATTGACTCGAGCGACAACTGCGGTCCCTGGCATGAAAAAGAGAGTACGAACGCGGGCGAGGTCTAGTAAAGCCGATATGCCCAAGTAGACGCACAATACAGTGGATGGTCGAACCGAACGTTTGTGCTCCAGTAAGGAAGCGAGCCAAAAAAGGCACGATCCAGCGATTGTCAACGCAATGCATGCAACAGTCAGTCTAGTCGTCGGGACGTCGCCAACAATCCACACTACTAGCAAGGCAACTTGAAGGGCTATATAGGCCGTGAAGCCGAGCTTAACCAGTTAGTTGAATGGAATTCTGAGGACAACGACTGCAAGTACCATTTTGAGGCTCAAGAGCCATGACGAACGAGTCTTATTTGCCTCCCCATAAAGGGCAACAATTCGAAGCGCGGCCCAAAAAGCTACATGCGACATATTTCTCAGTAATCTTTCACCACAAGATTCCGTTCAGGGAACTAACATGCTATGCCAACAGGAACAATGCTGAGCAATGCCTCCTCAAAGAGCAGCGTGAAGTCAAAGCCGCCGAGGCAGGTGCCGTGCACCACTGGGCCAAAGGTATCCTCAACGCCAATGGCGCAGGGAATGAGTGCATCAGCCATGGCTTGGATGAGTGAGCAAGTGTCCCGGAAGCGCTGAGCTGCTCATGCGAAAACAAATGTTGCCCTGGACTCAGAGGCCACGTAGCAAGACAACGTTGAACGGGCGGCAAGCAGCTCGATATCCTATGCTAACCGCCCTTGAGCACGTCTTCACACTAGCGGCCGGATTCCACGGAAGGGAAGCAAAAGCCGGGTCGAATCTCGCACTAGCAGAAGTGCCATGTGCCGGCCTGAACCAGGGAGGCAAAAACGCCGCCGACGCCACCTGCTCAGCTCCTTCGAGAAGCGCCAGTGCCCTGATCGCACGAGGCAGGTGTCATTTGCAAAGTCAACAGGCCTGATGTCCTTGGGCCGCAATTCGGACTCTCCTCTCCGTCTGTCGATACTCGCAACGGTCTGTTAACGCACAGGGGTGGCCTGACCGAGGTGCATGAAAGTCTGGACCAGTCCCCAACGGTGCGGCTGATTCAGCTTACTTACATTTATTGGCCCGTTGCAATATCTGGGATCGTATCCGCATTTCCAATGGCGCCAGGCCACGGCACGCTGCGAAGGAATGAATGGCGCCAGATGGCTGGTTGTACGGCCTGGCCACGAGGCTTGTCGACAGGTGCAAGGTGAAGTGCGTGCTCGCCAGCATGACCTCACACCGCGAGGAGGAACACAAAGAAATGACGACTTATATGGAAGTTCGTATTGACAAAACGGGAAGTTACCCTTAGGGTACCAGTAACAAAATTCTGCGTTTCATGCGGCCCCAGAGGCAAGCAACTGCCGTATGAGGGGCGCCCACGTCCCTTCAGCTACGGATCGTCCCAGGCAGGGTATGGATAGAGAAGCTCGGAAACGCGGGCAGAGCATGGCCAATGATTGAAGGCCCTCCCCTGGACCTCCCTGGTGGCGCATTTTGAGTCTGCCCGAGTGGTTAGTGGCGACAACCAGGGGGACCGATCCAGCCAACGCCAGCGGCATCTGGCCCATATTCCGATGCAAGCCAAGACACGGGAAAGCGGCAGCTTCGGCGTGCATCTGTCGACGCCATCGTCACGGCGAAATGGCACCTTAACTGCGGCCGGAATCAATCCTAGTGTATACTAGCCGGGTGTATCGGCAGGGACAAGTACGTTCAGGCGTCCGATTACCCTTGCAGTTGCAGGCACGAGGAAGCAAACCTTGACGCTCCAGTAATATGGCCTTGCGTGATGTTAAGGCCGACCCGCGCGATCTGACGAGCTCGGTAACGCGAGATCCCAGGAGCAGGTTGGTTTTACGTAAATTGTCGCCGTCAGACATGTGTCGATGTGCTCTAACCTTTCCAGAACGTTACGCCCCCAAGGTCGTGTCCCGCCTGCGGCATGCGGAGCCAGCCGCCCCGAGAACGAGACGCGCGGGTAATTGATACCGCTGCTCTCGGGGAAGCGTCTGAGGCCCGTCGAGGTATGACAAACGCGGGTGGCATGCGTGTTGGGCGCGCTGCGTCAACATGAACGTGACATGCCTCCCGTGCAACCTAACGGTCAGCTGTCTCACACCTACGGAGTAGAGCCACCAGAGTTCATGCCTGCGACTCTGCCGTCGGCCGGAATACATCGGCTCCCCCACCTCGTACCCGGCGGACAAGGGGGGGTTGGGGCTACCCGTGAAAACTGGGCCTGTCACTCCACGTTTCCGGGGGCTAGACGACTGAACCCTGCCTCGTGCATACAGCAGAAGCTTTTTCCCCGGCTGGCCTATCATTAGCGGGCTAATATTAGAGTCCAGGCAAACGACTTTGCACAACCCGGGGTTAGACTCCATCGACGAATTTCAATGTTGCACTTGGCTACCACTTCCCCTGACAAAGGGTCCGACGTGCAGAATCGCATCGGATGGCAGGTGAGAGACCTCATGGAAGCCCCGGATGGTTGTGAGCCCATGTCTTGAATAATGGCAGGATGTCAAATGTTACCCTGCAGGCTAGCAAGGATGCGAGTGAGACCTGTGAGACATTGGTGGGTATCCCGAACCAGAGCTCCTCGGGTCTCATGAAGCTCTCATGATGCAATCCATTGTGGCAAGGGCGGGTAAAGCGGCCTCACTCTTGATCGACGATTGCCGCGTTGCCGTTATGCCTGGGGCGTAAGAGAGCTCCGCTCCGTTAACGTTGAGTGTCTTCACATGGCTTGATATCCCCGAGGCTCACGGCATTCGCAAGGGCTTCATGTGCCGCTCCCTCAGTCGATTGGTCCTTGGCACACGTACACGTGGTTTATAAGCACCAATGACATGTTTGGGCGTGGCATTCTAGAAGTTGAAACCTCGCCAGGCTCCAACGGCCCCAGAGCTGACGTTTCCATGGGCACGGCAGGCCGCGATCTTGTGTTCCAACGGCCGGCGGGATCACCCACAAATGTCACTTGAGCGGTCAGCCGCATGCAACACATCGGGAGCAATACAAGGCCTTGATGGATTTCAGGCTCCTTGCATGAAGCACAACAGCAGGTCCTTCCTTAGTGCAGGTTCGGACTTCGCGTCAGATTAGTCCGAGGGATTCATGATACCTTTACCTTCCTATTTGATGTCTTATTGTCTTTGTAATCGGCCCAGGAGATCTATCATGACGCCAGAGAGGCGAGAGCTGGAGAAGAAAAAGACTGAAAGGATGCCGGCAACGTAGTATCAGTGAGGTAAAGGACCTGGTTCCCGTGTCATCATCCGGAGTAGGAGGTAAAAGGAACGCCGTTTCGTGGCGCTGACACTAATGCGATACGGCAACATGGCTGTGGAAGGGGCGACTCTCAGCTCGTGGTGACATATGCAGATCGGCTAGCATTTGCCGCGCCAGTTCCCAAAAGGTTCCGAGTGTGCGCGTAGTGTCCAAGCCGAGACATCAATGTCTGTCCGCATATTTCCAGTAGCCTCTTGCCAACTTGCAGTTGCAACATTGTTGCACAGCCTCCGTGCCCATTCTTCCAATACTTGCGTCTGTCCAGAGTGTGTGTCATGGCCGAGCCCCAAATGTGCTCTGAACAAAGCGCTGATCCAAGGCAGGACAAAGCTGAAGCCGTCCAAGCAGTACATCATGAGATATCACGTACAGCACACCAATGGCACGGCGAATGCCACCGAACGATCTCTGAGTGGTGCTGATGAAACACCACTCACCACCAATGGCATCTGGAAACGCGGCCACCCACCGGCGTCGACGGATGTCCAGGCCATCAAAGACAGCTCAGTGACGAGGGTTGTTTGGGGCAGCCCGATGGCACTGGCAATCTGCTCCGCAGATGTCGACCTTACCTACATGCAGCTTGACGGGCTGTCGACGCGTCTGGCCCAGCAACTCTCCAGCTTAGGCGTCAAGCCGGAAACCACGGTTGTTCTTTGCCTTGAAAATAATTCCAGCTGGCTTGCTCCTATATCCATGTTGGCCGCAATGAAGACGGGTGCATCGTTATCGTCACTGGACTTGACACGGCCAAGATCCGAGCTTCTCACCACAGTTTCTCATATCACCATACCACTACTTCTCTCTACACCAGAAAGTGAGCCTCGAGTTCGGCAATTATTACCAGGAACATCCTTGGTCATTGTGCACCCGGAGCAACGCCAGGATGACGAGCTGTGGAAGGTGTTCGACCCAGACACAGATGGTGACTTCTTCGAAGATTTCCACGGCCAAGACTGCGTCAAGGTTCCTGAGAAAGCCGTTGAGAGTATCCATGTCGAGCGCATTGAGATCAGCGGGCCCTCATCCGACTCTTCAGAGACCGCTTCTCAGGATGGTCTGGGGTCCGGGGTTCCGGCCTTTTCCCTTCTCAATGCCTCTGTCAGCAAAGAAGCGCGCTCCTATGCGGCACGACTTTGCCGAGTTGCAGAACACGTTGTGGAGGATGTGCTGCCATGCACGGCTCTGCAAGAGGGGCTGCTAGCGCTGAGCTCAAAGCGTCCTGGAGACTATGTCGCCAGAAATGAGTTTGAGCTTGACAAAGGGGTTGATACCGACCGCCTACACCGAGCCTGGGAACGACTCGCTGCCCTGAACCCGATCTTGAGAACGCAATTCATCAGTCTGCCAGGGCAAGGCATAGTTCAGGTCATCTTAGACCAGGACATATCTTGGAAGACGATGACAGATGCTTCAGAAGAAATTGAAGTGAGCGAAATGACTCTGGGGAGCCCTTTGACTCGCTTCATCCTCTGTGAGGGTTCCGCGGGCGGGCCTGCACGTCTCATCTGGGAAATCCATCACAGTCTATATGACGGACAGAGTCTGCCAATGCTTCTGAGTCAAGTGGAAGGCATCTATTTCGATGAACCCATCCAGCACTTGGAGTCGATGGCTGCTTTTGTCAAGTACATCCAAAGTTGTGATCCTGGAAGCGAAAACGCTTTCTGGAAACAGCATTTCGACAACTTCCAAGGACCCCACTTCCCTTCGCCTAAACCTGGACGCTTGACTGAGCCAGATCAACAAATGGTTCGAGCGGTTACAGATGTTGTGTGGAACTGTGGTGACTTCACCGCTGCCACGATTCTTCGTGCGGCATGGGCTGTGGCCGTTGCCAACGGCGCTGGATCGGGTGACTCTGTCTTTGGAGCAACAGTCACTGGCCGTCAAGCTCCTGTCCCCGGCATTGAACTTATGGCCGGTCCAACGATAGCCACAGTCCCGATCAGGGTTGCCGTAGACTGGACAGCCAGTTTCGGGCAATTGCTCGATGCAGTGCAGCGGCAGGCTGCTGACATGATTCCTTTTGAGCAGACTGGGCTCCAGAGGATCTCCAAGATTTCTGACCAGGCGGCGCTGGGTTGCAACTTCCAATCGCTACTGGTAGTGCAACCTGTTGCCCAGGAAGATTACGACACTCAGGAGCGATACTTCCTCAGCGAGATTTCTGATGCCCGCGGAACGCAATGGCAGGACTTCAGCACGTACCCAATCGTCGTTGAGTGCCAGCTCGAGGCGGATGGTGCCACTCTACGCATTGCGTATGACTCGAACCTGATATGCACGGAGCAGATGGAGCATGTCGCCCAGGACTTTGAGTTCGCAATTCGCCAATTTTCCAACATAAGTTTATCCAAGGAGCCATTGGAGCTGCTAGCAGACGACGGACTTGATCGCATCTGGAAGCTGAACGCATCCGTGCCACAGGCCACCGAAGCACTCATCCATGAGCTCATTTCGCAAAGGGTCAGAGAGGATCCGTCCGCTCCAGCTATCTGCGCGTGGGACGGCAACTTCACGTATCAAGAGGTGGAAGAGCTGTCGACTGCTCTTGCTCTGCACCTTGTTGAAAAGGGTGTGGTGGCGAACATGAAAGTCGCTTTGCTCTTCGAGAAGACCAAATGGATGGCTATTGCTGCTTTAGCTTGCATGAAAGCCGGAGGGGCATGCATGGCTGTCGATACCACTCAGCCAGAGGAGCGACTTCGATCCATTGTCAGCCAGTCCGAATGCCCGGTCGTCATCTCCTCAGTGCCAAATCAAGAGCTCGCCGGGCAACTCGGTTTCAGCGTGGACAACATCGTCTTGGTCGGGCCAGACAAACCATGGCATAGAGGACACCTTCAACCAGACCTACCAACTCTGACGCCTTCGCATGCTCTTTATGTTGTGTTTACATCTGGAAGCACCGGGACACCCAAAGGTGCCATCAACACACATCGTGGGTTTTGCACAGCCATAACGCACCAACAAAAAGCGTTGGGATTCACGAAAAGTTCTCGCGTCTTTGACTTTGCCTCATACGCGTTCGATGCTTCATGGTGCAATCTGCTCCACGCTCTCACGAGCGGCGCCTGCTTGTGTGTCCCGTCAAATGCAGAACGACAGAATGATCTCGTCGGTTCATTGGGGAAATATAATGCCACGACTGTCGACTTTACGCCCTCCGTAGCAAGAGTGGTCGGGAAAGAAGCATTGTCTAAGCTTTCAACGCTTATACTAGGCGGAGAGGCCGTTGCAGACTCTGATGCTTTCTTGACCGAAGAGAAGACAGAGATTATCAATGTATATGGTCCGGCTGAATGCACACCGACCGTGACACTTTCCAAAGTTTCACCCAACGACATCAGCATCGGACGTGGAGCGGGAGCTTGTACTTGGATCGTGGACCCAGAAAAGCCAGATCAGCTTTCGCGATTCGGGGCGATTGGGGAACTCTGGATTGAAGGGCCTTTAGTTGGTGAGGGCTATCTCAACGACCCGGAGAAGACTGAAGCTTCTTTTGTTCGGGATCCTCCCTGGCTCCTTGCCGGTGTCTCAGCACGCCAAGGTAAAGACGCCGTGCCTGGCCGCACCGGAAGGCTCTATCGGACGGGAGACCTCGTGCGATATAGACAAGACGGCTCTCTCTTGTTCGTTGGCCGCAAAGACACACAGGTCAAGATTCGAGGACAACGTGTCGAGCTGGGAGAGATTGAGCAGCACATTATCGCTGCACTTGGTCTCCCGAACGCGACCGTGGTGGTCGACACGATTCTCCCCAAGGGATCCAATGGTCCGGTGCTTGTGGCATTCATTAGCATCGACAGCCGCGAAAAATGGACAGAGAACGACCACAGCAAGTTTGTCCGGAAGACGACGGAGTCGTTGGCTAACCTTGCCCTGCCAATCTACATGGTCCCAGTTGCTTACATCCCCGTCTTCAAGTTGCCCGTCATGACCAGTGGCAAAACTGATCGGCGACAACTTCGGGAGATGGGCGAATCTGTTTATCTGCAATATCGCCTAAGCACCGAAGAAGCAAGTGGCACGGAGACTCTGAGCGACATTGAAGCCATTCTGCAGCAGGTGTGGATGTCCATCCTTAACTTGTCCGCTCAAGAGGCATCGGTGAACAAGGCTTTCACGAGGCTCGGCGGCGACTCCATTTCGGCAATGCAGGTTGTTTCACAGTGCAAGCTTCACAATCTTGTGTTTACTGTAAGCGATCTGTTGCAAGCATCAACGATACGGAAGCTGGCCAGTCGTTGTCGGACCGCCTCACGTCACCAGGACAAGATTGAAGACGTGGAAGAAGAAGGCGACGAGATGAAGCCCTTTGAGCTATCGCCAATCCAACAAATGTTCTTTGATGCCTATCCCGAAGGACTCGACCATTTCAACCAAAGCTTCATGCTTGAGTTAAGCCGGCCAGTGGACGGAGCCACGCTTTACGACGCCACGCGCGCACTTGTCAACCGCCATCCAATGCTACGGGCTCGATTCGCAAAGGATCTCGAGCTCGGCTCCTGGACGCAGCGCATCGTTGAAGAAGGCGATTCACTGGCGTTCGGGTTTGCCGAGCACTTTGTTCAGACCCGTGACCAGGTCGTTGACGTTGGACAAACCCGCCAAGAGTCCATGAGCCTCCAACACGGCCCGGTGTTTTCCTGCGACCTCTTCCACATCACCAATGGTAGCCAGATGGTCATCCTCTCTTCACATCATGCCGTCGTCGACTTGGTCTCATGGCGCATCATTTGGAACGACATCGAAGATTACCTCAGCGGAGGCAAACTATTAAGTGAGCCGACAGCTTCGTTCCGATCATGGGTCAGGCGGCAGGCAAGGGTCAGCAGCAAGGCATCGCCTTTCTCTGTGCTTCCATACTCCATACCAGCGCCTGATCTAGACTTCTGGGGTCTGCCTCTGTCCGAGAACACTTTCTCTAACTGCGACGCGTACAACGAAACGTTCCCTGCGGATGTCACAGCGTTGCTGTTCGGAGATGCCAATGAGTGCCTTCGCACGGAACCAATTGACATTATTATTGGTGTCATGGTTTACGCGTTCGTCCAAATTTTCCCGGAGAGAGATGCCCCAGTTGTGTGGATTGAAGGTCACGGCAGAGAGCAATCGGATGAACTACCGCTCGATGTATCGTCCACTGTCGGCTGGTTCACAACTCTGCACCCCCGCCCGATTCCGATCAACCTCCAAAGCTCCGTCCTTGAAGCCATCCGCCTGGCGAAAGACAGAAGACGCCAAATACCCGGCAAAGGCCAGCCGTATTTCGCCTGCCGCTATCATAGTGAATCCGGTCGCGAGGAGTTCCAGGGGCAAGACACCACGGAAGTGACGCTCAACTTTACGGGCCGATATCAACAATTGGAAGGAGACGAGGGTCTTTTCCGACGCCCAGAGTACCTCGGACACGAGCAACGAGACATAGCCGAGGTTTCGGGCTCGGCGCGACGCTTCACCATGGTCGAGATCAATGCCGACATCGAAGAGAACATGCTGGCATGCTCTTTTGCGGTCCACAAGAAGATGAAGCATCACGGTCGCATCATTGAGTGGCTCGAGCTCTTTGGAGATACTCTCAATGCGGTCACGAAGGATTTGGCGGGCGCTTCCCCTCGGTTCACACTAACCGACTTTCCTTTGCTACCTCTGTCGTACGACGGCTTGGATGTGTTGCAGCATGAGCAATTGCCTAGTCTGGGAATTGAGCCGGCCGTTATTGGGGACATTTATCCTTGCTCGCCTCTCCAAGAAGGCATACTTCTCAGTGCCCAGAAAGAAGCCGCCTCGTATTCGACGTTCTCTGTGTTCCAATGCGTACCGACTGATGGCACCACGCCGGTCTCGCCATCCCGTCTCGAGCAAGCCTGGAAGACAGTCGTCAGCAGACACACAATCCTTCAGTCTATTTTCACTCTGCACCCTGAAGGAAACGGCTTCATTCAGATTGTGCTGCCCGGGTCACACATCCGACTAGCCCAGCTCACCACTCAAGAAGATCCTGCGGCAGTCTTGAGTCAACTTTCGAGACCAGACTTTGCTCCGAATGAGCCCGAACACGCCTTCACAATATGTCAATCTCACACTGGCGAAGTAGCTTGCAGACTTGATGCGAGCCACAGCTTCCTCGACGCGTCTAGCATGTCAATTATCGTGCAAGACATCATCAGCGCCTACGACGGCTGCGACATGGTGCCGGCCACGCCATTCGGAGATATGATCAACTACATCAGCAGCATTCCTCGGGCGCAAAGGATCGCGTCTTGGACTAAGCTGCTCAAAGGCGTCCAGCCATGCGAATTCCCTGTGACTAGCTCGCATTCAGCCGGTGCTGAAACCCACAGTGATCTTTCCATCCCGGCCGAAGCCATTGAGGGAGTTTCGGACTTCTGCAAGAAGCTGGGCATCACCCGTTCGGTCTTCATTCAAGTAGCTTGGTCCATGGTTCTTGCGCATTTCAACGGTACATCCGAAGCCTGCTTCGGCTATCTTGCCTCTGGCAGAGATTCACCCCTTGACGGTATCTGGACCATGGTTGGCCCCTTGGCCAATCTACTCATCTCACGCGTGGACTTGACTTTGCCCCCAAGGCAAGTCTTGGAGAAGGCATCACAAGACTCAATACAACATTTGTCAATACAACATACTTCACTCGCAGAGATTCAACATGAGCTGGGCCTTTCCGGGCAGCGGCTGTTCAATACTGCCTTATCGATTCGAGAGGCGGACAAGTTCAAGGCCGGCGACGACAGGACGGTCGAGTTCCAACCGTATAATGGCGAGGATCCGCACGAATATGATCTGAGCCTATCGGCCAATCTCGATGCGGGTAGCATGGACATTGTGATGGAGTTTCGCGAGCCATATGTGGACAGACGTGCAGCGGAGGATGCGGCTCAAGTCTTGATCGAAGCAATCCGGCATCTGTTGCGCACCGACATCGAGGGCCCCGAGATGCTCAACACAGTCGACACCCTTTCCAAGGGCTTTTTCAGGCACATCACTGGCGCGGATGAGGATTCCGTGAGAGCTTTCTGGAGTGGTCAATTCCATGGCATCGAAGGCTCTCATTTTCCGCCTACGCTGAGGGCCATCGACCACCCGCGACAGAAGAGTGAGGTCGTGTTGGACTTTGGCAGCCTCTATTGGGATGCCCACAGCGGCTTGACGGCGGCTACATTGATGAAAGCCGCCTGGTCAGTCGTAACCTGCCGACTTCTCGACTCAACCGAGGCGTTGTTTGGATCGACGGCCACCGCCAGTCAGGCGATCTTGCCAGTACGCGTCTTGGTCGATCCCAGTTCAAACGTCGGCGACCTGCTACATGCGGTCCAGGCTCAGGCTGCAAAGATGGCCGCGTTCTCGAGAAGTCAGCTGTATCACATCCGCTCCTTGGGCCACGAAGCAGCGCTGGCTTGCGAGTTTCAGACTGTCTTGCTTGTGACTGATCAGAGCAGCGACGGTCGTGGCGAAGAGAGCGAAACGGCGCTCGACGTTATGAGTGATGGTGGAATGGGGCGATTCGAGAAATGCGCCCTTTTTGGCGAATTTCGTCAGTCACCAGACAGTATGAGAATGTCGCTGCGATTCGACGGAGCAGTGATTGAAGAGACCCAGATTGTCCGATTGGGCCACCAGTTCGAGCAAGTCCTCCGGCAGCTCATGCATCCAGATCTCCGGCACACCAAGCTACGAGATGTTGCCGTCGCAAGCACTCAAGACGTCCGCGACATCTGGGTTTGGAACTCTGTCGTACCAGATGCCGCTGAAACCTGCGTTCATGATCTGATCATCCAGCGAGCCCGGCAGCGACCACATGACCCTGCTATCGCGGCCTGGGATGGTACGTTGACATATGGTCAACTTCATGAGCAGTCGGATTGTCTCGCTCACGAGCTGGTCAAACGTGGAGTTGGCCGTGGTTCAATTGTGCCGCTCCTCTTTGAGAAAAGCATGTGGATGGCAGTGGCTGCATTGGCGGCGATGAAGGCCGGGGCAGCGGCGGTGGCTACGGACACCACGACTCAACCTGAGGACAGACTGCGAACCATGGCAGCACAGGCCAATGCTCGCCTGTGTCTCAGCTCAGAGTCGAATCGAGATCTTGCAGGTCGACTAGGCATTGACGATGTCGTGGTCGTGAGCCAGAACACAGATTTTGCACAGGTTGCTCCCGGAACGAATCTTGCCTCAGTCAGGCCTTCAGACATCCTCTATGTTGTCTTCACTTCGGGCAGTACGGGCACGCCAAAGGGGGCCAAAGTCACGCATCGAAACATTGCCACCGCATTGCACCATCAGAGAGAAGCGCTTGGGTACTCACAGTCCTCGCGAGTCCTGGATTTTTCCTCTTACGCCTTCGATGTCTGCTGGTCAAACATGCTGAACGCGCTCACGGCCGGGGCATGTCTCTGTGTACCCTCCATGGAAGAGCGTCAGAATGACCTGTCTGGGACGCTGATAAAGTACGGCGTGACGCTGGCGGACTTTACTCCCTCAATCGCACGACATACGGTTGGCCTGGAAGGCCTGTCTACTCTGATCCTCGGCGGAGAAGTCGTTCTGCCGACTGATCGGGCGTTGGCGAGTGCAACAGCCAAGGTTTGCAGCGCGTACGGCCCAGCTGAGTGCACCCCTACGGTGACGATCCTGGACTTGACAGAAGCGGGCGAGGGCGGACTCGGTCGAGGGGCCGGAGTCGTGACATGGGTCGTCGACCCAGACAATGCCGACCAGCTCGCACCCATTGGGGCTCCAGGCGAGTTGTGGCTCGAGGGGCCTCTCGTTGGAGATGGATATTTAAACGACACCGAAAAGACAATGGCCGCCTTTGTGCAAGACCCTGCTTGGCTGGTCTGCGGCATCCCTGGCGAGCGCTCCGGTAGGCGAGGAACAGTCTACCGTACCGGTGATCTCGTCCAGTACAATGACGACGGTTCCTTACGATTCATCGGCCGGAAAGACTCGCAAGTCAAGATTCGAGGGCAGCGTGTCGAACTGGAGGAAGTTGAATACGGCGTAAAAAATGCGCTCGACCTGTCGACTGTGGGAATCGCTGGTGCGCAAGTCGTCGCCGAAGTCATTCAACCTCAGGGCGCTGGGCAAAAGCTCCTTGCTGCATTTGTGGCACTTGACGACGCCGACAAGGACTACGAGGCTGCGGTCAAGAAGCTCACGGCGGGACTGAATGACCGACTTGCCCGCACTCTTCCCCCATTCATGGTCCCTTCATTATACGTGCCTCTGAAGGCAATCCCGAGAGTCTCCTCCGGCAAAGTTGACCGGCGTCAACTCCGCGCCATTGGCAACAGTCTCACGGCAAAGGACGTTGCCATGCTCGGTCGCGCCGACGGCGAACGGCGCCCACCGGAAACAGACGCTGAGAGGACAATGCAGCAGCTTTGGATAGAAATACTCAAGGTGGATCCCGAGACTGTGAGCGCCGATGACAGTTTCTTCCGGATCGGCGGTGACTCAATTGGGGCAATGCGCCTGGTCAGTCTGGCAAGGCAGCGAGGTGTGTCACTGCAGGTCAGGGACATCTTCAAGAATCCGATTCTTCGCGACTTGGCTGCCTTGGGATCATGAGAACCCTTTGGCAATTTAGTGGGAAATTGACGAGAAAATGGACGCGAAAAGTGAACGCTGGGTTCGATTCGAGCCCAAAAATAGTGTATAAGTGAAGCTGGGATCCAGATTGCACTTGCTTCACGAGACGAAGAGCTCAATAGGAGCGCCAAAAATCTACAAGCGAGGTAAAAATTGTTACGCAGTCAGAACATTAAATCTCTTGTGACTGACCAATGGGTCAATCAAGTTTGTTCCATTGCTTGATAGCCCATTATTATTCTCTGAACAGTGAACATCCTTATTTTAATTCCGAACGTTCACGGACCTGCCTACCCTGTGCACATGCATACGAACTGGTCGACCAGCGCCAGCCTTGTGGTATTTCCCATCCATAATGCGCAAATAAAATATCCAGATAAGTTTCAGGGCATAATCGTTCGATCAGAAGCGCCTGAGCCCAGTGGCCCTTGTGCGACCATCTTTCATTGTGGGAGACAGTCAGACTCAAAGGGCGCAGCCGCGGATGACTGGGCGACCAACTTGCGAACCTACAAACGCGACAAATGGTTCCATATCCTGGAACTTCCGCCGCTAAACTTTGCTGAATCCGTAAAATTAAATGGCTTCTATCGCAGACCCTTCACTAGCCACCATGCACGGTATCGCAGCCCTGCCCACCGTTGCGTCCCTTGCGGCCTCCGTGCACGCGACCGCCAACGCTCCCGCGTGCAAAGCATTCCCTGGCTCAGCAGACTGGCCGTCTGTAGCGTCATGGAACAAGCTCAACGAGACCCTTGGGGGCAGGCTGCTCGCTCCTGTTCCGCCAGCCGCTGTGTGCCACCCGGCGCAGGCAACGTACAATGCCGATGCCTGCGCGGCGCTTACACAGCAGTGGACGTCGTTTGACTTTCACACGCGAGACCCCGTGTCGATAATGTGGGAGCAATTTTCCAACAATACGTGTTTGCCGGATCCTAAATACCCGTGCTCACCATCCGGCTACCCGCCGTATGTGGTCAATGCGACGACGCCAGAGCATGTTCAGGCTGGCGTGAACTTTGGTGAGTGTGTGCCGAAGGACTTTTGTCATTACTTTGGCGGCTAATCTGAGGGCAAGCCCGTGAGCACAACGTGCGCCTGGTCGTCAAAGGTACCGGCCACGATGATAATGGCAGGTCAATTGCGCCATTCGCGTTGTCAATCTGGACGCACTACATGCGGGACATTGCTCATCGTCGGGGCGAGTTCACGCTGGCAGGGTCGAAGAAGCGGATCAAGGGAAATGCCGTCACCGTGGGAGCAGGAACGCAGATGTATGATGTCTACACGGCGACAGCGAAGAATGGCGAGACGATCGTGGGCGGTGGTGGCAAGTCGGTCGGTGTGGGTGGCTATATCACAGGCGGTGGACACTCCAGTGAGTACACAACCGCCTGCACAAACTCTATCTGTTCCGTCGTTTTGCTGACCGTCTAGTTCTTGCGGCGCGGTACGGGCTTGGTGCGGATAATGTCCTGGAAATGGACATGGTCACGCCAGGTGGCGAGCTCCTGACCATCAACGAGGACCAGAACCGTGATCTCTTCTGGGCCATGCGTGGTGTAAGTGTCTCGCTACGCCTGTTCGTCAGATTAATTTACTGACAGCGACAGGGCGGCGGCTCGACATTCGGCGTCATCACGTCGATGACGCTCAAGACGCATCCTTCACCGAAGATTGCCTTTGCCAACTGGTACGCCGTGACACCTGCCGAATCATCCGTCGGCTTTGATGTCATTGCCTACGTCCTGTCCCAGTTCCCCTCGCTCATGGACAAGGGCGTCTCCGGCTATTTCTACGTTGCCAGGGACACGCCTAACCCCATCCCCTCACCTGACATGCCGGCGACCATCACAGGCGTGCTCGGTGGCTTCATGCTGCAGGATGTCACAGATGGTGAGAAGCTGCAAGAGCTCCTCACGCCACTCAACGAGACCATCAAGGCGCGCTGGAACGGCACTGCGCAGATCCTTCAACAGACGGTCCTGTACGACTCATTCCTCGACTGGTTTAACGTCAACTATGACCAGGGGCTGGCTGGCGCCAATCTGTACAGGGGCTCTAGGCTGGTCGACAAGAAAGCGTTAACGGGCGACCTAAAGGCATTGGCAGAAGCGTACAAGGCAGCCACGGAAGCAGGAGGCGCCATCACGGCATATTTGGTCGCGGGCCAGGGTGTTCGCAATGCGAAGCCACAGGGCGGCTCCAATGCCGTGAACCCGGCGTGGAGGAACGCATACATCCAGTCTCTTACGGGAGTGGCATACGCGCCATTCAACAAGACTGCCGAGGACGAAGTCATTGAGTCGTTGGGCCGGTCGCTTGAGCCACTGAAGAAGCTGACACCCAACAGCGGAGCCTACATCAACGAGGTATGCGGCTCGAGTCTCTCAATGTCCCCGAGCCAGTTGGGCCATGCTAACGATTGCACGCAGGGATTCTTATTCGAAAAGGAATGGCAAAAGACATTCTGGGGCGACAACTACGAGAGGTTGCTGAAGATCAAGAAGAAGGTTGATCCCAAGAATGTACTTGTGTGCTTTCCGTGCGTGGGGAGCGAGGGCTGGAAGCAAAACGAGGACGGGCGACTTTGCAGGGAATAAGGCAGCAGCGTGTTCTATACTCCGTAATTCGCCGACGAATTGTTTTCGTGTCCGAATCACACGTTGGTCGCGCTGACCGCGCTTTCTCCGAACATGGATGCAGGTTTGCTTACTCCAACGATGACTCATTAGTGGTTGATGTCCAACACGCATACATAACACCACAGCCTCAATTATTTCGGGCGTCGTGATCTCTGCTCGACAGCAACAACGCCACATATCACGAGACGTACAAAATGGGCAAGAAGAAGCGCGTTCAGAAGGGCAAAGCAAGAATGACTCCAGCTTCGCCGGAGCCTTCGTCCTCCTCGATGGCGAGTCCAGGACAAGCAAAAGCCCTCGCCACTTTCGACATCCTCGAAAACATTCTCCAATGCGTTGATATGAAGACGCTCTTGATATCTTGCCAGCGCGTGTGCACATCCTGGCGAGACGCTATTGCAAATTCAGCGCGGCTTCAGCAGAATCTCTTCTTCAAGTCAACTCCCCTAGACAAGCTCGGTGTGCTTCCCTTCCCAGACACGGATGCTACGCAAGGGAACACAGCTGGCCTATCCAGCGATCCCGATGACTCTGATGGGTCTGATGGGTCTGGAGAGTCAGATGAGCAACACCCTATTTCCGGCGACAAGCTGCTTTTGCTTTTGCAAAATCCGCTTTTGAGGACTCATTTCGGGGGCTTTTTCTCGGCCTCAGGCTGGAGTTGGTCAGGACGTTGCGATTCTTGCGGTACCATCGAAGGCTCGACTTTGACCACGTCCTTCGCTTTGTACTGGGGCCGCTCGATGTTCGACTTCCTTACAACTCGCGAGGATCCCTGGCGGCGAAAGGCATTCACGAGAAGGGGAGCGAGCTGGCGGACCATGCTGTTGGCTAAATTCCCTATCACAAAGGTCATCTTCCGGACAAAGTTCAGTGTCTACCGGTCACAAAGGGGAGACACTAGTCGGAGGAATGAAGACGTGTTGGACTTTCCAAACGGACTTCGCATGGGCCAGCTATTTGACCTGTTCTTCTCAATGCTGTACGTGGAGCCTGTGGTTGGATGGCACGATGCCCATGTGGTGTGGAGGATTCCCGGGACCCATTTGGGCAAGCCCGGATGCAAGTGCGATGAAGGTGGGAAGCGCCACGAAAAGAAAAGAACACCTAGCAGCACGCAGAGCTGGGATCTGCTCGTCGACGAGACTTACTACCATATCGCGGGACCAGGACGCAATGAGGCTGGGAGACGGGCTGCGAGAACTCAGGAGCAATGCAAGGATAAAAGGGCTTGTTTGGGGCGTGTTCGTAAGCGAACTGGCCCCAAATGGATTTTTAGGAGTCAAGATTTCGTCGACGGCTTTGCTGCGTTTGGCACGACCTTGGAAGACAGGAGGCGGCTGGTGGAGGAGGAACTCAACAGGCTCAGTCTCGGCTCGGACTCCGTGGAGGGTTGAGCCTTACTGGCGATATCTCGGCGGCAGGGAAGTGCAAGGCCAATGTACCGGCTCAAGTGTCGCTACGCAACTCCAATCATCAGGTGTTCCGT